CCTTTTGCAAATCAATGCATCACCTTTGAGATACATTTATACATCAAACTTTTATTTTGAAATCCCTCATGTTTTCCCCCCTCGCTTTTATTGCTGACATGGTGCTGCATACATTTGTTAAGCTCCTGAGAAAACACAGACATAAACATATACATGCACATAGATACATATTGTTAGTGTTTGATTAACCATTACAGCTCACCACAGTCTCCAGTGTCTAGACTTCTGTCTGTCTCAGTGATCCCGACTGTAGCACTTTGTACCTGCTCATTACTGCATTTAAACATATTTTAGAGAGTTACACTAACATTTCACCTCAAATGCCTCTGGCAACAATGTGAGAAACGTGAAAAGTCTAAACACCACCCAGAATTCTTCGTTAGGACCGCCCCGACATCTGAAGATGAAAAAAAGGGGAGACAGAGGACAAATTAACTGTTTCTGCTTGAGATCACTGGTGAGGAGAGCAAAAAGGAAAGAAAAATGTGTTCTTAATAGATCTCCCCTGACACTTTTATTACCCTTTCTTTGTAAATACATCAAACAGAAATGTCTGATTTCCCCAAAAGCATTCTTCCAAGTCTTAACTGGATTATTTTCACTTAGTGTCCAAACTACGTGTCGCCATTTTCTCCTCTTGCTGCTTGTTTCTGTCTCTGTCAGACAAAGATTTTCCAACTGCACATGTTGGTTTCTCCTCTGTGAATTCCAGACTTGGAGTTCTGCTGGTATTTTTTTTTTTTCATGAGTGAGAGAGCAGCATCCTCTTCTGGTTAAAATGCTCAACAAACAGGACACTCCCCATACTGGACTCCTCTCCTTGACAAATCCTGGTTTCTGTGGATTATGACGGGGTAAATTCAGCCTACGTTAAACTGCTGCATGAAGTCCTCTGATGAAATCCGGAGCTAATAGGTGCATGTATTTTGACAGAAATGTGGAGAAAACTGTTGCACTAAGTGTGAATCTTTCCTCAGTAGTGGCATAAATTGTTATACTGTCCACTGGAGGGCGCCCACACACCATCAGCCACGTTGTTTCTTTCTTTTACAGTTTTTCTCAGTTGCTTTGTTGCATCTCTCTGATCAGGATGAAAAGTCTCATAACTGTTTGTTCAACCTTCACAACATTTAGTCATCTGTGCACATTATAGTAGCAGTTTCTCATTCCTTCCATCAAATTTCAAATGCTGTTGGACATGCATCAATTGCAATCACAAAATTCTCTGCTGTTTTATATCATTTGCTTATGTCATGTCAGTCAACATGAACTATACTTTTGAATGCTGAAGAGTCACTCCCTATAAAACCAATAGTCCTCATTTCATTGCTTCAGTCATTACCTACAAAAATCTTGAACTATAGTTCTCAGAACCTGTCAGATAAATTTCATACACGTCTTTATCATTAATTTTTCTTGAAAAATAAAATGAACAATTTCTTTCAGGTGAACCTCAGCTACCACTGATGGGGAGGGTTGTGTGAAGTACCAATCAGGACAGAGTGTGTGCCATTTCTACAATACAGTGACACAGAAAGGAAAGGTCAGCGTGGTGGAAAAGGGGTGAGGAAGGGGAGGAGGACAAAACAGGGGAAGAGGAAGAAGAGGCCAAGTACATATGCGGATTCCTGATGAAATTAGGGTTACAGTTGTGGATCGTGTCGTCAATCACGTCCTCAGAATGACTGAGGCTGGCAGAAGGGTGCAGACAAATGTTGGCATAAACACTGTAAATTTAATTATTCAAACATTTGGTTGGGAGAACAGATGAGTTTATTGGACAGTAATTCAGCACCAAACAATATACACTGCACTTCTGTCATTGTCTTGTACATGAAGCTCACAGTGGTCACAGCTCACATTTAGACTTAAAGCTTTACTCCAGCTCAGATTTACTGTACTGTAAATCAGCGTTACAGTATATTTACAGTATGTTACTGTACGGCAGCATTTTACAAGTGGTTAGTGCTGTTATTGTACACTATGGTAATACAGGTTAACACAGTATATCTCATGTTTATTGTAATTTTTCTCTGCACCACACAGTATAAGTATTCAGTGTCTTGTACTCAGTTACATCACTGACTACAATAATGTGTGATTTACTGTAGTTTTCAAATAGCTGTGCAAACAGTGTATAGAGGTGTCTTGAGCATTTTTCAGGTAGTGTCACCAAGATCTGACTTTTTTGCATTGAAGAGAGTCAACTGTCATAATGAAAACATGACAAAGCCATTTGACTATCTTGTTCTGAAACAATAGTGTTAGGATTTTCCATTTTGATGCCACAGACACTTGGACATGAATACTTGCTTTTGAGGAACAAACTATCCATTTTGAGCAAGTGATGTGCTTTTGCAGGTTATCAACCAGGTTTTGCAGGTTGTACTTATTGTTTTGAGAAATGCACTAACTGTTGTGTAAATGTTAATAGTGATGTGAGAAATATACCAAATCAACTAAGAAAAACTCTAATGCTAAACATCAGTAGCTACATATTATCCTGCCACTCTCTCTGTCCACTCTGCACATTGTGGCACACACACTCTCATCTAAAACCTCAGCTAACAGCAGTTTTTCATAATAATAGGTCAGTGTGGATCATTCGATAAGCTGCATTTATCCACTTATGTGATTTTCAGGATATTTTCATTTGTACTCCCCTCTAAGATGTCCAGTGCAATTATTTTGTTCAAGAGAAAAAACAAATTACAAAACATCTCAACCAAGACTGCAGTCTATCTTGGATCCTCTAAAGCAGACTGCATGTGAAGTTTATTCCCAAAAACGACAAAATAAACTGCTTTTATTTAATAAGATCTAATGTTTTTATCTTTTTATTTAGAATGAACCCTGACAAAATTTTTTTAAAAGGCATTCCCAGTGCAAAAAATCTCTGCCTAAAAAGTCTGTTTTTTTCTGCTCCCAAGCACACCAAACAGATGATGGCACCCATTTCTCGATCACCATTTTCATTTCATGTTACAGGATGCATCATTTCCCCTTTCTACCCCCGCTGCCTGTGCTGGATTGATTCCATTTTACAGGCTCCATTGAAAGGTCACATACAAATATTTCTTTGTGAACTCCCTGTGACCAGCACAAAACAAATCAAACTTTTAAGTGCAGCCCAACCTGCAAACTGGGGCGGTAATAAATTTAGTTTTGATGGTGTCCTGCAGCAGTGCTCCGGCTCGGCACAATGACAAACGAGTCAGCCGAATGGCTGATGTGTTGGGCCGTGTTTAGAGGTAATATGTAGTAACAATACATCACTGTCAATTTCTATGTTGGGTAAAAACAGAGTCAGTTTGAGTCTGTTTGTTACTGTGGAGATTTACATGCTCAGTGTGTTATGGCTGATGAAGCAAACTTACTTATAAATTACTTGTCCAATCATGATTGATTGATTTCTTGTCATTTTGTTTACTAAACCCAGTTTTTACTTAAAACCACACAACTTTAAATTCTGAACTCCTCCTAGACAGCATGGAACAACAGAGAGACCCACTTAGCCTCTAGCTGGCAAACACAGTTTAGCATTTAGCAACAACAGAGGCAGATATTTCCCCCCCGGGGAAAGCAGAGATCAAAAGCAGAGCTGTACCAGAGTGAATACACAAACATGACTACCAAAGGCAAATGCTGTGCAATGACTTGTGGATGTGTGACTTTGGGCCACTATGGGATAACAGCTGATGACAAGGGTACATTTAACCATATTCAACTCTACATTCGACCATGAGGTAAGTTTCAAGCAAACTTTTTAACACTGGAGGTCAAGTGTTCATGGTTGGCTTTGGAACCTGGAAGACAATGATGATGACATTTGGACCAAGTTGGACATTAATGCTTGTTAATGCTGCAGCTTTGCCCACTTTGCTCACTATGTCCCTCTGCTTTACTAACACACACCTGGTTATCTTTTCCCCTATCCTCTTTGCAGCAGATCCTATTCTGCAGTCTTATTGAACGATTGCAGTCATTTTCATTTCCATAATTCTGGATAGGTCGTGATCATGATTTCAATTGTATTGACTGTGCATGCCTAGAAAACCATATAGAGTGCAGATTTGTTACCTAACTGTATTTTCCCAGTTATATAACACTGTGCATCAAGCCTCACCTTTTACCTTTTCAGTCCACGTTTTCACTGCACAGCACAATATTAATTTAAACAGCTTTAAAGGTACATTCACACATGCTTCAGTGGGCTCACGTTACTTTTTCTTTAAGCCTGTTTATCAGGTGCAACATTTCATCCAATAAAACTGTAACACCGCAAAGTCTTTCTCTAATCCAGCTGCTTCTTTCTGGCAAAACAACATAATCAATATGAGAATAGTGGACCATCCTTTCTTTGAAACTGGTGAACTAAAGTTATACGTGTGTGGGTTATAACATCCTCAGAAACAGGATGAACTGAGTCTGAACTGCTTTTGATTCACTTCTCTGGTAGAGCTCCTCTCTAAATCCAGTTTCACATACAAGATAGTGAGGAGGGGATACCTTTCTGTGTTTGCTTCTCATTTCCCTGTTCGGCTGTATTTACAAAAGGTCCCCTTCAGTCACTCAAGAGCCACCGGGAGGTTCAATGAGGGAAATGAGAGCTCCATCTGCATACATTAGAATTGTAAATGCAGTCAGGTGCACAAGACAGCATCCATACATAAAGATTAGTTAAAAAATCTGTCAGAACTTCACAGACAAGCTTAGGAAGAAAGACACACATCAGACAGCAGACAAGAGACAGATGGTGCTCATTGATAAGCATGAATATTATTATTGCCACAGTTGGCTAAAATGTGCCCTTGAGGAGAAATTAGGTATTTTGTGGCCTTTAATATGTGATCACATTGCCTATTTCCTGCCTAAATAGATGGATATTTTTTCCAATAAACAATCACAAAAAGAGCTGCAGCTCAGTTCAAAATAAACTGTCTTTCTGACTGCCAAACCTTTCACTAGACTTAACGTCTGGACAAGTGCTGAAAAGTTAAACTTATAAATTCATACACTCCAACCCAGGTCCATGTCCTGAAATCGTTTGGTACATTAAAATGGGTGCGAAACTTCATTCAAACTCTGGTCAACTTGAAAATGCAGGCCTCGGTTTGCTTCAAGCAAGGTATGAAACAGGTTCTGTCCTGGAAAGGTCGGTATACCAGTTTTTTAACATGGTTGTAGCTCCACCCAGTGGAAAAGGGGCAGTAGTACCTCTAATAGACAATGATCTATACTCTTCAGATTTCGCATGCGAGTCCAAGTCCAAGGATTTGGTCATAATCACAATGTCACCCACTGTAGGTGATGCCACCACATGACACAACTGTCTGGGTGAAGAATTGCCACCTTTAGCTCAACCTGTCCAAAATTGTGTTTTACGTCATACTGGTCTGTCCTTCCATACAACCACCGATAAATAAGTCATGTCCACCTGGAATCTTAGGTATCATTATGGATGACCAACAAACCAAAAAGGTTCATGTGACCTTCATTGCTTGGTTGTGCCCATTTACCACAACCTCCTATAACACCAGGAGGATCAGATCCTAACAGAACATGCTTCACAGGCTCTTATAAGACCACACATTGACAACTGCAACTCCTTACAGGCATGCCTCACTGCATGACCATTCATAATGATAGTGGTGAAGATATCGAGTGTTATTAGTTGCAGTGTTGATAATATTTAGAAAGCATCAACCTTAGCATTGACTCTAGCACAGCAAGACAGCGGAAGTTCTGATTGGACCTATTTCTGGCCAGTTTCCGTTGTTGCCTGTAATACCAACGACACTCAGAGAAAGTCTTGTTATTCCTTACCACCTCAAGCAAAACGGAGATGACTACCACAAAGACTTTTCAGGATGTAAAAATGTGGGATAGCACTCCCTTTGTCTCTCCTTTGCCCGGTCCTGAACATCAAGCTCCATGTGTTGGACCCTGACTACAGAGATCACAAACTAATTAATAGATCTGTGCCTCCTTTCCAAGTAAATCCATCCCTTTTATGACATGAACAGCTGTAACATCAAACCGTGAGACTTGTGGTTGTTGCAGACAGTTCTCTTAATCATGAGGTGTAGGTTCAGACCTCTAGGAGCTCCTCTGTTTCCACCGTCCGTCTCATCAGTCTGAGTGTCAGTGTGCAAACACTTGATTAGCTCACTACCAGTCCATGACACATCCAGGGCCCTGCTGATTAGTGTTGATTTAAGATGAAGACTCTGTGAACATGGCACAGTATGGGGTTAGAAAACACGTATACACACAAGCTTGTTTTGGAAACTGACTATAGTAAACATATTATTTTTACAACACCTTAAAGCAGCACAAAAGTGGTGACTTTTTCAAACTTAATCGGGATTGTGTTTGCGTCATTGAAATCCATTGATGAGAATTATTCAGATGATTTTATTGATATCATTAGGGCAGGGTTAGGGTTTGTGTTAGCATGTCTGAAAACATCTACTAACAAATCAATTTAAACAACCACATTTTCCCCATGCCATGACATGGGTGAGAAAGCTGCAAACCAACAGGACTGTGAAGAGTGTGGCGATGCTGTAAAAGTCTTATGGCCACAGGGATCCACAGGTAAGTAAACAGGAATACTCATGAGGTGGTGTTGTCTTAGAGATGCTAAACAGCCAAAGGGGGAGGCACAGAAACCTGAAACACTGGGACAGAACTCGTGCTTAGAGACAAACAGCAGAATAACTGCAACACAGGCAGCAGAGAAACAGTAACTTTTGATGTGAAGAAGCTGGAAAGGTGAAGGAGCAAGGTGGAGGCGAGGAACGGCTAGAAAGCTGATAGCCTGGAATCAAGGTGGAGGCAACTGGATGCTCAAATGAACAGAGAAATCCTGGAGGTCTGGCAGGAGGTCAACAACAGGAGTTCTCTCTAAAGTGTGACCAGGAGCATCAGCCAAACTGCCAGCTGAAAACCAGGGGAAGGTGTCACCAATGGAGAACCAAGGGCATTCACCAGCAGGGCCAAACCAGGTTCTTGATCACAAACAGGCTAAACAGAGGCAGGATATGCAACCGCCCAGTCAGGACTTTAAGAGTCGTCGGCTGGGACTCCTGAGCTTTGGCATGCCAAGTCACTATCTGGGACACCCAACACTGGACCTTACCAGTTATCGGCTGGGAAATGTAACGTTGGATGTGACGAGCGGTCAGCTGGGACCTCCCACTTTGGACCTGACAAGTCATCGGCTGGTTGCTCGAACCCTGGATCTGACAGCAAGTACTACTGAGAAAAAAGGGACCAGTGCTGATGCTGCTCAGGAACAGGAGAGGAGTGCAGCAACCAAACAAGGACACAAGTAACAGTATATTTAAACCTCTGCAGGTGATCCAGAACGCAGCAGCCACTCTGGTCTCTCCACTGGCTCCCAGTTGCAGCTTGCATCAAAATTCCAATCCCGACTTCGTTTGCCCAACAAAAGCAGCCCCCTACTTTGGGAGTAATACATTTTCATGAACTTGTTATTACAGTAGCCAGATGGGTTAGGGCATTCGACGGTGAATAATCTCAGCATGTGTGACACCTGGCACTGACCTGAACACAACCTGGGCCATGGAGATAAGGAGCTGGAGAATTAGCCTCCTGGTGTAGAACAGCCAAGAGGCTTCATGGAGTCACACATCCCAACCTGAAATGTCACAGGAGAAAAAAAAAGCAGCTTTTAATTAAAAAATCAAACTTTATTTTCTCCTTAAGAATCGCAATGGCTTCAGTTTGGATTCGATCTCCTGTTATTCTCAGAAAAAGTGACTTCTTTTAATTGTGAAAGAAAATCTTTTTTTCCCCCGTTGATTGACAGGACTGCATGACAGATTTGCACAAACCCACAGACGTTTCCCTAATCACTCTGAAATCCTTGTCCTTCTGTTTCAGCGACGGCAGAGGAAAATCCTGTCAGTCACTGGCAGCCATATTGATTTTTCCTTTGGCTGCACAAAAGCTACAATCACTGCTGATGTCACTTTGTGTTTCTTCAATGGTCTGTATTTATCTGCCATTTATTTTGTCTATTTTGCTTTTTGATTAAACTGCCATTCTTTGTCTTTTTCAACCACTTTGTGTCCAAGATTTAGATGGGGAGTTTCACTGACAATGCAGAGGCTGAATAGGTGTACGATTAAACGAGGTGTGTGTTGGTTGCATTGTATGTAGGCCTCAGATTGAACTGTTCAACTGTTTCTTACATTAGACTCTGCCTCATTTTCTTACGGTACCATCAGCCTCACAATGACTCATCTGACCAAAGCTTCACCTCAGCTTTACCGCCAGCTCCTTCTAAGCCTCCCCACATAAAGCGGTTGTGTCCCCGAGCAGCTGCTGTGTTTGAACACACTGCGACGAGAGAATATCAGGCTGTCACTGAAGTCAAGGCAGACCTGCGCCTCGATAGAGGATGGTGTCTTCGAAATGTGGGGGAAAATAAAAGATCACATGGCGCTGCTTTCGACGAGAATATATCCCTGAATCGAAAGCTCGCTGTTGCAGTTCAGCTTCTTAAACAGAGTGGAAACAGAGAGAGACGTTCCCTCATGTCTGCTCATCGCTGTGCCAAATTCTCTTGCTGCTTGCCGGTTGATATCATCCGACAAGCAGCCTTGCAGATTGCTTCCAAAAAGAAGTTTTACAGCCTGTTATATCACAGATCACAAGGATGAAGCTCAGGTCAGGTTGGTTAATTTGTGCATTTTTCTATTTGCTTGTCTTCCGTGCACAAGTTATAAATAGAAACAACTCACTAATCTGTCAATCAATGAACGTCTCCTTCCTTGTAAGCAACAGGGAGTTGAAATCACTCACACTTATGCATAGGCAGATTAGTGTGGATTTGTTTGGGGTCTTTAAGATACACATTAAGCCTGTTTAGTTTGCCCAGGAGTGAATAAAATCTTAAAAAGGACTGAGACTCAGGAGGACTGACTGTCTGCAGGCTGCGGCTGAATGGGACATTTGGACCCGTTGTGTTTCAGTCGCAGAGCCTGGCTTTGTAATTATCTCTGTGGCATTGACTTCAATAGAGGAGAAGAGATAAATTTGACCATTTGGAAATAGAGGCATCATGATGCATATCAATCAAATGTTTTCCAATTCAGAGTTTTTCTTGTGGACAAACCATGAAAGGAAAAAAATAGCTCTGAGTACAAACACCATTTCCTCTAAGTGCTTTAAATCTGCATAAATGTTGCATTTTCAGTATGAAAAGAAAAGCGCTCTCAAGATGATGGCAGCATATCCTCTGCAGTATAATGATACTGAAAGATGATGCCTGGAATAACAGCAAAGAAAATGGGATATTATCATTATTTCCCACGAACCCTGGATTTTACAAAGCCCTCCATCAAACCTAATGGGTGCTTTGAGCATCTTAACACTGTTGTCTTTTCTTTCTCCATAGCAGTGCTTTGCAAAAATAATGAAGAACCATATTTTCACTTCTTTCTTTCAACCAAAATATGCAAAAAGGCAAATTTTTGATCTTTGGAAACTTCATGCTAACAATGTAATATTAGGCTCAGGTGTCCCAAGTCCACCCATAAGTGCCTTAACATATACAGTGCACCTTTTAACCTCAATGAGACAAGTAATGACTCAATTAGTAATTGCAATTCTTCAGATGATTGGAAGTGCAGTTTGTTGAGACTTGATACATTTTGGTCTTGATTCTGAACTTAACCTTGGACTTGGTCCCAACTTGGGACTTCTCAGGCTGGGCCCGCTTAAACCCCACCCTTGTTAATCCTTATTTGTTGTAGACTTTGAACTTGTTGGACTTTTCTTGCTGTAGATTTTAGGACTTGTGGTTTTGGCTTGACTCTATACCTCCTACAGTTAACCCTTGTCTTGATACTATTGATCTTAAAATAATGCAAAGGTTACAAGTCTTTATAAAGTATCTCAAGAACTTCAGTGAGTCATGTTGATTCTGACTTGGGACTTGTTGATTTAGGCTTTAATCTGGAGACCTCACACTTGACCTGACCTGGGCCAAGGACTTGACAATCATGCAATTGACAGATATGTCAGGACATGGTATCAATGGTTAACCAGTCTTGACTCGTTGAGCTGTCGGTTGTGAGTGCAACCCCCCTTTTTAGGACTTGTTGGAACCGACAATGGTCTACTTTAAGACTGATGTACAATTTTCTTTAAGGAGGCTTAGTCCGGCAACAGCGCCCCCTAAAACATAAGCCAGGGGGCGGGTGACACTGCTTATGTCCTGCGGGATGCTAGATGGTCTTTACTTTTTTTCTTGTTTGATTTGTTATACAATTGTTAACTGGATCGATGATTTAATAATTTTGATTTATCATTGGCCTGACCTGGAACCAGGATTCAGAAAGATTTCAGTAGGTACCTGGTCTGGCCTTGTTTATCTTAACTTGAGACTTCTTGATCTTAGCCTAAAACTGAACCTGTTAGCCTTTGACTAGCACCTGACATGGGACCTTGTCTTAAAAGAGAATGGTTTAAAGTTGGAAACCAATCCTTCGACTCACATATGCAGAGCTAGATATTTATGCATAACTCTTACTCTTCTTTCTGCTCCTCAGTGTAATTTTAAAACCCTCAGGAGTCTCTTGAGTGTCTCTAAATTGGTCTTTAACCAAACAAAGAGAGAAATAAAAGCCAGATAAAAGCCTCTGTCTTAAATTGTGCCAATTGATGCAGCAAGACAATAAAACATGTCAAATGAGTCGGTTTTACTTGTGTTTGCCTTGAATCACAATGACAGACTAAGCAGGAAGTAATTTATTCTCTCATAGCTTTAGCTTGTTTGTATTGTCCTGATGGTCCTGTAATGAGTCCGTGGTGTCACCTAAGGAATCAGCAACTCTGTGAAGAGCTGACCCTAGACTAATCAGAGTGTCTGTCTGAATAAACTCGTCACGTGTGTGTGTGTGTGTGTGTGTGTGTATGTGTGTGTATGTGTGTGTGTGTGTATGTGTGTGTGTGTGTGTGCGTAACTCTTACCACAAGTGGTTATCAGAGACCATACATCAGGGAGGGTCTGGTGTTCCCGTCAGCAGTATGTTGATGTGATCTCCTCAGCACTGACACAGCAGGAACAGACAGCCTGTACCCATCACTCATTATGTCAATCAGTTTTGATAAGCGGACATGATCTAATTATATGCCAGGCCATTACAGAGGAATGTTCCCCCAGAGAATTAAAGCATAGGAGATCACCCACAGATTTACTGAAGAGATGGTCAGCTTCAGATCTTGACTGCCGGGCATTGTTGGCCTTCTTTTGGCCCACTTAGAAAGGTCCTGATGAGTGTAACATTGTAATTATAAGAAAGGTTCTTCTTTGGGAATTTGGATTTACATTATCAAACATACCGTAAATTAAAGGTATAAGTAATTTGTGATCTTTTACAGTGATTAGTTATGGCTAAAAAGGTGAGCCAAGTTTCTCTATATGGCCTCAAGCCTGAGATTTTCATTAGCTTTCAGGTGTGACGGATTTCATGTTTTTTTTCCTACGAAAATGTGGCTCCAATAATACCTGAGCTAGCTTTTATAATGTGATTACAGTTCATGAGATACATGGTGCTGTAATAGGCGGAAAATGGGTCAGGGGAAAATAAGGAAGTGTGGGATGTGATCCCCCCATGTGTATTTTCTCTATTTTGAAGAACATCAGGTGTCTTCCAAGGGTGATGCTGTGAACTCAGACAATGTGAGACTTTTTTTAAACCATAGAAAATAACAGCTGCACCCTGCATTTATAGTTATGGGCTTACTTTCATCGTGAGCCTGTGCTGTGTGAATTCACTCATTAAAGCAGAAAAGCAGCTTTAAAGTTGTTTTCAGGCCAAAGTAAGACTAAGTGATTATATCATTTCTTTCACTGTGTGTAAGAGACTAAGTGATGATCAGGCTGTGCTGAAACCTTCATTTGTGTTGCATTAAAGTTTGTTAGCGCAGCATCCTCAGAAACAGTCAAATAGGCTTTTAAGTTTCATATCATTGTTGTCAGTGGTTATCACCTTAAGGGCACATTAAAGCCACCGTTATAGACTGACGGAAGTCTTTGGAGTGATCCAAATCAAAAACAGGCTCTTAAACGACTCTTTATGGTACCAATTTGACCTAAAGACCTGACTCTTGAGGTTAGGTTATTGACACATGGGCTACCCTCACATATGTACCTCTCTTCAGCACAATTTGAAGCCAGAGAAATGAGGGGTCTTCATGGGGAAAGGAGCAAACAACCATTTGATAAATGTGATTGAGGCCAAAGTGGAGCCAAAAGGATGATGAGTATTGGATCGTCAATTGCCTATAGAGAAGAGAGATAAATACTGACGTGTTGCTCACCACCCAAATAAAACATGGTGCAAATAAATGTGCTATATCAACATAGATGGGTGTTTGACCCAGAATAAAATGAGCAAATGTAAGTTTAAGGAGTAAGGATTTTAAAGCATCAACATCTCAGCACAAAAAATCAGCTTACAGCTTGTCGTTACACAATCCAACTGGTATTTTTATGATATGTCCCCTCCCTGACAGAGCCAAGCAATTTTAAGGACTTTTGGGTGGCCAGTCAGGTCACAAAGGGGGCCTGTTCCACCCCTAGCCACCCCTTTGGACATGCCCCTGGCTGTCATAATAAGACTGTGTAAAATCATCAGTTTTGGTTTGGTTATTCTGAGGGCTACCACATGATTTTGGGTAAATTAAATTCTTACTCATCTATCACTTGTATCTTTATAAAATTGTATTTTTTTTAGGTAGTTCAGGTTTTTCTGATGTAAAAAATGAGTTGCATCTTTTCAAAAGGGCTTTTGAGAGGCAGAAAGTTTGACAGCTTTGTCCTTGCCTGGTGTTGAGCGGAATAAAATAATAAGATAGATAAGATTAGATCAGATAAAACTTTATTTTTTCCAGAGTCGTCATACTAAATTAAACTTGCCTAACCGGCTCTTTATATTTGACTCACCTTGGTTTGGACTGAGCTGTGTGGTTTTATCTTTAGGCAAAAATTGACATCAAATTTGGCCCGAGGCAATGCAGTAATTGGCGGCAATGTGTCAATAAGCAGTCCCCCTTTTGCAGGCCACAGACTTATGGGAGCACATTAGCTCTACTTTTGCAGTAAACAGGCTGCAGTTCAGCCCATGAGGCTCCAAACGTTGCCAAATTTAGCAGATTGCTATGGTTTTCCCAGTGTGACATTTCTAAACAAGCCTCATTATGACCGCCATATGGTTTCTTCATGGTTTCGCACATCTGCCTCTGCAGTACATCAGTGGAAATTCACGTCACAAATACAACCCAGACACTCCTCCTCGGGCCTAAATACACAAACTCCTCCAGGTCCAGGACATCATCGGACACAATCAGTATTCTTGGGGCGCAGCCTAACAAGAGGTTTTACAAAACGCATCACCCCTGAGGAGAGATTGGTGTAAAGTATTCATAGTACTACTCAGCAAACTCTGAATTACTTGTCAAAACTTATCATGCAGAGCGGTGGAGCTATAAGAAGGTGCTGGAATGTGGCTCTGTGGTTCTCAATTACAGCAGGACAAAGGCTTATAGTGTGGTGACATATTGTGAGAAGGAGAAGTGCAGCAGACCAAAGCCTTTGTGACATGAGGGACACAGCAGTGCATAAAATTGTAATTCATTTTCAGAGTGTTGGTAAGCCTTTCAAATGGAATTCAAATCAGCATGGGCTTTTCTCTGGTTTGCTCTTTTGCAGAGAGGAAGAAGGAAAGAGGGAGAAAAGCCCTGTTCGTGATGGTTGATAGAGGGCTGTGGAAGCAGCGAATCATCCACATCCCTTCGGTCACCAGCACCAGAATCAGAGGCGCAGATGGAGAAGATTCAAGCTTCCACATAAATGTTCTTGAATAAACAACACAAACTTAGTGGCAGGAATTTTGGGGGGATGACTGCAATGTTTTCTCAACATGATGAAAGTCAACAAACTCAGTCTGCTCTGGGCTGCAGTATGACTCACTCTGTTTAACTGTGTCTCCTCCACGGACAAACTTTTCCTCAAGTGGACATATGGGGGGAAGCTGATCAGCACACACACACACACACACACACACACACACACACACACACACACACACACACACACACACACACACACACACACACACACACACGCCTCATCAAAAATAGGTTTAACTCAGTCAAGATAAGATGGCTGACCTTTAATTCCTATAAACTGCCACGAAAACTTGCCTCCCTCAAATGACACTGACATAAAAGCAGAAACCAGCTTCACTGGATTTAAATCTCTTTTAACCGATCCTGGTCTTGACTTTGAAAACAGATCAAACAGAGTTATGAAGCTCCACGACACTCAGACTTACACTTGTGTGTGGGCGGCTTTAAACATCATGCATGATCCAGCAGACGGAGCTACAGCTCTTATTAAAAAAGCACACACTGCAGATGCACAGCAAGGTCACATACTGGACCTGGTGTCGTGGCTCTGACACAGATACCAGTATACATAAAACAGAGGATACCACAAGCATGTATGTGAGCATCAAACTCACAATTAAAGTATAAAACAGGCATGTATAGGTTTGTATGGTGGCCATGAAGGTCAGTGATACCAAAATTGCTGGAAGGCCAAATTTAAATTTTTAAAACACAAAAACATTTAATTAAACACACATATAATTGAATAAAATCAAACACTATTACATTTAAACTCACACTCCAACTTTTGTTTTTTTTGTTTTTTTAACCATTTAAAGTGTTTTCAGTGGTCTTTTAAATTTGATGATGAAGCTTGTAGTCAAAATCACGTTACCTGTGACATTGTTAAGGACTTTCCTTCTGCAGAGCTCCAAGTAGCTCATTAGCTGAGTCATGGGCGGAGACAGCGCTGCTCTTCACACTCCTCTTCACACTCCTCTTCACACTCCTCTTCATGCTAGCTTGTAGCCTAACGTTGCCGTTGTAGTGGTAGAAGCAGGTCACATAGGAGCTATTCAGCTCTTGGACACTGATGTCTTTAGGGACATAATGAAAGTTAATATCATAATTAGCTTTTTTACAAGCATTGCAGTCCGCTAACACACACATTTTTTCTGTGATTGTCACCTTTACTTCTCGGAGTCTGGCCTGAATAACGGGGGCTCTGGGGGTGGAGCATGGATTTGTGATGTAGGAAATCTCACTGTGTCTAAACTTATTGCTTGGGTCTGCCAGAGATTTACAGCGATCTGAGTGCAAAAAAATACTCGGAAATGTAACTTCACATTTATTTTTCCCATGATATGTCCTCTATCATCTGACAAATGCCATATTAACATATAGAATACAAGAAAAACATGGTTTCCATTGGAGTGGGTCTTTGAACAATTTTAAACACTAAACAACAAATGTATTTTGAAAACACAACATGTTTTAGTGCTCAGGGGTATTTTGGCCTGACTCTAATGCTCAAGACTCCGGAAATTCAAAGGAACTGAAAGAATAAAGCAAGGCCAGACTGACTAAATGAACTTCCTGGAGAATCACAAAATTGCCGGCTGTCTAGGGTTGCTGGCAGTTGCCATGTTTGCCTCTCTTTGCTAGTTTGTTTTCCAGCTGTTCACCTTAGTACTTTCATTTCCCGTGTGTCGGTGTTGAGGTGGAACAAATCACTGCAGATAAAATGTTTCAGCCCCTCGCCATTAACCAACACATCACAGGCAAAGTGCAGATTAGTTATGTTCCAGTTCAGGAGCAACATCCTCCTCTGAATGACCCTTGACTGGCATAAATCTTAACACAAGCTACTGAAGTCCCAGAGCTGTGAATCCATCGGCCTTTTTTTTAAAGTAGCCTTCAAAATTACTTCATATTTTAAGTGGAGAGAGAGTACTCCAGTAGTCGCCTTCACAGACCTTTTACCTCTGTACTCGAAGAATCAGCTCCAGACTGCATGATGCAATGTGAGCTGATATTTCATGAGTGCCATAATGCAAGGTAGTTTCCAGCAGGTGTGCACTCACTTGCACTCTGTTTCATCATGCCTCGAGGTAAAGAGCCTGCAGTGGGTTTGATTGAATCTTAATGCAGCCGTGTAGATAATAGGCATGAGGATGAGTTCAGCAAAGCACCATCAGTCAGGAAAGTGCACTCAGTGACTGCACACTTTTTTAGACCATTCAGAAGTCATGAAAAGAAGTGAAAAGACACACTCTGGAGCTGAATGGTTTGTGAAACATCTACTGACCTGTTCTGACCATGTCAGTTTAATTTGACGATCCACCAAACTTAAAAGGTAGCTGTTTTACTCTTATATCATATGCAAATTGGAAAGCTACATTTCTTTCATTGTGTGTTGGTTGCAAATCTATTTTCTGAAGTGTTGGTAACTGAAAAATCAATGAAAGAAAGACCAGGGGTGTTATACTAACATTATTCCATTATAGTATTATCTCAAACTTGAAAACAATAATAATAACATTAGCTACAGTATGTGATAGCTTATTGGTTTGTTGTTTTCACAATTTACTGTAAAATCTGGAATATAAGTCCCACCAGGAGTTCTTGTCATTTTGGCTATTACCACCTGTCTTCATGCAGGTTTTGCAAGCCTGTTTGCAAGCCTTGTGAAGTCCAGACTGCTTAGCATTGTGCCACACATTCCCACTGGAGTGTTTTTCAGCCAAACCTGCACTCCACTCTGGGTTTATTTTCCTAACTACACATCTGTTTTCTTTAAATGCATGTCAAAACACCTGAGCATGCTTCAAACAGTGAATGCAATACAAGTGGGGAAATTTGCAACCACATCAGGTCACATGCTGTGGGTGATGGTGGGGACTGCAATGGGGACTCCCCTTTTTTCTTCCAGCTGGTGCTCATTCAGTTTATCGATAGTACAATTTTATGCAAAGAATGCAAAAAAAGAAAAAGCTTGGGTTTCTTAAATAAGGGGTCAGATAAGGACACAGGGATTTGTTTGCACTCTAAGTGGTAAAAAAAACTGTAACCAGAATGAATACAGAGCCACTCAAGGCCAGCTCTGAGTGGGAGAGGTGAATCAACACTTTAATTCAATTGTAAATGGTGCTTCACCGCCTCTTTCAAAGGAGAAACTTAATCTGTCAACCTCTGAATCAAAGCTGCTTTTAACCAAGAGGAAAAAAGATAAGATGTTAAGATGTCCTGGGATTTAAAAATTGGGGTTTTAGTGGGAATTTAAGAATGGTCATCTGGGTTCAGACACACACAAACACACTCTCGAATGACTGAATGATGAATCCAGCAGGGTGACAACTTATTTTACTTTGAGTAATAGTGTGGTTCATTACGGGTGACATCAGATCCCTGTAGGAATTCAGCAACACGTAACAGCGATGAAACGAAAGCTTTTAAATGAATGAATCTAAAAAAATGGAACAGCTTGATGGGCTCCTTTCCAAATCTCTTTCTCTCTCTCTCACGTTAGGTGTCAATTCAAAAGTGATATATTCTAGTTTGAACAGCTGGTGGCTGCTCCACAGCATGATGATAACAATCTAATTTCCAAGTGGTCTCAAGCTCAACAGTTCTCAGGAAAGTCTGTAAATCCTCCTCTCTTCACCATACTGATGCAGCTTTTCTCTCAGATCATACAGCCATGTGTTGTTTTCTCTGTTCATATGTGTTCACACATGCCTGATTGAACATGTTTCTGCCTTTTTCATTTTGAAAAAGCGTTTTAAGTATTTATAGAAGGGGCTGTCATGATAGGAAATTCTCACCTCTCTATCTACCTTACCTTTATGTCCCTCAGGTGTGAACAAGCCTTGGGATCATCTCTATAAATCAATTTGGACTACACCAGATCCAGATCCACAGCTTGTGTTTGGGTCTTATCTTGTGTGTGCCAGAAAAAAAAAAGCTTTTTTGGGGGAAAGTTTTATTTCTTTACAGCAGTTTTCCAAACTAATATAACTAATATAACTGTTGGAGCCAAATAAGTTTTTATTTTGGTTCACAATTAGAAAACACAACGGAAAACTGAGATGTGTATATTTTGTTGGTAAGTTGAACTCTCTGGCTGGGGCTTTGCTTGCTCGAGTTTGGAGGGAGAAACACATTTTTGACCACGATCCAAAGCACCGAGTTTGGTTTTAGTGCATACACTTGATATTTAGATTGTTAACTAATCATTGTTTTTACAGATTATTAGAAACCTGATCATGGATGTCTAATACACTGTTAGCCATATCCAGCATCTTTTATGTTGCAGCCGAGTGGAGGAAATGTTTACCACCATCGGATACACAAGGACCCACAAGATCATTCTCCTGCTGCATTGTAACAAGGGGCCACAGTGGAAAACTATTACTGATGTATTTATGCAGCATATCACTAAAGATATGATGATACAGTAGAGGAGCCTGGGCTTATCAGCATGCTTTCAATTATCGACCCTTGGCATGTGTTGGTGCGAAAAGATCTCTAGAGAGCTGAGGGTGTTGTTTTTTTTCCCACAACAGCCATATAGTTCGTTTGAACCATTTAGCCTTACATACATTTGGCTGTGCATATTCAATGAAAAATAAATGTTAAAATTGAGTTCGGTTTGAAAAAAGAAAACAGACAAACAAAGATTTGAGGTTGAATTGCTCAGCCCTAACATGCAATTGATGCCATTGTTCAGTATTAATTTAGTACTACATTATGCAACATTTATCCCTCTTACTTCTTATTAGGACCATTTAGTCCAAATCATGGATAAAATCATCACATTACTGCATAATTATCACGTTTGGTCTGTGTTCACATGGGGAGTTAGCCAGCTGCAGACACAGAGGACTTCTGTCAGCATTCCATTCAAAATTGTGCTATTATTATGAAAACAAGGCAATCTAGCCAGCTAAAGTTGACCTTCACAACCGTTATCTCAGCCATTATCAATATATTTATATCACCATATTTTTAATGTCTGCGTTTGCATCGGCTTCTCAGTATGGCTGTTTGGTCCACACCAGGGTTTGATTGACAGCTTTCACACCAGCATAAATGAACCGCACAAAGTTAGATTTGAGTTTGTTTTAGCCAAACCAATTAGGTTAGGTACAAAAGCAGCCTAAAAGACATGTACTGATGAATTAAAGGTCTTTGGCTCACATCTAACAACAACACCATCTATTCAGGGTCCATCTCTTGGAATAAAAACAGTTACAAGCATGAAATTTTAAGCATGAATAAAGACGGCTGTCAGGATGCTTCTCACTGTGGTTATAAGCAGTGTTAAGTGTGGGAATGAAAGTCCTTTCTCAAGAGGAGGCACAAAAACATACTTTTGATCTCTCTACTGGCAGGTTTCCTCCCAACACACTTTTCTTCCTTTGTCATCTGACTCATTCATCGCTCAGTTCTCTGGCGAAATCATGCTAATCAGAGAGAACAGAGTACAGCTTAAAGTGCAGCGGTTCTCATTTTCAGCTAATTATGATCCCGTCTGCCAAATGTCGATATCCTCCTCTGACAGGGGAGCAGCTCTGTAATGATCCATCAAAGTTAGCTTATTGGTGATTTCATAGGCAGTGTAGCTGGTGCAGGATTTCTCTGACAAATGCATTACCTTGCATCTCTTTCCTTTTGGCTGATTATACAAATGACTGACTCACTTTATGATCCAGTCCTTCTGGCTTTCACAGAGACAGCAGCGTTGGTTTGTTTGTATTTAAAGACCATTACAAACCCACACTGGGAAAACCACCTTCTGCTTTTCAAACCTCCTATCACTCACCAACAGCTGGGATGACTTCGCTTCACCACATGGCTGCTCTACCAGGTACACAGGACTCGCTCACACCTTGGTAGAGCTGCTTCCCTCCTTTTTCCCTCCGCCCTGGTCTAGAAATAGCCCCCAGACAGCATAACAGCTTGATTTTGTCTTCACAAGAGTGTGTTCCTATATGAGGTTTATCTGAGAGCTCAGTCTGATTTTTCCTCTTTTTTTTTTGTATTCTAGCATACTTTATCTCATTAATTCTGTAACTATAGAAGTGTGTGCTTGGCCAGGTCTTTCTTGATGAGGAGAAATTTGACTCTCAAAGTTCATCTTGCCTAAACAAAATAAATATGCATATCCCTTACTGTTTATTTTTTATTTTTTTTGTTTTGATGTCACTGAGATGTGAAATGTCGTCTGCCATCCATTTTTTTATTTCTGCCAGGCACTTACGAACCACAATAATGTCACAATGGCTGCATTGACATGCAACATTTTTCTCAATACGATTGAAAATAATTGTATCCAGTGGATCGGATGCAGCCTGTATACATCAATTTAAAATAAAGAGATCCATGTTTAGTCCATGTTGACATGGGCCCAGCTGAATCCAATTGATTAGCTCCTACAACATGCGCAACAAGCCTCTCCATCAATAATCTCGGCGTGATTTACAGCTATCAAGCCTCTCAACAATTTTGAGATCTTGTAGTGTTTCGATTAAAAATTTAGTTGCCAGTGCTGTCCATCTATCAACTGAATATGATCCAGTTGGAAATTTATATGTGGCATTGATCGTATCATCAATCAGTGTAGACTACCTCCTACAATTGGATTCGAAATTTAATGCGATCCGTTGTTGGTTCTGATACCCTTTGTTGTCAGAATCTTTGCCTTTATTTAAACGTTGAAGTGGTGACAAAAAACTCTATATTACTGACTGATGCTGATCAAACATCATTTTTGAGAAGATTTAATGTGAAAAATGTAAAAACACGGATTTGTGTTTAGCGGTTTGACTGATATCTACCATTTCACACTGATCCTAGGCATCAAAAATCACTGTATAATATCATAAATCTTGTCTTTGATGGTCTTAATTGCTCTTGTACAACATAAAAAGGCATCGATATGCATTTTAGTCTGTTTTGTTAATGTAAAAAAATCCTTACTGTAGCTTTAACCTATCTTTATTGATTTCAATTCTATTTTTAAAGCTACACTTTTTTATGAGATTTAATTGTCTTGAGTAGAGAAAATAACAGATGGTGTTGCATATATAGGACACTGAAAACTGAAGCATATATTTAAAATACCATTATACACACAATCATATGGAATATCTCAAGGGTAAAAACTAAGGGCTGGCTTTAACACAAAGCCTTCTCCATACCTCTGTTCTTGAGCATTTATGCATGTATTAAGCCAAAATGTGTGTGTGTTAATCATTGCATCAGGGGTGATCTCTGTCCACTGGGATTTAATGGGGATTAGAAGCAGTCTCCAAACGCCCTATCGTTTCTCCACTTTAAAGAGCCATCTGATGAAGCCAATCCTCTCCGATCCACAAAGGCGGAGATGTGCACACTGTTCAATCAATATCCTCTGTTTTTCTGACACTTAAGTCAAGGTCAGGCTTACAGCAGAGCCTTTGGGTGATACATAAAAAGATGAACAGTGCGTCATTGAAATGCATTTTGGCAGATAGGAGCTTTTAGTTGTATTTATTTATGAAATATTGGATGGGAATAAATTAACATTGTAATACCTTTAAATCCCTTATATGATATCAGCTGTCACCTGCGATGTCAGCACAAGGCTAAGTGAGGGATGATGTATGGGAGGATAAAGGTGAGCTAATAACAGCTGAACATCACCTGTAGGATTTTTGAAGCGTTGTGAAACCCTTTTCTATTCTACAGGGATGGATTTGATGTGAGCTCCTTTATCATACAAACCATAAAACTGTGAACAGATGATATGATAAACTTAAACACACCATTGAAGCTGAAATATCGTCAAACTAACATAAAGGAACAATCTAATTAATTCCCAGCCAGCTTGTGAGATAAGCCTGGAAGTAGTACTCACTGCCTTAAAGGTATAGTGTGTAAAAAAGGAAAGATGGCTGTCTCTGTGGAAGGGGACCTGGTGCCTGTGTAGGTAGAAAAGGCTAAATCTAAGTCAACACATAGGAGACGATTTATATATTTGATCAAAAACAATGTGTTTGTTCCAGGGAAGCCACTCTGACACAGTAATCCAGCAACGAGGTGTGCCCCAAAGTTTAACTCTGGGTCCACTACTTTTTTTTCTTTTTCTTTTGTTGACAACCTCTTCTTAACTTGCTCAGACTGTTGTGTCCAGCTATACGTAGATGATACAGTATGACACAAGTTTAAAACTAATTTATTACAAGTTAAATCAGCTTTGAGTATAGCTAAACACTGACTGGTGAAAGTTGTGCATAAGATAGCCTATATGTATTTCCTCAGTCTTGTTTAATTCTGTCTGCGTTGTTTGCTTTGTTTTGCTGTTATTTTGCCTATTTTGTGCTTTGATAATGTCTCGCACCTGTCACTTTTGGCCCCTGATGACCCCTAACAGTCCAGTTTGATTGGTCAGTGTGTATGCCCCATGCTGTGGCTTAATTGGCGCTGGCACTGTTGACAGAGGTGGACTTCAGCATGGTGTGGTTGCTCCTGAATTATTCAGCTTTCATCCAAACAGCACACCCAGCATGGAAATAGCAGCAATGTGAATAAAGCCAGGATGCTGTCAGGCTGTCTAGTTTTCTCAATAAAAGCAGCAGAATAAAAAACTTCTCCCTTCCTTGAAAAAACATGGTAAAAGGGTGACTCCTGGAAGGAGGAGGAGGAAGGAGGTGAATCGACGATTATCAGAGCGTAAAATGCACTGGTAAAAAGTGCTTGAGAAAGGCAGCATCACAGTTTTCTCGAAGTTTAGAGGTCTTTACAATGCACTGATGTACCGCAGGGGACAAAGAGGACTCTGATGAACAGTGCAGTCATAAACTTCAAGGAGGCTTTGCAAACGAAGATCATGCAGTGTCTTTAATGGTAAACATATTCTACAGTATAATGAACGCATTAAATAACAAAACATACAGTAAAATGCTTAGACAGCTCCATAACCCTGAACACCAGCAGGCTTGTGTAATCAGGGATCTCGTCTGCCTCTCTGTGCATGACCCTGTTAACGATTAAATAAATAGATACATAAATCAATAGACACTGACAAGTAGCTTAATCTTTTCACAGCATTAGTGATTGTGTTTTTTATTGCTGTTAAATTTTTAAATGGGTAGTTGGGTTTATTCATGGCTGTTCAGACTATATGGTCAAAATTCAGGAAAAATAAAGGTTGCCAGCAAAAAAAGGAAAAGAAAAAAGGAAAAAAAACAGAAAAAGAAAATGCAAAAAGAATGAAAAAAATTGAAAATACAGAATAAAATATAGACCCTTTGTACAAAAATAGAAAAAATTACAACAAACAAACAAACAAACAAACAAAACTACAATGTTATAAATGTTATTACTATCCTTGGTCTCCCCTACAAACATTTTATTGTCAACTCATAGATACTCCCAAAGAAAGTTGATCACATCTAACTAAAACAGTCTTCTATAATTTAATGATAAAAAAAGGAAAAAACAAAACAACAACAACAAAAAAACAAAAAAACAAAACAAAACCAAAAAAAAAAAAACAGAAAACAGAGTCTATCAGGGTGTGTGCTTCAAAAAAAGAACAAGTGAAAAATGTTAAAAATATATAGGCCATTTATACAAAAACAACAACAACAACAACAACAACAAACAAACAAACAAACAAATAAACAGAACTACAATGTTATAAATGTTGTGACTATCCTTGGTCCCCCCTGCAAACATTTTATTGTCATTTGCTAATGTCACTTTTGATCTTCATTTACACAGGCTATAGGTACACTGTATGTTCTCCTATAACTCATATATACTCCCAAAGAAAGTTGACCACATCTAACCAAAACAGTCTTCCTCAATTTAATTATAAAAACAAAAACAAAAACAAAACAAACAAAAAAAAAAACATGAGATTTTCTGTTGCTCAACATTTTTCTTCCAGGAGGATAATTTCACTTCGTAAACTCCATAGACTGTATATAGATGTACATCATATATACAGTCTATGGTAAAATGTATCTATGAGAGCAACAGAGTCTTTCCTTTTTTTTTTTTTTTTTGCAACAGAGTCTCTCAGGGTGCGCGCTTCATTTCTGGATGACGTCAGGAGACCTTACCGGCCACCGTATGATGTCGTGGCGTTTGCTGACGTTCAGTAACTAGCAGTAACAGTTACACGGTTCCCGTTAGCTCTAATTTGTCTCACAGCCTGACTGTTTTTTCTTCTTCTCAAGTATTACCTTCTTTCTCTGACCTGACAGTTTTACCTTCAGTTGTTCAGGATGAGGCGCGCGGGTTTGGGTAAGACACGGACGTGCAGCTTGTTTGTATGATCAGGATTAGCTTACTGGCTGCTTAGCGAGCTAACCCTAGCTAATATGAGATCTGTTGTTGTGAACCCCTATATAACTCTACGCAACTTAATAGCTTTACTACTATGAAAGTGTAGTTTAACTGTCATTATACTAATCAAACGGTTCATTAATTATCGTATTTGCCTCACTCAGGTGAAGGAGGCTCTGGTAACTATGTAGCAAGTGGATACAGTGTGTATGAAGAGGAAAATGAACACCTGCAGGAGGGACTAAGGGACAAAGTCAAAGCCCTGAAAAGTGTAAGTAACATTATTAACACTTTAACTTGTAGTGTTAACAGTGATGAGTGATTCAGGGACAAATCACATGAATTCATGACGCGTAATGACCCAGTTGTTGATCCACTTTCACAGCATGTTTTCTTGATTTTTATTTTCACACGTTTCTATCTATTGTCCCTGTTTGTAATTTTATCCTCCAAAAAAGTTGATCATGAGGTCTTTATTGATTTTATTTCAACAGCTGAGCATCGAAATTGGAACGGAAGTCAAATACCACAACAAAATGCTGAATGAAATGGTGAGTTTCACTTTCTTTTCTTACTGATTATACACACTGCTGCAATATACAAGCAAAAGAAGAGTTGATAGACTCTCTGCTACAAGGTAACAATTCTTTAGTGTTCTAAGCACAAGAAGGAGATCATCATAAGGTATTTTGCTGCAATATTTTGTCATGTAATCATCTGTCTTACTGTATGATAACTGCATTAGACCTGGAGGTTATAATAACAGTGTGTAGTGTTGAAGAACTACCAATTAATACTTCCCCAAAGTAGTTTAACAATTTCCTTGAGGTTCCTCCTCTGTTAATCAGAGGAGCATTTCCTGATAGATATACTATTTAGGTGTAATGACATGTCTGGATTTTTAACTAGTATATTGATCAATCTTTCCCCCACCAGGACTCAGACTTTGACTCCACAGGCGGCTTGCTTGGTGCCACCATCGGCAGAGTGAAGCAGCTGTCCAGAGGCAGTCAGACCAAACTGTTGTGCTACATGCTGCTCTTCTGCTTTTTCGTCTTCTTCATCCTGTACTGGTTCATCAAGCTAAGGTGATAAAGGAACTCCACATCATCCCCCCCGTTGCCTGTGCCAACTGATCCATCTTAAAACCAGAGTAACACAGTTAAGAAGAGAGAAGACAGGGCGGCGTGACTGCCCAGGTGTCTGAATATTTCATAAAATGACTCTAAAGATAAGTAATTTAAGAGTTCACTGGTGTTCAGTGAGAGGCTTTGGCACATTTATTTACCCTGTGAGGTAGAAATTATGGTCGTCAGAGGTACTATCAACCAGAAAATCTATGTATGTGATAACATCCCATTGAATGCTGATGAAAAAGATTGGAACAATTAACTGTAAGAAGCAAGACTATACTACCAGTGTCCGAACCTTGACTTTGAGTGGGCACAATGTCTACAAGGCAGTAAGAAAACAGTTAGGTTCATCTCATGTTGTGTTTTAGTCATTAATTAAAAAAGAGAATTCTATATGAAACATAATATAGTCATTGCTATGAGAGTGAATTGATATATTACATCAACTTTCACCCTTACAATAACTAAGAGTAGCAATGGTCCGTATTGTTTTTCCACTTTGTTGTAAAAAGCGTTTTTTAATGTAAATAAATACATTTTATGCTCTAAAGTGACCAGACCAAGAGTTTATTTTTAGAAAGGTTTGCAGCAGTTTTGCCCACCAAACCTGTGGAAACAATCCTGACAGGCTGTATAAACTGATGCTTTTGCTTTTACAAGAAATTCAATGAAAACAAATTAGATTTTCTAAGATCTTTATTGCAATCTACAGTATATTTTGAACATATTTAGTCTTTATTTAAAATAGGTTGAAGATTTCATTGACACTTAACCCACAATTTGCATCATCACATGAAAATGAGTCTAAAGACTATTTACAGTTTCAAAACAGACAACAAAAATTAAATTCATCAGTCTTTGCTCTGAGCAGATCAGCGTTTCTCTGAAATTACAAACATTTTCATTAAAACAGTCCAAGGCAAAATGCAGAATCTAACACCCTCCTCTGATGTTTATATATGTAAGAGTCCAAACATATCAGAACTGCACTTCAGGTGTGTGGTGAATAATTAGCACTTCATTAGTTGTGTTGAGGACGTCACTTCCTTGGTAGAGTGTCCATGTACTTGGCGATAATCCCCAGCATGACCTCATCAGCACCTCCACCAATTGACAACAACCTGGAATCTCTGTGGGAACAACACATGATACAAAGTAGTGAGTTTTTATTGGGGTAAGTTCCTAGATTTACACCAAACTTATCTCATTCATTAAGATATTCACAATATACAGGTGCAGCTCAGAAAATTAGAAACATCCTGAAAAGGTTGATTTTTCTCCGTAATTTAATTTAAAAAGTTAAACTTCCACATATCTCAAATTCATCACACACAAAGTGAAATATTTCAGATCTTTGTGGTTTGAATCTTGATGATTACAGCTTAGCTCACAATAACCAAAAATCTGCAATCTCAAAAGAACTGAACTATTGCTTGATGGTCCAACGTCATGTTTTCAGATGAAAGATAATTTAACAATCTCATTTGGATACCAGAGGTTCCCGTTAGCAGAGTCCAAAGAGCAAAGTTTCCACAGTCTGTGATGATTTGGAGTGCCATGTCATCTGCTGCTGTTAGTCTAATCTAATGTGTTTTATCAAGTCCAGAGTCAACACAGCCCAACTGTGCTTGATGGTCCAGCCAACTCGGCTGATCTGAACCCCATAGAGGATCTCCGGGGTGTCATTAAGAGGAAGATGAGAGACACCAGAGCAACAATACAGAGGAGCTGAAGGAGCTCTCAAAGCAACCTAGGCTTCATAACACCCCAACTGAGACACAGACTGATCACCTACACACCAAGTCACACTGATAGTGATTTGTGCAGAAAGGTTTTCAATTTTCCTGAGCTGTAATCATCAAGATTCAAACATAAAATAGTCCTCAAATATTTCCATTTCTATCTCAAATAGATGGAAGTTTCACTTTTTTAATTCTATTTATGGGAAAAATGAGCTTTTTAGCGACGTTATAATTCCCTAGGCTGCACTTGAATGTTTTGCTCACTGAAAGTATCACAGTGCATTTAAGTTAATCAGGTGCATTATCTGCCCTGCCAGTAGATGTCAGCACAGTGTAAAATACGGGTGCAGAGCCGCTGACTGTTTCTTTGTGCTTCTCGGTTACACAGGGCATAAACATGAAACTCTAAGCCCAACAAACCCAACAGGAGACTGAGTCTAATCACATGTTTTCAAGAATTAATACCTGATCACATAATACGTTTATGAGCGAGCCATCACTCATTCTGACACAAACTTTAATTATAGAGGAATCATGTTTGAGGTCCATGTAAAATATACTGACCACAAAGCCCCTGCCAAACAGAGGGGTTGTTGTCGTAACCATAGAAATGGTTAACCCTGACGTAAGTGCACATAATTGCAGCTATAAAACAAAAGATGGTGCGTCGTCCGGTGCAGTGTCATGATTTTGCTGGTTTATATTTAGGCTCTTTTTGGATAGAAAGTGAGAAAGTGCATCAAAGAGATGACCATTAAAATCATGGTCCTAATTGTTATGAACTAGGGTGACCATATTCTGAATCCCCCCCAAAAAGGACACTGCTACGTGGGGCGAAGTCACGTATAATAGATTTTGAGGGCTTTTGGGTGGGTTGAATGTTTTCCTTATGTGCTTTTAACTCACTTAGTCCACACTACACAAACTCAAAACTTGCATACAAAACCCCGGACATTTGAAGGATTTTATTAACTCCCTCGGACAAGGCTGGACAGACCCATATAAAGAGGGCATGTCCAGGTAAAAGAGGATGTATGGTTATCCTATATGAACAATTTCTAAATGGTTTCTAACTGCTCTTCAGGGACATGAACAGACAGTTCAGTTTACTAGCTAGTCTCACCTGTAGAACCTGCTGACGAGCACGTCGCTGGTGAAGCCCATTCCCCCCCAAAACTGCAGGCAGCTATCGCTGAGCTCCCTCGCCAGGCGGCCTGCCTTCAGTTTAGCCATGGACGCCAGCTTGGTCACATCATTTCCTTTGATGTATAATGCTGCAGAGAGAAGACATTGTAAGACAGATAAATGTCCATGTAGACAAAAAGTATAAAAACAGAGACACAAAGACAGTTAAATTAATGTTCAGTTTTATGGTCGCCTGTTCTGTTTTATCCCAGCTAGTCCTTTTCCCTTTGAAACACATCAATGCCTCTTTGGTAGGTTTCCTCCACAGGAACATGTGTGGGCTGCATGGTTTTCCTGTTTCAGTGTGTAAAGAAGTCCGCCTGTGTGACTGTGTGTGTGGATCTACCTGTGCCAAACACATGCACCAGCTTTGATCTGTTTCTGGGCAAGCAAATCCGGCTTGAACCAGTACCAGCCAGATGATTTCATTTAACGCTGCAAGTGTTGTAAACATAACGAGAAAACCGCAAAACCTTGGACCCCTGCCCGACAGATGCTTCCACGTATTTGTTTGAAAACACTGCAGCGTTGCAGGGTTTTCTCTTGGATGAGCTGGGCGTGTGCCAGTTTTTCAGGTAGCCAAGGCTGAAGGATTTGAAGTCATGCCACAACACGCAAAAACAACAGAGGTTTATCGACAGGTTTGCCATGAGTCATATCTAGACGTCTGATTCCTCTTGTCTGCGTGTTGTAGACTTTTATTGAAGTGTATGATGAAAAGTCGCTTCTTTGGATCACGTAGTTATTCTTACAGTTCAAATTGTCTACAAAGTCAATATTTTCCAGTTACATTTTCAGAGGGATTCAGACCAACAAGAATGAAACTTTTCAATCCAAACCAAACGGAGGGTCAGGCTTTGTAGAGTTGGGGTAAAATCATATGTTTGAAATTCCTCTATATTTCCTATTATCAATGTATTAACAAGCGCTATTGAATGGAAAGCTCACATCAATGTTCTGTCTCTAACCAGACGCAACCTTCATTCTCTGTAAGCTTAAGGCTACATCATTACCTGTGTCTTTCAAATCAAGCAGCTGCATCACACATGAACAAGTACTCACTCAAGGCTTGTTTGGCATTCACTCCATTCTTGCAGAGGTGAGTCAGCCAGGGCCTTTGTTAGCGAGGCCTTAGTCTTATCTCTTGTATAAAGTTTTACGAGTCAGCAGCGTGAATTCATCGGCTGTAACTTTCCAACATAAATGGAGCAGTGATTGCATTCGCAACACCCCCAAAAATGGCGTTTGAGACTTGGATTATCTGCGCGGACGATAGTTAGTGTCATTTTAAAAGGACACACAGCTGATTGTGTTCATTTGCTGTGCTGTGGATGTACGACAGAGTCTGGGGGTCTGTTGGCCAGCAGGTAACATCATGTGTAGATGTGTAAATGGGTGAGAGTATCAGTGCAGTTTTATGGGTTCTGTATATTTCAGGCAGCTGTCAGCTGAGGTTTGATCATCCGTTATTATTTCTTTACAGAGAAACAAATGAATAATCTATATAATCTTATATAATCAAGATTTTGCTACATATTTCTTTTCACAATCGCAGGTGTACGCAGCAGCGTTGCAGCTTTCCTGTCTTTCTTTACAGACTACGCTCAGGTTGGATACAGTCGGTTACTATAGTTACCATGATATGCAGCTCCACTAATTTACTGTAATTTACTCAAAAGCTGCAGTTACACTTGACAAATAAAACAACAAAAACTATTTTTTTGTACGCATGTGCATGTATAATTTTGTTTCCCTTTTTTCTCTCGTCTTCTTCTTCCTCTGTTTTTTTTATCTCACTATCAGAGGCCAAATTAACTGGTGTTACGATTCTTATTACCATAAATATTTTGTTTGTTGTTACTCTTTCTCGCAGACAGAGATAAGAACAAGAAAATTGAAAGAAAAAATTGTATGAATATGGTTTGTTATTGAGGAGACCAACAAGCCTGCCACACTACTGTACACTTTGTTATTTATGTATGCACTTATTTACTTACTTTTCTTTCCCTTTCTTTTTTTTCTGCTTCATCCTGAATTTATGTGTATGTGTTTGTATGATTGATGTTTAATCAGAAAATGAAGTATTATACTCTCTGGCACATGAAAATAAAATTAAACATTATGTTAAAAAAATAAAAATAAAACAAAAAACTGCTGAAATGAAGAGGATGTGATTGAATTCTGAGGAACAAACTTCTCCTCCATTTCTTGATGTGAACTGGTGTCAGGACCCCCTGATCCCACTTTACAGATGTTCCTGGTGCGAGGCAGTGGAGGTCATCTAACCTTAGCGGGCCAACTGTTTCCTGTTATTTACCCAACAAATGGAGGTTGGGGTGTTTCACTCGTAGGTCACACACAAACTCCTTATTTTCTGGCGTTTTTGCCCTCTGTTGATCACATTCCTGATAAATGCGCCCATTACATCCGGGAAGAAAATGACTCTGGGTAGTGATGGGTATTACAGATAGCTGAGATTGCACCATCTGTTTCATCACTCCTCTGTGCAAAGTAAACCCACCTGTGGCACGGTAGAGGAGAGAGCGCAGCAGTTCAAGCTCCGTCTGCAGCTCTGCCAACCTGAAGTGAACCGCCTGGTGGTAGAGGACGGGCTGCTTGAAGATCTTCCTCTCCCGTGTGTACTGGATGGTTTCCTGGATGACGTTGTCCATCATGGTTATGACTAGAGACATACAGAGAGGGGAAGGCACAGACAGTGACTCTGCTTCCATCTGCAGTAATAGTTTTGAGGTTGAGATCATGCGAGCTGTCACCTTTCTTGTCTTTTTAATAGCAGTAAGGTCTGTATAAATGCTTTTAAAGCTTCCTGTGTGTGTCTCCGATTCACTACGTGGTGCACAGTGAACTAGTTCAGGCAGATTAATGCATCAGCGTCACATTCAGTAAAACTATGAGCAGTTTCACTTGGACATAGTGAAGCTCTCCGAGAAAACTTTGACTCTTGCTCATTACTCAAAATGAAAAAAAAAACAAACAGCTCCTTTGGAGAAGATTAATAGCTTTCACTTGTGACCTGAACTCCCTAATTTTTGGAGACTGACACGGAAATGGTTCTGTAATATTACAAACTATTGAATTCACAGTGAACTCTTTCAGAACGGATATCCAAGAGGGAGCGATCTTTGGGGCTGAGAGGAAAGCGAACTCACTGTTGGCCACAGCCCAGAGCCTCTCCTCCTGGAACTGCAGCATCTGATAGGTGAAGCCCATGCCTTCCTGGCCGATGAGGTTCTTGCAGGGAACACGAACGTCATCGAAGAACACTTGGGCTGTGTCTGAGGACCACATGCCCAGTTTCTCAATCTTGCGGGCGATATGCACTCCTGATGGAAACAAAATAAACGTCATCTTGAATCACTCCCAGGGAAATAACCTCATAGAAATCACATAGGGCCATTTGAATGAACCGTTAAAGAAAAAACACAATATCTCATATTCTGGCTCCATTTCTAATCTCCCAGAAACGCCTTTGTTTTGAAAGTGCTGATACTATGCTATCTCAATGGTGGACTCGTACCAGGCAGGTTCATGGGCAGACAGATGAGAGATTTGTTCCTGTGTGGGGCCCCTTCACTGGTGTTGGCAAGGAGACACATCCAGTCAGCCTGGATGCCGTTGGTAGTCCACATCTTTCCCCCGTTGATGACATACTCGTCCCCTTTCCTGACAGCCTTGGTCACAATGCCTGAGTCAGTGCGCAGTGGAGTGTGGAAACGGATGGCGAGGGGAGAATTGAATTGAGGAGGTAAGTGTCAGGACAGAGGGTTAAATAAAGTTTTTCTTTGTAGAAGAGCATCAAAGAAACACAGTTCAGGCTGTTACATGGAAAGAGAGTTTCATTTCAGTTTCATAAAACTTGTGTAATTACAAACTAATCTAGATGTAAAAACAAACAGATTTGACCCACATAAATACATGCCACCCTCCTTTTCCACAGGGTATTTGTACTGTAGTGAGAGTAAAACTGATATATTCCTGGCACCTTGATCATTTTCCTCGCATTCACAAATTCAATCTGTTCCTTCAGGAGCAAAAAGGAAAATGATATGATAACATATGACAAGAAGATGAAGAAGGAGACACACACTTGAGACATCAGAGCCGGCTCCAACTTCACTCACACCAAGGCACGCCACTTTATCTCCCATGATTGAGGGAAGGAGGAACTCTTCCTTTAGCTCAGCCGAACCAAACCTGCACACATATAAACACACACACAGAGGCATGAAAGCAAACACAGTCAGTAACTATCTAAACACAGTTGGATCCAGAACTTTCTGTGTTTGATTGTATAGTTAGATTGTATCAAGCCGGAGCAATGTTTCTGTGCTTTAAAACAACACTGTGATAATAACAGGGGGACACTCTTATCCCAGAGCTCCCTTGGTATTCCCCTCAATTCTCAGACTCTTTTTTTCAAAATCATTTTTTTGATGCTGTTTGAGTCTGAGAACTCGTTGCAGGCTAGAGTAGATCCCCTAATTAAACTCCGGAGATTCCAACCGTCTGTTTCACTCAAGTCTGTCTCTTGTCACCAGCAGCTGTTTCAAAGTAGGAGGACATCACACGAGCAGTCAAGGCCCTACATGGGTGAGACAAACAATCTCCAAAAATACTAAGACAAACATCCTTCAGGGAGTGCGGCTCTGCTTAAAGGGGGAGTTCATGTTTTTGAAGTTTTGGTTTCTGTATGAGGTACTTGTAATAGTGAGTGGATTACAGTCAGAGAGAAACTGGGCTAAGGACCAGCACAGAAGCTGGGTGGTCAAATGCTGCAGACGGAGTAGTCTCACCTCCATTTTAACTCTGTCCGGGGGATGAGGCGCATCACTGTATTACAACCCTTTAACAAGTTTGTTGTCAATCTGTTCTTAAAAGCAGCTACTTTCCTAAATAGTCTGCACTTCCATATTTTCGAAGCCAAACCTCCAGCAGGCAGGTGAGGATGATCCACGAACCAAATCTGAAGGAGTTGATTAGGTGGCTGGGAGTGTTTGTTTTTTGTCTCTTGGCGATGTTTGATACCTCGTTTTTCACTTTGGTTTGCTGTGATAGTGAACATTACATGTGCCTCTCAATGTGCCAACACTTGAGGTTTTTGGAAGATTGCAAAAATGTAGATATTACCTCAGACTCTGAATATCTTCAGAGGATAAACGCTGCACTCCCCTATGTACATGGTGCTTAGGGGATGGAGATGTATGGAGCTGTTTTTGGATATTACTTTGATCATTTTATTACAGCACCAAGACGTTGGCTTGTCACAGTTATGTCTGTCTATCGCACTTAAAGGGATATTCCGGCGTAAATTTAAGCTAGGGCCAAACACACTGTAATACCGAGTTAGACACCCCCTCGAGAGATGAATGTTGCCGACTGCTTGCTTCTCTTACACCAACTTTAGTAACGACCTCAGGATAGCAATACGAGTCGATCACTGAGTGCAGCAGATCATTTCCTTGAAGTGATAATCATCATAATAATCATTTTGCACCGCAGACGCGGTAGTTCTTCTGCCTTAGTGTCTCGGTCTGATTGCATTTCCATGAAGAAATGATCATAATTGTTCTTCCTTGAACTGTGAAACTCCGCTGCACTCGGTGATCGACTCGTCAGGGCTCCCCCACAAACTAGTGGCTGCTGGAAGAGAGTGGGTGAGTTGTGTTTAGTCTCTTTGCTACAGAAATAAAGGAAAGCTAAAAAAGATGTTTGATGGCTTATACTATGACTGGGACCCTGTATGTACTGTTGATGAAGTTAGGTGCTGTTCTGAGCATTATCTGTGGCTATAGAGTGGCTTTTTGGTTGAGGTTTGTGCTTGAAGACGTAGACCTCTGTGTATTGCTATTGTGCGGCCGTTACTAAAGTTGGTATAACTAGAGAAGCAAGCAGTCGGCAACATTCATCTCTCAAGGGGGTGTCTAACTCAGTGTTACGGTGTTTGATCCTAACTTAATTTTACACTGGATTATCCCTTTAAAGTCTTTTGATGGTTCCAATCAATCAACAAGTGCAGCCAAAACTTAACTGTTCTTTACTGACCAATGGGGACACATTGAAGATTAGATATGACACCAGGGCTCGTAACTAAAGGATGAACAAAGTGTCACGAACAAAACCGATTCTCTCTGTGTGTTAGGGTTTGGTTTGTTTGATTTTACACTCAAAAGTCCAACGCATTACACTCATCTGCAAGCTTCACAGGGCAACAGCAACAGAAGCGACTTTTTATCACCTGAAAATGAAACACATGCCTGCAGGATGGTTGTTGAAAATGTGCTCCAGCTTTGACACAAGTGGCTTTAGTGTTGGTGTGAAAGGGAAAAAATATAACCAAAGCAGAGCTGTCAGCCACTAGATATTGTCCTCCTGGTAGGAAGAGGCAGAATAAGAGGGAGATTCATGCCAGAGGCTAAATGTACATTTACATAAAGATGTGTCATCAAAACAAACTGTGGGGAGTTTGGGGAAGGTAGCTGCAAACTGGTTCAAATACCTGCAGATTTTACTGCAACTATGCCTCTGCATGCTTCCACTCATGTTACCTGGCCAGTGCAGGAGTAGTCATGTCAGTCTGTACACCGATCGCCATGGGGACACCTCCACAGCGGATGTTCCCCAGCTCTTCTGATACAGCGACACTGTAGCTGAAGTCCAGACCGAGGCCTCCATACTCTGCACAGGATGAAACACAAACTCCATCAGCTGCTGGTTACAGCTCTCGGAACAGTGTCAGATTTTTTTTTTTTAATCAAATGGTGTTATATAAACATAACTGATAACACATGTGGGTCTTGGCTACTCTGCTTAGAGAGGGAGTAAGAAAGGTTGAGCAGTGTCACTTTGGATTCATATTCCCTCATCGCCACATTAGTCACCTCAAACTCTCCTCACTCTCACCTTTCCTGTTTCCTGTTATCTCTGTTACACACTCCCTGGCCAACACATCTCCGAACACACACACACACACACACACACACACACACACACACACACACACACACACCCTCGTTCGTGTCTGTAATAATCGTAGCTGATCTGTTGTTACTGGAGCATGCACTCTAATTAATTACAGGATGTTGTCATTAATTGTGCTCTCTGTGATTACGTGTAAAGAAGAACTGCAGAGAGAGCAGCAGAGGGCTGCAGATAAGGGTCACTGTCATCTCAGTGACTCGTCCTCAGCCTCTCTGCCTAGCGTATCAGACTTGATTTTGATCTCCTAAACAACCCATTTGCTAAAAAGCAGTCCAAAATGGGTGTTTGTTTCCTGAATTCTTGAAGTGGAGACATTTGTAAAGACCCGAGGTCCTTAATGGAGCTGAAGAGAGGATTACAAACCATGTTTAAAACAGCACTTTCTGACAGTAATCCTGTCTTTTGCCTTTCATCATCTGCTGCAGCATCGCCTCAAAAATGAATAGTCTGCTCCTTACACTGATAAACTTAATGCTGAAAGCCAATTTTTGGTGCACTGCTTGTGAAATAAGCTAGCTAATGCACCTGCTTTTATATGGAATTTCTCTAAAGTTGTTTGTGGTAAACATACACACCTCTCAACCCTTTCAAAATAAAAGAAAAATACTTCCTCCCATACGTCTAGCAAACCTATCCTGTCAAAGGCTTATTTAAAATACAGTACTATTAGCTATTAACATATATATATATATATATATATATATATATATGGTGAGAACAGGCTTTAAAAGTGATGCCATGGTCGCTCATTTTCTCTACGGGTACGTTGAGGGTTTGTTTCAGGAAATCAAGTATTTAGCCAGAAAAGAAGGTAACGTTAGATTCTAACTTTACCTTCTTTGTCCCTGCTAGGCAAAGACTTCCCAATCTAAAGTCCAAAAGTTTGAGTCTGTGGTTTTAAATCATCAGACAGCAGCGCTGGTGCATGTGAGCGGGGGGCTGTTGTTTTGGAAGAGCTCCAAGGGGAGGGAGCAGCGGCTAGCTGAAGTCCTGAGGAGATGCTACATTCAAATTCATGCTAGTTTGCCGTGATTACCAACCCCAATTTTAACTCTGTGACAGAGAAAAGTTTAGTGTAGGAGCTTGTAACATTTCAAACTTTAAATTTTGTACTTTTACTGCATTGTATGTGAATTGTCAGTATTAGTATAAGTCCTAAAAAGTCATTAATAGTCATACTCTTTCAGTGAGCATGCTCAGGTCGATGGCCCAGTGGCTGCAGGAAGACTTAAACGTTAAACATTGTTGAGTATTTCAACCTCTCTTTCATTCTGATGTGTGAAAACTACACAAAAAGCATATCAAAACTCAAAACAACCATCGGCCATGTGGAGGCGGTTATCAATGATTGTCAGTATTGGCTCAATAAAATCCACATCCTGCATCCCTGTTTATAACTTGTTTACGTCACAAAAGGAGAAGGACTGACATATGTTTATAGCTTGATGACTGATCCTAGGAGTGACTGACAAAGACTGATCGCTAGGGGATTGATCAAACAAAGACCAGCAAATGCAAAGTGGATTAATACCACCTGCAAAACAAGTTATCGAATAATTGAGAGATGGCGAATGAAAAACAGAGAGCAGGATAATGTGGGACAAAGAACGCTGGAGATATAACGGGACAAGTAAACAAGAGAGCAGGGGAGCGAAAATGAGAGGAAACAGGTGCAGCTGTGTGGCGATAACTCTCTGAACACTGGAAACCCTGCGGTGGATAATGTGGACGAGGGGAAGCACTGAGGTTTATCCCACTCTAGGCCAAACAGCGGGATGTCTGGTTGAACAAGCAAGCAGAAGAAAAAGAAACAAATCCTGTCACAAGTGTCAATCCGATGCACATATGGTTCCTCTGAACAACAGATGTTCCTGGGCGTTGGCTCTCATCGTGTAGAGCTCCATATGAAACACATAGTGAAGAGAATTTAAAGGTGCAGAACAAGCAGACCCTGGAAATGCCTGCGAAAGTAACACCACTTGACTCAGAATCTATCGCCAAAGAGGGTTCACACATACGAGGAGCTTGTGTTTTCGTGTTTATAACAATGGACACAGAACAACAAGAAAGAGAAAAACTAAATTTGGAGTGACAAAGTAAATTAACAGAAGCTGAACAAGTTTCAAAGGAGAGCTGGACATATGCGCAGCATGTGCTTCCTATGTTCTCTCCTTACTAAGGGTGCACAAAAACATGAGCGATCTCACGCTAAAACTGTGAAACTATGAGAAACAGGGCCAGTGTGTTTGGCTAATTTCCATGACAACGCTTTGACAATTACTACGATAGACATAATCGTGACTTATCTGTTATTCAACCACTTAACACATGCATCATTGCAGCATGACGTCCCAGTGCTTTACGTTCTTAAATTCATCATAGCTTTGGTAATATCCATATCCTGCGTAGAAAACAGCTTAAGTTTCTCCAAAGCTTCGTCATCCAGACCTTATTTTCAGTTTTTTTGTCCAGGGAAAACTGAGCAGGCGACGAGAGACCGTGGTGTGAAGAGCAGATATTTCTCCATGTGAGCAGAGGAAAACAGGCAGGGAGCCAAGGGTCATCCCTGTCCTCTCCCTGAATGTGGCTGCCTCTGCAAAACTTCCTGTGCTCATGTTTTGAAAGTTAATAAAGTCTTTCCTTGAACACGGAAAGGGATGGAAAAACTGAGTGCTGGCTTTTATCAGAGGATAAAATAAAGGGTTGAGCAGGGGATAGAGGGGATATGCAGTGCCACTCCGAGAAATGTCAACAAGGGAAGTGTCAACTCTGGTGCCAGTCTGGGACATACCGTAATTTGAGGTTGTAACCCTGGCATAAATCTGTTCGAACCAGCTCTTTGTGTTCCTGATTAAGGCTCGCAAATGCCACTGCATAGAAACAGGACTAACAAACAGGCCTGAATCGTGTCGTTGACCCACATTTTCTCTCAGATTCATACTTTTTCCACAGAACATTCTCTTCTTTTGTCAAAATCTAATAGTTTGGAGATGACAACAATAAAAGAGGAGGTGGAAATAATAAACTGCAGCAGGCCTCTTTCAGATCTATTCCTGTTTTCTATTGTTTGCATACTTGAGTTTGTTTCTGATAAAGGACTGTTTCCACCTGATGAATCATCTCTGCAGTGCACAGACCCCCAAATCCCTATTCCCACCTCTGTAATCCGAGCCTCTGAATCAATTAACCGAGTGCAAAATACTCTGAGAGTCTCTTTTATTAGTCAGCACTGCAGCAAAGGGGCCATGTAGTGTCTCAAACTGCACAGTGCTCTGAAAACAGACTTTATCGCTGCAGCTGTGATTTTTCCAGATAGTTGGTGAATATTGATCGAAATGCAAAAGAATTCTGCGAATCAGAAAAAGTCCTTAAGAGCTGTTTTTCTTAAATGCTTGGATAGTTTTTTATAGAGGAATTTAAAGACTAAATTGTGATTAAGATCTATTAAAAAAATTATAAAAAATAATAAAAATATGCAGTTTTTCTGAATCAATGACATATTGCTACCTGAAAATCTCAACAGAAGCTCTTAGGCCACTTAAGTACGCAAGCAAGCCCTGACTATTCAGTCTAATCCATTTATCTTCAGTAATTGTCCATCAGTATTAGTTTGGTTTGAGGTTGAAGATCCGAGAAGCTCCCCTTGTTCTTTAAATAGCATTGCTGTTGTCCAGATACTTGCAGTTTTTGTGGGTGTAAAACTCAACCTAATCTGGAGAGAACTGCATTGTTTCTCCAGGATCAGTCCAGTCAAGACATGGTGTGCATGCAGGTTATAGGACAATGTCTTTGAAATGTATTTGTGAACGCTACTTAAGAGGCAACTGCTGAAAATGCAGTGGATACCCATGGAGAACAACTGAGGCCCTGTATGTTATTAATCCTGAAAACCAGAGCCATGTGCAATAATGAAAAATACTTCTGTGCTGCACTTAGAGCCTCTGACTGTTGAGTCTGATTTTTCTGTTATTCAGAAAATTTCCAAAGATAACCCAAAAGCACTGGATTGCAATCTCATTCTGACCATAGCAGCAGCTCTTGACTTGACCTAGGAAATTTACCTTTGTGACAGACAAGTGTTGGTGCATGACATGTCCAGGTACAAGAGTTCACTTCATGCCTATGTCTAGGGTTAGTTCAGGCTGAGAGACGGTCCAAATTGAGATACTTTCGATATAAACTGGCCCATACATTTCCTGATTGGAGGCCACATTTTCCCTGCACTGTTATTGTTTGTTGACAAAGCTGATATTAGAAGTTCTTGAATTAGTTGAGGCGTTCTTTGTCCAATTTGTTTGAGGCTGTTATATTGTAGAGCAAACATATTGGTTCAATTCAACCTGCAAGCAGAAGAACATCAAGTCAACATCCTGGTATTTGTTTGTATCGAAAAGTAAACTTTGCGCCGTTCCTTTAATAACTGTTCCACAAATATTATATATTATGCATGTTTGATGAGCAAGAAATCTAACACCTACATAACTCTGCCTGTATTAGCCGCTCCTCCTCTCTAATCCTGTCAACTAATGCTGAAGTCTGGTCTACTCAGCACGTTTTAATCCCCTTTACCTCCCTCCGCTTTAACCTGCAAACCTATTATGGGATCCTCTGCACTCCGTTCAATGTCTGACACTGTCAGTTTTGTTTTTTCCAGCAGAAAATACCAAAGCAGCAGCTTCTTCTGTTGTCACGGGTAGGGCTATATAGAAGAAAGACAAAAGTGGTGTAATCTTAAAAGGAAGTTACATCCTTTACTGTTTAAATAACTATTTATTAGGGGTGGGAATTGCGAGTGAGCCCACGATACGATATTATCACGATACTTGGGCCACGATGCGACATTATTGTGATTTTTAACATTGTGCACTACAGGGAGTAATGCAATACAATGTTTTGTGATTTATACAATTTTTTCAACTGTTTAGCTAATTTAACATTTGTCTTTCCTTTATGTTTGTCTTATTTACACAGTATTTTATTTTCATGTAGCACATCTTGCTAACCTTATATATTTGTTGCACTAACTTTCTCCTGCTCTATGATGTCAGCTCTGCCAACCTCACTGCATAGACAGTTGATTTTTTTTCCTATTATCATAGATTTGACTTCATATTGGCAATTACTTTGAAAAATTTATACTTGGTAAACGAGACGATACGATAGGACTGGGCGATTATATGATCGTGATTGATGATCGTGATAACTTTCAGTTCAGTCATGGTGATTAGCTGTGAGCATATTTACTCGATCAAACATAGCGGAAGTGTGCGTTACAACAGCCAATCAGAGTTGAGCCTTTCCTGCTCACTTCTGTAAATTGTCAGAGAAGTAAACAGGAGAAGTAAACAAAATGACAGAATGTGGAGCTAAATACGGAGATGAGGGCATCAAAATAGATGTCAGCCATGACTTTGAGTCATCCTCCGAAGATGTTATTGTTGAGAAGTTATTCAACATCGGTTGTGTGGTGGTGATTTGGGTATCTCTAAAGTGACGTCGAGCATTTAAGCCGATGTGCAAGGTATGTCGGTGATCGGCGCCCACCAAAACCGGGAACACAATAGATCTGTTTAATCATTCGAAAAAGTACTTCCTGAGTGATTACATAGAAAGCATGAAAATGCGAGCAGAGTTTGCACAGCCTGTCACTGCTGACGGCAGAAGTAGCATTAGCAGTTTAGCCACAACTGGCAGTGCAGCCACCGGACCAAAGCAGCAATCAATCGTATCATCTACATTTACATCATCTAATGTTTACATTTTAAGGCGTCTTCATTATCTCTGAGGGGGCGATTTGTTTATTTTGGGTCTTGCAAACCTGCAAAAACACTCAGGACTGTAAAGTAGTTCACTGTCTTATTTAGTATTTATCTACATTTGTTGTACCTTTGAGTTAAAATATTTTTAATAAGTATATTTTTCCAAGTATATCTTGTTTAATTTGCTTTGTTATTTAATTTGTATGTTAATAAAATGTTGAACTAATCTCTAGTTTCTTTAGTTTTTAGTACAGCTGCTTTAAAATTGGCAGTTACAAAAAAATTGTGATAATAATCGAGATCGGACGATATGACAAAATGTATCATCATTTTTTTTTTTTTTTTTGCCAAATCGCCCAGGCCTACGACATGATATATTACCAGACAAAATATTGTGTGTCAATTTTTTTCTCCCACTATCTATGTGAAACTTCAGATCACTTCCCAAAAACCTCTTCATGCAATAAATTAAATGACACATAATGACCACAAATATTTCCTTCTCAGAGTCATACAGCACTATATCCGCTCTGTCCTCCTAACCTAGAAGTGGCACAGCTGGAGACACATCTGGAAATAGGATATGCTGTAGCAGACAGCTGTTTGTGGGACTTTGCTTTCACACCGGCACCAATCATCGCAGTGGGAACATTTGGAAAACCAGACTAAATGTAATGTATGGCTGTCAGACAGAAAGCAAAGAAAAATGAATGGAAAGTTAACTCAGCTGTGGAGCAGACGTGCCAGACGCTCTTTGAAGCAGCGATGGTCAAATTAAACACAGTGAGAGATTCTTCGGTTTCTGGTCTAATGCAAGAATTTTAATCCAAGTTTGCCTCAATTGAAGCAAATTCTGACCATACTTCAGTTATTTTTCCACAGGACTGTTATTTATGCATGTTCTTGGATTAAAAAATGATTTCCCTAGCAGCAATATTTATGTTGTGCCACTGCCTTTTCCATTCCTAGATATGTCACAGATTTATCACTAGATTTCTGCAATGGCAACAGAAACAGCACATCTGCAAACCATAGATCTTGTAGACTGAACACAGGTGATTAATGAGTTGCCATAGTTATATGGATTACTGACTTTAATTCCAAAGAATATAAATGGACCAGAGTCTCTGCTGGATTAAAGGTCTGATAAATACCCAGATATGAAGGACTAGTTTGGTGATAAGAAGCAACAACATGCGTCAAAATCTTCTCAAACACGACCAGAACAGGTCAGTACACGTGATCAGTCGTCAATTGTCAAGAGTCTGGGGCATCCTGAACTAGCGTACTCTTACCGACTGGTTTATTGACTCCAAGAAAACCGGCACTTCCTAAGATCTTGAAGATTTTATGGGCAGGAAACTTCCCTTCTGTCTCCCACTGATCCACATAGGGGTTGATTTCCTGGTCGATGATCTACGGCACAAACACAGCAGGAGGAATATTATATGTTTATGTTTGCACTTCAAAGAGTTAGCAAGAAACCATGTTTCTGTGGAAACTGCTACTTTTATATCGTGATAACACTTTCGTTTGATCTTAATGACAAACACCTGCTCTGCCTCATGTCTCATAACTAACACCAGCAGGATATACATTATGATGAGTTGAAAAAAATACACATTGTGAGCATTTTACACACATGGGTTTCCTGCTGTGCGGCGCACATCCCTGCTTGAGTCTATGTAATCATTCTGTAGCAGACAGCCAGATAAGGCATTACATATCAATGAATAGAAAGCAGGCTGGGAAATGTTAGACACAGTGCATCTTCAGCAATGACAAAGACGAATACACTGACAGTACGCATGGCATGTTGTTTCCTATATGTGCTTGTTATCAGGCCTCTGCTGATAACCAGGACTTTGCTCAGGATGTGCAATATGACAAGCTGAGAGCTACTGCAAAAAATAGGATAACTGCCTCTCAGCTATACTCTCTTTACTGTCTTCAATTTAATTCACATCTATTTACCCAAGAGAAAAACTGATAAAAGAAACACTTTTTTTTATACAAAAAAAAAAAAAAAAAAAAAAGCTCCACATTCCAATAAGAGGATGTTTTGTACTGTACTTCAGCCACCCAGTAAATAAGATCAATACACCATATTACCGGTAAACAGATTCAGGACTGTACTGCTAGAGAAAAATCTGTGTTGTAGCACAGGCTAAATAAACATGTTGAATTTTACATGCTAGTTTTATCTGTTGCGTTGCATATGTATTAAGGGCTCCATAAGACAGTAAGGCATTAATGCGAAGCTAACATGCATGCTACAGTTCTTGTACTCTATAACTGAGAGAGTCTTTTGCGATCTCTTTATTGAGTAAGCTTAGATCCCGATGACGATAAAAATGCAACCTATTGTGTAATTCTGCCAATTCAGCACTAAACCAAACGTGAAAAACTATCACTGATCACTGATTACTGTGTAAGCTTAGATCCCGATGACGAAAAAAATGCAACCTATTGTGTATTTCTGCCAATTCAGCACTAGACCAAATATGAAAAACTATCACTGAGTCATGGTGATGAATAACATGTTATAAAAAGGATGTCCTCAGGACATTAGATGTTGGTCCTTGACCTTAAAGTTTCAAAACATCACTTTGAAACACTATTGTATCGTTCCAACTGGATTATGAAGTGCAAGTTATCGCCAAAAAGGTCTAGAAATTTGACTTTTATCCACAGACTCACTTATTCTTATCAGTTTTTCCACAAGTCCACGGAAACTTTTGAAGAAATTCCCTCCAAGTGATCACAACAATTGACGTTCAAGAGAATAAACCAACAGACAGGCTAACCCTGAAGCCTTATTTCTCCAGCCTGGGCCCCATTCTCGATCTGTGTTATTTCAGAGTGCAAGTACAAGATGATAACAGAATCCAGCGGTAGTGCTGGTACCACAAAATGTTACAGAGCAGTCATCCAACACAACTTTAAGTGCAAATTTGGGGATTTGGGCTTTTTGAGGGATGAGACTGATAACTCAAATTTAAACTGTTGGGTAGCAAATAATCTGCTGACATTCCACATCTTTCCATTCAGAAGCCGATGTTTTTACGCTTTCTGTGTTTCCTCCAACATTTTATTCTTGGCAGGAAGAAATAAAAAATCTAATAAGTGTTATTTAGAACAGCATGCAAAAATAAAGCTTGGTACTCAAACCTATATTAGAGACATTCCCTCGGGTTAGCAGCCAGTCCACAAAGCCACACATAGAAAACTGCTGAAAAATGAAGGATGACTTTATTACATGCTTTAAAGAGAGGAGACTAAAACAGCAGCTGTGGTGAGGAATTATCTCTGACAATATAAAGTTATGATAGTGCCTCATTTTAAATGCTAACTTGTCTCATGAATGTGTCAGTGCGCCAGCGGACTGAGCAAAATAACGACTAAGTTTCTTCATACTCATCAACTATGTCTAATGCTTTACTAGCTGATATCACCACTGCCTGGTTTTGTGCGTCATGACCTAAATGTCTGCAGGCAGTAAAGTTGGCCTGTTGCCTGTCTTTGAAATAGACTTTGAGACGGGTGAACTTCGGTGACGTGACTCATTTCAAAACACCTGGAAGTGGTCCGCAGCTGGAGAAGTGCTCCTGAATGAACAATCTATTGAAACATGCTATTTTGGTGGGAACTCAAGCCGCTCCACTCAGACCTGGATGTCAATCTAAAGCGAGGGTTATTGTACAATGTGGCGTTTTATTTCTGAAGGGCCCGCCTCACAGGCAGGCATTAACACGAGCGCAAGTGCACAGTGTTTTCTCCACTTACTGTAAGGTTTTGTGATGTTCTCGCTGTTTAATAAACCTGATAAAGAGGCAGTGCTGTGACTTTCATGATGAATGCTTTTCAAATTGAAATGCCTTCAAACGATTGGTTCTGGAGAACATATTATAAACAACTAAGGCTGGTTTATTTTCTACTTCCTTATCTGTGGAGCATAATATTTTTATGGTGCGCAGCTTCAACAGACCCGTGAAAATCTGTCTTCATAAATGTGTTCCTCTGCTCAGCACAATAGGCTCTAAATGGACTGTAAAGCTAATGAAATAAAACGACTGAAACAAAGGAGTTATTTATTGGAAATAGGAAACATCAAATCAAAGCTTCCAGAAAGGAAACGTATTAAATAAGTCATGTGCAATAATGTGCATTGTGAGAAATAAGCCATTCTGGACAAAGCTTTCATGTAGCCTACTTCAGAGTAAAAGTAAAAGCAGCACAGCGTTGGAGAGAGCCTGTGTGTTACTGTTTGAGCTGAAAAAACAAAATACTGCAGAAGAATTCACGGGATTGTGAAAAGTGTTGTACACTCATCTGCCCTTCCAAAACACACAAACCCAAACCAGCCAACTGTTCCAGCAGCCAAGAGAAACACGCGGGCTGAGAGATATCTGTTTACACAGCAGACAGAAGACATCCACTCCATGTTTTCAGCATTTAGTTTGTTTTCAGACAATTCCTCCATCAGAAGTATGACAAGATTTCAATTTCAGAAGACATCAGTCTCCTTTCACCTGCATCAAACTCATCCCTGTTCACAGCTCGGATCCTGGGAAGGGAAAGGGAGGGATGGAGGGAGGGAGGGAGGACGCTGCTGGAAAAGGAAGTCAGGAGGTCACTAGGGAGTGATTCTACATGTCTTCACAAAGGTTACAGCAGACAGTTTGAGTTGCATACCAGAACTATTTCACATCACCAGACTGTCAAGTAGTGAGGCAGGGTCAAGAACATCGTAATATCAGGTCTTACAAAACGTCCGGATTAGAGTTTCTGTACATTTCACTCAGCATAATGGGCTTCTCTGTCTGACATAAATGGTGGTGTTGTGCTTAGTTTACTTCTCACTGTCCAAGGTAAAGGTCAGGAATCATGAGGTTACTAAAAGCACGATAATGTCAGAACATTTCGTTCACAGGGATGCAAAATATTGGGTTTCTGTCTCATCTGGCCAGAACGGATATTGATACAAAGACACCTTTAATCATTGCAAACACAGTTTTTACTTCTTGTGCTATTATGTGCCAATACTGATAATATCCCTGCCTCTAATGATGGTTAATCAGCAACACTGCGAGATATTTGATATCTCAGTTCGTCCATCTCGGCTCAATATTGAAACATTAAAATTGTCAATAAGAATACAGAGTACATCACTGTTGTCATCGGGCTGTAACCTTTGTTTTTTGTTTTTTTTAAGCGATCAATGCTGTCAGTATCCTTTACATTGGTGAGTGAACTTTTTCAAATTCAGTCAAAAGTTCAGTTTTTTTAACCAGTAAAAAGTTTTTAAAAAGTTTGATCTGGTTGTCAAATTGATTAGGCTGATGAAATGCATTTTGAATTAAATATTAAATAAAAGAAACATCGACGTGTCAAATCCACAACAGTCACTGGCTAGTGTTTTACATAAACACACATGCTTTGACATATACTAACCTCGACTATGTATGATAGAATATTTCCTTATTTACCTCTCAGGTGTGTTCAGTTTTGTCACATCTTTATTGCCCCCCCCACTTCCACTAGGTGATATTGTGTCTTGTTTTTCACCTATGTTTTATTGTTTTTGCTGTTTTACATCACAAATTAAAACAAAAATCTCCAACAGTAACTGGATGGTGTTTTAAATAAATTCTGTTAATGCACTTTAATATTAAGATTTACTGTGAATATATTGGCCTTAATTGATTATCAGAGCCAATATCCAGCTTTAGGCTAATCATCTGTATCACTTTAATCAAATTAAATAGTTACAAAGTGTGGTGCTTAGGCTCTGCTGCTGCTGGTGTGTCTTTCCCTTTAGGTCTGTTTTCTTGTAGACCCAGATAGTCTTGAAAATCAGTATCAGCCCCTAGTACCCAATATCAGCCGCAGTAAATCAAAGCATCGTTACGTGTTCACAGAGTTAATGAGAATCGCTGAGATTTTACCACTAAAAGGGAAACTTACTGACACACACTGAACAGCTGTCATTCATTCATTCAGAGTAATCCTGTTCTGGTACATCACTGTGTTAACGTCGTTCTCTCTGCTCTACTTTTGCAGCAGTGTCAAAAACGGCCTAAAAAAACTGCTGGCACCACAGGAGAAAACTAATCCTGAAATTAACTGATGCTAAAGAGAACTGAAATATTCTCCAGGCACTTTTAAGCAGATTAAAGACAAATTTCATATCAAAAGCCTCTTTTGACTCAATTTCAGAGCAAACGTCCCCCTGGGCCAGAAAATAGGAAAAGCTAATCTGTTACTGGTAGGATGTAATGACTACTGACCAGCACTGTTGGGCCAAAACTGCCTCACAATAGTGCTAGGGGAAATCCCAGTCTGAGACCATGGGAGGCAGCACATGAGGAGAGGGTCCTTGTTTTAATTAAAGACCTCATGACACACGCATACACACACGGACACACAAAGCCTTGAGCAGTTCAGAGGTTTGCACATGTGGGAGTTTGCGGAAGTGTGACTAACCCTTAGTGGATGAAGCAGTCTGTCTTAGACAACACTTAAACACACACATACACAGACACACAGGCCCACACACACATACACACACACCCAACTGGGTCCATCAACAAATGTCTACTATGTTTTACACCTTCTCCACCCATTAACCGAAAGTTTGTAGTGGAAACATCAACACCATGGACACCTAACCTTGAATACTCATTGGAGGATTTCCTATAACCCCGTTTGTGTACTTCTATAAACACACACCACCTCTACAGTGGATTCTTATAATAAACCCAGCCGCCCCAAGTTCTCCTTCCTGCTCTACCAACATATTGTTCTGCATTTCCTTTTCCCATTTTCATCCTTCCCATTATTCCCCTTGCTGGTTTATTTTCATCCTCTTGGCATCCTTTTCAAGGTTTAGTCACACGACAAGCGCCTCACCATTTACCGCAACACCTCTGCTCCCGGCCTTAAATTAGATACTTGCTATTTTCACAGGGTCTGTCTAGTAACAAATATTCTGATTGAGTCATTCTGTTAGATAACATGCACAGTGATTTCCTAACACCATTCATTTACAGCTATTGATACTTGGGAAAAGCTTAACACGCCAAACGCCGCTGATAGGAGAGAATGAGGAGAAGCAGACGCCGCTTTAGAGGGAGTTAGGGGAAAATGTATGATATTTGGGCGATGGGCCAAGAGTCTTCTCCTTCGAAACACTAGAGATTCAACAGTCTGATGCTCAAGAACCCCTAACATAAAGATGTATAATGTACAATCAGTTTCAGGCTTTTTTTTTGGCAGAAACAAATTGAACAAGTCAAACAACCTCTCATCTATAACCCAACTACTTCAAAGATTTTTTAACTTTATGGTAATCCCCCCACAAAAAAATACTCACTTTTAACTTCAACTACTCTAAATTTCATATTTTTGTAACATATATGAAGCTTGTTTGTGATACTGCCGGTGAGGAAAAGTCATCACACTCACCTGTTGGTACCACTCAGTTGAATAGATTGTTAATAGCCCCATTATTATAGGTCTAATTCAGGTCCTACATTGAGTCTGAGCTGTACCTAAGCCACTATAGACTAGTTTGAGGTGTAGCTTTGGTTAATGGCAACTGACATAACACTCTAATGCTCACCCACCTGGATTAAAACATGCAAGGATGACGGCATCTTGTAATACAGCGCAGTTTGCAGTTTGTATCTTAGCTGTTTTCTTGTTAAAGTGGGAGATAATCACTTCAGTGCAAGCTCTGCTATCCTTCTCCACACTCAGCAAACTAACTTGACTTACTGAAGACTCTGTGATCCCATGTGTAGTTGTGTTTTATATATTCTGCTGAACTGTTTTCAAATTGGTTTTATATCATTTTGTTGGGATTTAAACAGTCATTTCAAAGACAAGGAAATGAGTGGCTGTTGAACATTACCTCTGCCAAACTGACTGCCCGCTGGAAGAAGTATAGGACCCAGTTTGTGTGAGCTACATGTGGTGATGAATTACTTTGTCTGTGAATTCACACCTGTTGGTGATAGATTTTATGCTGCTGTGTTATTCTCACCTAATGAACTGTAGACACAAAAAAAGAGGATAAGCAGGTCTATATACCTTTTCTTGATTGTCGTCCTCATCTTTATCATGCTTGATTTTACATTCAGTTATTATTCATTCAGTCATTTTCCTTGACAAACAGTCAAAAATCTAACTTTTGTACATCAATGTGTATGTTAATCCACCTACATCAGGACTCATCAGCTCATTAACAGTGAGTCTCTTCAATAATCTTTAGTTAAAAATATTGCTCTTTAAAACCAGTTTGGGTCACAAACACACACAAAGCTAGAGGCTGTTTATTATATCAAACAGAGCTGAAAAACACCACAGGCTGTTTTAGCACATAAATGATGTTGACAGATACTTCTGCTCTCGTTTTCAGCAGTGCAAACCACTTTACAACGATGCCAGCCTTAAACTTGGGTGGTTAGTCTCTGTTTAGTGAAGCTGATCAGTCTGTGGACATTGATATGGTTCAATCCAGGGTAACTACATAACAAGCTAGCTCTGTGACCTCTCACCTACTTCCTTTACACTTCAACTTTCATGCTCCTCTAACTCGGGGAACTTTGAATACTAGTCATGCTCACTGTAAAATCACATGGACATTAAAATCCCAAACTGTCACTCACTAAACGGGGCAAGAGCTGCCTTTGTTTTCATGCTAACGTCAAGCTTGCTAATGTTATGCTAACAGTCCTGCATACCTTTCTGAGGGTCTCCTTCAGTGCAAAGTGCTCTTGCGTGTAGATTAAATGGTCGGACGTGGTCTCTGAGGAACTGGACGACTCGGGTTTGGATGACACTTTTTCAGACAACGACCGGACACCAATTAATGAGTTGAATTTGTACAAATTACGGCTGCTAACCAGCAGGTTCAGACGTAGGGCTCCCCCGTGCAGCGCCATCGCTCTTGATAGCCACCCGAGTGCGCATGCGCATACTGTGACTCTCGCTGTAAGGACTGTAGGTAAAAGGTGGCGGTTCTCCAGGGATTAAATATTGACCTCTGTGGGAAACCCAAATCAAAGACAGGTTTGTATACTGTCGGGATCTGGGGCTTATCATAGGAAATGGATAACTAAGAGCATTTAAATAAGCTCCTTCCATTTACCGTACCTATACTGTTTAATCAAGGCTGCAGTTCCCAAACTGGGGGTCATTACTCCATCAGAGGTGGATAACTTTAAATGAAACAAGTCAGGGAAAAACCCTCTACCAACAAAACTAGTGTGTCTTCCTGAAATGTTTACCTTTTTCTTGTGACATCCTGGACAATTTTACAATCAAATTATTCATTGATAATAGAGGGTTCACTCATGGCCGCAGGACCTTAATAGCCTGGCTGGGCCATCCTGTTGCGTGAATCACTTGCCGTTCCTTCCCACAACGGCAAGTGATTCACGCAACAGGATGGCCCAGCCAGGTTAGGACCTTAAGGGATCACAAACTATAATGTTTTCTGAACCTTCCTCCTGTGCTGGCTTTTACTACAGATCCACTATAAGGGTCGGTTTTGACCCGTGTCTTAAATCAGTTGTAAATTACACTAAAATCAATTCTCTATCATCCAATTTGGTTCTCATCTCTAGGTTACCTTGATAGGCTTCATTACCCATGAACATATTTCTTGTGATATTTTTGATCTCACATGTCTGGACATGCCAGACGTTGTTTTTGTGCAGGTAAAAACATGGCAAAATGAGTGAGATTTCCTAAATCTCACATGATTGGAAGAGGATCTGACTGTCAGTGTGGTGCCTGACAGTTCACTTATGATTTCAGTTTTTGCTCTAATTATTAGATATTGATCTAACCGGGTCAACAGCGACCCTAACATGACAAGTGCCATAATTTTAATAAGAGCATTTTATAATTAAGTCAACTTAATTTTTTATTTTCATTTTGTTGAAATAGGGGTTCCTGACAAAGTCAAAAAGTCTTGATGCAAAAATGCTAATTTAAGTGGTTCTTTTAAGCATTTAAAATCAAAAACAGGTCGGTGCAGACCCTAACACAGGAGGAGGATTAAAGGTTCCAAATAAGGAGGTGCAAAGAAAAACTGTCTTCAAATACCATACATGTAGAGTTAGCTCTTATGGATATTTAAAGAAAGTTTTACAAACTTTTTTTTTTTTGATATTGTCTTTGAAGGCATTTCTTTCACATGTTATTTTCTATTAATTAATTTCCATAAACAGATGAATGACAATCCTGGCTGTTTATATCAACAAAATGAAACTGTGAAATTTTTTAGGAAAGGGCAACATGAAAAGAAGGGATGAAGCTTTCAAACACACTTTGTTTCTGTAAGATTTAACTTTACTGTGAAGTTTGAACCAAATTTTAATGATCTCATAAAAATGTATGAGAAAACTTTGTCAAACTTTGAACGTCTGCAAACTGAAGATGTATTTGTGTCTCTACCCACTTAAAGGTTCCCACAGTGATTGAAAGAGACAGGCTGAGTTACAAACAAGCAGATTTAATGACTGTTGCTTCTGTGTATGAAACAACATATGGGCCATTTGCTCAGACTTTATTTGCCACAAAAGAGAGGAGTGTTACATAACCCTTGCCGAGCACAACTCTTATTTATTGCTATTTTTCAAAGAATGCAATTATGAGGCCGCAAATCTGGCCAGAAGATGGGGAATCTTTTACATGGGAACCAGTGAAGTTTTGAAAAATCTGTCTTTGTTTTGCTCTTCTAGGACTCTTACTCTGCAAAAAAAAAAAATTGTGAAGGGAGGGTGAATGTCCGCAGTTGCAAATCCAAGCCATGAAAAGTAAACTAAGGTCCAGTCTAGCAGACGACACAGCCACCTTTCTCCTTGAAAGGGTTCTTCTCCTCCGGGATGCCTTTGACAAGAATGTCCTCCTCCACTCCAGCCTGGATGTAGTCCTTGATTTCCTCACAGCATTTAGAGGTCTGAAGAGATTAGGGTGATGTGTTAACACTGACATGAGGCTTGTCTTGGATTAAAGTCTGGATAGCTAAAATATTCCCTGTTATTTTGAATAACAATGTGCTAAAAATACATCTCTTTAAAACAATGAGACTTACCAACCACCTCTCAAGCTTCACTTCATTTCTTAGCTGGCTCACTTCCATTTGAGCCTTGTCTTTCTCTGTCAGATCCTCTACATTTATTACCGGCATGGTCTGACATAAGAAAGAAACATTAAGATGTTTTTAATTTTTAATTCAAAGAGAAAAAAAAAACTCTCAAATATCTAAATAACACTTAACAAGGTTTTATTGAAATAATATAAGTAACTTACGGGAACAGGGAGCAGGCCTCCACCCCTGAAATCCTGCTGAAGAATCCCTCTCCCCTCCTTCCAATCTGGGTTATAAAGTAATCTGCATAAACATTCCTAATCCAATAATCTCATTAAAACAAGGCCCCCTGTGTGTTCATGCCCCTATCTGAATAAACATCAGTGAATCTCACAGGTGTCTGTTTGGTTTTGTTCATTTATATTTTGCACATGAACGTCATTTACTCGATGTAAGATAATTTGAGTCTGATTTTTTAAAAACTATTTTCAGTCTTCTTATTCCTCTAAAACATGAGAGTAAGTGGGCAGGGCTTCATCTATAAGGTCACTTTGATAAGAAGGCTAATCTGTATTTAACCTCCACCTGTCAAGTTGCAGATACATCATTGTTCCTAACATGACTGCATGGCATTTTTCCAGCAGCAGCTGCTTCAATCATACAGTACGTTTACATGCACAGTTAAGCTACTGTCTGTTCCAGTTTACAAGCACCAGGCAAGAATTGAATATTTGACAGAAATATGTCTCCCCCCACTGTGATAGGTGGCGACAGGCCCTTTTTCAGCTCATTACTTTTTGGTTGTCTCTTGATCAATCACAACTGACAAAACAATTTACAAAACACGTGAGCAAAAGGCTACGTCCAACAATGAAAACACTGTCACTTTCACAGCTCTGTACTGTTTATTTGTATAAGTGGAAAGTTTCATTACTTTTTCCATTCCTTCTTTGTCCGTGAAGGTTTTGTGAATTACCTGGTTTCCTAGCAACACATTCATGCAATCCAACGTCTGGCTGACCATTCAAGACGCGATCCTAAAACTCAAAACTATGATTAGTTACAGTACAGCACAACACAACTCTTTCTTCATCACCTAATATGGATGAACATTTTCAAAAGTCTAAAAAAAAAAAAGTGTAAAGATGTAATGTTGTTATGAGCTGTGTTAGTTTTGAAAGCCCAGGAATGAGCACAAGAACATAATACTTTTAGGTACTTAAATGTTATTGATTTAAGTACAGCAGCGGAAAAAGAAAGGGTTAATGATTGCTGTTCCTTGGAGAGGTGTGTGTGTGTGTGTGTGTGTGAGTGTGTGTGTGTGTGTGTGTGTGTGTGTGTTAGGCCTATTACAATATTAGAAATTTCAGATACTGTATATATAAAACACATGATATTAATATCAACATTCATTGTCAGTACTAGTGTCTGCACATACAGTATAGGCTACTTATTGCCACCCTGGGGTTGGGCCACCCCTGTTTAAAAGGTATGGATACACTCCTGATCAGTGGGGTAGAATTATACAGAAGTATTAGAAGTTTTTGTTTGAATTTCTATTTGAGGTTTGTGACAATGCTGATTATTAATGTTAAGGAAGGACACCTGAGGGATTTCTGCAGAACAAGATGGCTATTTCCCTGAAAGGATGATGGAGCTGGCTAACGCTTAACCAAACAAAAGTTAACCGTAGTCTGCACACAGTAGGGAATTTAATAGATTCCAGGAGGGTTCCAGGGAAAGTGTGTGTGTAGTTCTGTGTTTGTGTGTAGGGGTGAGATCCAGACACAGAAGTCTGTGATGGGAATTTACCAGAATAGATCAGCCAAGTGAGATTACTATCACAATGGAGTGTCTTGGTAAGGACACAGTGCTTCAGTTCTGTGGAAAAATTTTCGAGATGCTTCTTGATCTCTGTTCATCATCATCATCACGCTCGAGCGTCCAGTTAGGGCATTAATGTTCAATGGAAAGTCGACTTTCCCTCAGATTATTTTTGTTGGCTCGATTGTGCTCTTAGTCACGACAGTACTACAACGATACTTTGCGCAAGTTTTGCAAATTAAAGCGACACTCTGATGTCACAAACTCATTCATCACCATCCTGATGTAGTTGCGCTGTAGTGCTGAAATGACTCATCACATCTCCGCCCCTTGCTTCCCCTGGGAAACTCTTCAGTCTGCTATAAAACTGGATCTGTCCGGGATGGTCGACAGAGCGGAAGAGACTTTGGAGCTTAAGTTTTCACAATGGAGTTTTGCACATTTGCGCTTTTGGCACTGTTTTCCTCCTTTTACGGCGTTTTGGCCCTGGCTCCTAAAGGTAACGCGCAGCCTTTCTCGTTTCTTTAACAAACTCTTTCAAACACTTTAAACCTTAATTTGTCTGTAGTCATGTGACCTCGTTCCTAAATAAAAAGGGCATTTTGACTGATGATTGTAAGGCGCAATGTTCTTATTTTTCTGTGGCGCTTTCATGCGTAAATTACAATATCTTTTCTGTTTTCAGGTGTCTGTCTCCTTCAAGTAGACGAGGGACCTTGCAGAGGAGAAATTGAACGCTACTACTACAACACCATCACTCAGAAGTGCGAGATTTTCTACTATGGAGGCTGCCAGGGGAATGCCAATAACTTCAAGAGCTTTCAAGAGTGCCAGAAGACCTGCTTCAGAATCCCAAGTAAGTTTCCAAAGTGATGGACGTGGGGGTGACTTTGGACATGTTTGAAAGTTAAAAAAACGTGCACTGGGTGTGGCAAAATTTTCAGCTCAAAAAATTAAAAAAACATATCACTATATTTTTCTGCTTTTGTGTGATTTCTGGTTGCAAAAGATGCGCAAAAACTACATAATGCTACTTTTCCCACCCTTAATTTATGATATTCTTCTTCACAGAGATCCCCCAAATATGCAGGTTCCCCAAAGAGGAGGGACCCTGCCGTGCCCTCTTCCCCATGTACTTCTTCAACATGACTTCTATGCAGTGTGAGCCTTTCTCTTATGGTGGCTGCATGGGCAATTCTAACCGCTTCCAAGACCTGGGTTCATGCATGGAGTACTGCAGTCCAAAAAAAAGTAAGACTCAGTCAGTCTCTGGGGTGCTTCCACTGGAGTGATGCTTAGAGGGGACTACATGTGTATGATTTAACTCCAGATGTTGGGTTTATATTGCTAGGAGGAAGAGCAGCTTTTGAGGTGAAGCTTAGTGGGTGACTGACAACCAGCTTTTATGGTTTCAATGTGTGTGAGCCTGTGTGAGAACAGATAAAGGAGTCATATGGAAAAGATCAAAACACCAAAAGGGAACAATTTTACTCTGAAAAAAGAAATCAGAACTCCAGAAACTCCTCTTCTGTTCTTCTCTGTGATTGGCTGCCTAATCGTGCTTTGTGTTTGACTTGACAGCGGTTCCTGTGCTCTGCCTGGACCCTCTGGACAAAGGGAAGTGCTCAGCCTCCATTCCTCGCTATTACTACAACACAGCCACCAAGATGTGTGAAGAGTTCATTTACTCGGGCTGCGGAGGGAGCAGCAACAACTTTGTCTCCAGGCAAAACTGCATGGACGTGTGTGTAAAAGGTGTGTAAGCAGAGAGTATTGTGTGTGTATTTTTAGTAATAAGATGTTTTTTTGTAGGAGGGGGTTGCAGATAAGATCAGTGATGACAAAGCAGTCTGTTAGTTGGGAAAATAACATTCAGCTGATTTCATTATCAAGCCAAATTCAAGCTGGGTGCTGCTCATGTGCTAATCAGTGTTTGTTTTCCCAGGAGCCAAAAAACACATGATCCAATCCAAAGTTCGTTGCAGGAGGCGAAGAAGAAATAATCTCCCCACTTTCCTGCAGGCGTAGATGCCTGATATCAGGGATCTCAACTCGACAAACCCTTCATGGACGCTAACATTTGATAAACTGTGTCTGCTTGTGCCAAAAAGCTGAGCAGAATTTGTGCTTTTTTGTTGTTACTGAAGGATTATTATTGGCACATACACGGATTTACACTGTATTTGTAATGCTTTATGAGCAAGTTCAAATGTGACTTTATATGTTGTTGACAAAGTTTTACCACTGCACTATTGTTCATGGGTTGTATGTTTTGATATTTTATATGTTTTGTATAAGAGTTTTGTATGATAAAGATCTTTTTATGTGTTCAACTCTTTTATAAGCACTTTTTAAAAATAAAACATGAAGAATAAATTTAAGCTATTTCACCATTTTTGTTCTCTCATGTTGTTTTATTACGACCATGATTAAAATACAGCAGTGTGTTTATCCTTCAAGGGAGTCTCCGCCAAAGACAACAACAAAACTAAACTAAAAAAAAAAAAAAAAAGGAAACAGGCTTGGCTGGTTTCCTCACTCTCTCTGAAGCACTTTCACTTTATCTCCAGGCTTATTCCACCCCTTACTAATGCTGCTGTCTCGCCCCCTTATCTGGTAATACTTTGCGAGGCACTCAGGCCTATCTGGGTCGCCTCAGTGAGTCAGGAAGGAAGCAATCATGGAGGAGCAAATGCTACAAACTGTGGCAGGTTCGTTAAGATGATGCTGCGTTTTAAGAGGAGCGGAAACTGCAGCTTTACTAAATGAGAAACATGAGCTTCCAATGATGTTTGCAGCAGTTATTGTGAAATCCCCCCAATTATACAAACCACTACCGCCAATGTGCACTCCCATTTTCTCCAAAGCTAATAACCGAATAGGATTTCCCTTATTTTTGTTCAATACCACTTAGGTTTCTCAGATTCTATGTACCAAAGGAGAAATCTAATAGCTTTCATCAAAACAAAGAAGCCATTACTTCGTCTCTATAATGTAATTGGCCTAAATTTCTGCTTCCTCTGTGTCTAATAATAGCAGAGCTGAACTACAGACGATAAATATTTATAGAAGATATCAAAGGGGAACTGAGCACCGAATCTGGCCTGGCTATAAATAGTAAGGAAAGGTAATACATCTGCTTGGAGCCCGTGCCATTAGGAACAAAAGCTTTATCATCTATGCCATAGTGATATGAGAGACTATGCCGTCCTGACTGCGAGCTCACAAGCTTGAAAAAATCACAACAAGTGATTTTGGAGATAAGCTTTTTTACTGTCTGCCTTTTTTAAAACCTTCTTATTTGTTCTTTTTATCAGTGATCTTACAGGTATCTTTACATGCTGTTAAAGATGTTGTAGATTGCACAAACAGACACAGTGATTAACTTAAATCATACAAAGCGCTACACCAGAGCATTCATAAGTGGTAATATAACAAAGACTGCAGATTTGGTGTAGTTCAGAGTGCTTGAGATGATTTAACCCAGCTCTGGTTATTTCATTAGCTGCAGTACATTAGGCAGTGTCATTTCACCCCTCAGTCTCAATTGTGATTAATGAGCGTTTTTATTGTAACATGTCTCTCGTAGAAAAAGATTCATTTTATGAAGGAGGGCCATTTATCAGGCTGTTTCACAGGTTAGCTGTGCGGGTGACAAAAACATTCATTTTAGAGCAGGTAAAAATTTGTCTTTGTGCTCTTGGTATTTTTAAATTCACTCTGATTTAAGTCTCATCATGACTGAATGAACATGCTGTTCAGTTGGCTCAACATATTGTAGGTGTAACAGTAGGTGAAGGAGAGTAGATGCCCCCTGGTGGAAGATTTAAATACTACAACAACAGCACAAAATGCAACTTTGATGCTGCATTTTTTGGGTTACTATAATTGCATGATTAACTATTTTCAAGTTTAGATTTGCAGTCAGTTTTCTCAGCAGGTATAACACATTCTGCAGCCAGGTGTAATTTTCATATTTGTCAAATATAAGAGAAACCCATGCCATGCAGCCCAGCTGTTGACTCCGCAGCTCTTATTCAGTCTACCACAGTCTTCTTCTGTAGAAGGGTTTTGTTGGCTGAAAAAAGCTTTGACTTCAAAGCGTTCTCACAGTTTGGCAGCCAAAGAGGATTAAACCCAACTTTGAGAATCAAGTTACATGTTAACAATACTCTCACTCTTCGTATTTTTTTAAACAGAACCAATGCACTGAAAGATTTTAATTCAAGAGAACAGATATTTGTACATGAGAGGCATGGGCTGGACGTCTAAAAACAGATCCTCAGTTGTTAACTGTACTTCATATTAACTCTGGTAAAAGACTGAATAACGTTTGTCACGGTGAGCGTGAACCATGTTTGTTGAGATGTCATTTCTGCAAAGAAATATCGCTAATTGGTTGTACATTTCCCCATCTGTGCTCAGAGTCCACTCAGACACTCCGAGTTCAGGGCTGACAACCTGTCGATGTTTCAGTTACAGGGGCATTTTTTGTTTGTATGACTGTTTAAAATTTATGCTAACTTAGGATCTTGTTTAAACACAGAGTCTGGCAGTTAGGTGTTATTAATCTTCATGTTTAAGTTGCAGATGTGCTTAAATAGTTGACAAAACAACAGCTTTCTCGAGGAAAGACAAATTATTTAGAGCTCCCCTGACAGTCTTCAGTATAACTCTCACAGCCCAACTCCTCCTGCGCAGGTCAACCAGGTAAATTACGGTTTCTGCCCTGATTGTTGGTTCTTATGTGGATTTATGTGCAATAATTGACAGCTCCATTGTCAAATGAAGACTCCTGCTGCGTTCATCACCAGATGGAGAAACGGAGAGAGAAAACAACAAAAAGTTACCCAAGAGTCATGTGAATCTCCATGACCATGAGAGTCAACATTTTATAAACAAAAGGATCTGTTCTGCTGCGCACACAACTAACTCGACGCATCTTGGGTAGTGAAGGGGCCACAGATCCACTTGACAGATCCCTTCTGTGTTTATTTTATGCCTTTACTTTATCATGGCAGCAGATGGTGGCATACAATCCATATTTATACAAACAATCCTCTTAAACCTTTGGATATACCTTGCTGAGTGGAAATGCTTGATTAAAATGCAGCAGAACAAGAAAGATTTTTAAATTTAAGAGCTCAGGATAAATGACACTGCAGGCAGAAGGTGATTTCAGGCAACAGAAATAACAAACTGCACTAAAAAATGAACTAAATTCTTCCCTTGGCGTGTATCTCTTCTTGGCTGTCAGAGTTTGGACTGTTTTAACCTCTGAGCTAATGTTATAGAGGCCTCCCTGTCCCGACATGGTGTCAGAGTTTCCCCTGCATCCATCTCACCGTGTTAGAAGAGGATGAACCCATCAGACCCCTCCCCTCTTTCACCCTGAGACTGACGTGTCTGCTGATGAGAAATCAGGCTGCAGAACCCATGTAGCTGTTGTGTAATTAAACACGTCAGACGGATTCACACTTTGGCTTTTGCAGCAGATTAAATCTTTTAAAAATGCCAACAAGAGGAGATTAATTAGTGAGCATGTGTGTTTCCTGTGCATGTGCAGGTATCAGAGGTTTTCTATAACAGTAATTACCTCCCCACTTCAGTAATTTCAGCCTGCCTCGTCTCCTGCAGTGTTGCAGAGATTGATTTTTGAGGTGAATACTCGCACTTTCTTACATTTTGTATCCCAGAGAGTGAGGCATCAATTTAACAAATTATTGACAGGTTCCTTCCCACTTCCCACAGATCTCTACTCTAACAATCACACTGTCCTTTTGTTCTTTGAGAATAGCAATCTATTTAGCTGCAGATGAGTCATAGCTGTAAATAAATCCACCGCTTTCACCCTCCTGCAAATGTGCCACAATCCTTTTTCATCAACTTTGGGAAGATTAAAAGTGATTTGAGCAGAACAAACCAATACAGACGCCCATTTTTCCTCAAGCCAGATGATCACATTTCTCTCCAAAGCTGAAAAAGCAGTAAAAATACAGATATTCACTCTGAGCTGCAGATTTATCCACCTCTTCTCCTGCTTCTCCAGTATGCTTCAATTACAAGCTTCCCAGAGGTTGAAGACTTGATATCCAGATCTTGTTCAGCAGTTGTCTGCAGACTCAGCAGCTAAACATATTGTCAGAATTGAATTTATTGCTTAATAGAGGGTTCTTGGTACACACTAGATTTAGGAAAGCTGACCTGCCACACGCTCAGGAGGGATGCACAGGAGAGCCGAAATTCACAGAGTAAGCAGTTTGTGTGGATAATAGAGGTGAGAAACAATTTATCTTCAGCACTAAATTCAACATATAAGTGGTATGCACGGATCTGAGAACACTTTATGTGTGGAATATACAGTATGCAGGAAATAAAGATCTGTGGATATTTGAAGTCTGTAGGTTTGGATTTGGATTTTCAACAAACCTCAGCATCTCAAATTTGGTATAACAGGTGCTTTCCAAAAAGAGCAACAATGGCTCCTTTTTTCAGTCAGACAGCAGGTACAATGGCAGGACTCCTACACTGAAAAAGCTGAAGGGATTTCAGCCCCTGAACACCGTACAAACAGCATTAGACATTGGCTTATGTCTTCTGTAGATCAGGCTTCATGTGATGTTTGAAATGAACACAATCACGGACACTTTTTCACATTTTATATTCCTGAGAAGTATTATGAGAAGGCACTATTCATATTATATCCACAGGAATGGCATCCAGATGTTCCTGTTTCCACATTTTTTATACTGACAGGACATCTAGGGGGAACTTTATGAAGTCTTTGACATTGAAAAGGCATCCGGTAGTCACTTTTTTAATGCTATATTCACCAGAGGGGTATCCCCAGGGCACTTTTGTTATATTATATGTATTGAAAGGGCATCTAGAGGACCCTTTCCACCACATACTTTATACAAAAAGGACATCAAAGGGAAACGTTTTAGTCTTTTATTCTGGATTGGCATCCCATAAGCACTGTTTTATGGTTTCTCCAGAGAGCACTTGTAACTACAATTTTTAAACCAGAAGGAGATCTTGGGAACACTTTTGAGGTGTTGAAACAGCATCCTGTAAGCACTTTCTCTGGAAGAGTGTCTACAGTAAACTTTTTTTAATAAACTGGAAAGGCATCGAGTTGTGATTATTTTTACATTATACACACAGGAACATTTTTTACATTTATACACCTCAAGGACTTCTAGGGAACACTTTTTTTAAAGTTATGCACAGAAAGAAAGGACTATCTTCTAACATGCTTCTGTGTTATTGTGCATATTTAATAAACTTTTTTAAACCTCAGCTAACAAACCAGTCAGCCTTATCTGTTATTCTTAGGTTTTCTGTATCCCCAAGAAATAAATTGCATTCCTTTGTGACCGATTGTAATGCGGTGACGTCCTATTAAATCCAAGCTGTGAGTCACCCGGCCTTTCCTCATGCATCATTATCCTCCAGATTCACATCAGAGTGACCCACGAGACACGCGTCCCTCCATTTCCATCTCCCTCGTTCATCCGCCACGTTCTATCGTCGCCACAACTGACCATAATGAGGGGGGATTCTCTGAAAATGGCTTTCCTTTTTCATGGAAGTGTCCTCTAACCAGAATACCATCAGCAGCTCAGATTCAAATATCAGGATATCAGGGGCTCTGCCTGGAGGGAGTTATAATGGGGCTATGGTGCTGCATGTTTAGAGTGACTTGTATCCAGCTGTGATTCGGCCAATATGGACCATGAAGTACTTACTCAGTACAATCGAAACAATGAATGGGTTACAGTCCCTGATCCAGAAATCGTTTATTTTTTTATTTTTATTTTTTATAAGTCTTGCTCCTTTATGGTGTGATTCAGAGTCAATCTCATTAATGTATGTGTGCCAATGTTTATGTCAAATAGAACTGAAATCTGATTTTGGCTCAGGAAGATGACTCATATTTACAAGCAGATGGAAAATATCCATCAGTCTCCTTCCCTTTATTTGATACTCTGTCATCTCTGCAGGTTCCTAGATCTCCCGGCTTTACAGATGACAGCCTCATTTCGTCTTCCTCCACCATAATGTGTTGTAAATATGCAGCTTCATGGCCACCACTGGCTTGTCTGTCTGATTGCATGTGTTTGTTCGGATTTGACTTACAGGCATCCAAAGACTGTACTGCCAATGCGTCATCCTCTACTGAAGAGAAGCAGATTTTTTTTGGAGAGTATGGTGCAGAGGATGGGGTTAGGGTAAGTCTAAGAACTGGTCTAAAAACAAAAATGCATGTGTGTATATGCCAGGGTTTGTTAAAGCGGCTGAATTCGGGAGAAAACAGGGAGTGTGTGCTCGACTTTATGCAGTTATTCATTTCCATATCCGATTTACAAATGTCTAATCGTTTTGGTGCAGTTTAAGGAAAATGGAGGCACAAAAAGACTGCAAAGAAAACCATGGCTGCACCATCAGCTATTTAAACAGTAACCCTGACAACCACATATCAAATTATCAGATCTTTAGTAAGGAAATAACCCCCTATCTAGGCTAAGGCACTAGGCACTTAGTGGTCTTGATTTCCCTATCATAACCTCTCAGTCCTTACACAAAACAGATCACTAACAATACAGCAACATCAAGACCAAGATAGAGTATCTCCACATCTGCATGTAATAATAGGACAAATGACATAATCCAGGGAAAATACATAAAAATGTACTGGTGGTTAAAGAATGAATCATGAAAAAGTACCCTCTGGACTCCCTCTCTGTATTTAAAATCTGAAAACGTGAGCTCTGGATGCCACTACAGAAAACAAGGTATAGAAATGTTTCCTCTAAATTTCCTTTCAGGTGTAAAATGTGATTAGGAATCCTTTAGGTAATCAAGCTTATTGCATAATGAGCTTTGAGTTAAAGATCATGTTTCTTCTGCTCTGCACACTCCTCATCATGCAAGAAAAGTATTGTTATAATTAGCTTCTTATGAGTATTGCAATCCGCTACCGCACACGCTTGTTCCGTGCTCGTCCTCTCCACTTCTCCGAGTCTGGTCTGCATCGCAGGGCTCCGGAGGCGGAGCTTGCAGTTGTGATGTAGGAAATCTCAATGTGTCTGAACGTGCCATTTTGGTCTGCCCAGACATACTCAGAAATGCAATTTCGCACTTACCTTTCACATGATATGTCATGTAGCATCAGCAAAATGTCATATAATTATGAAGACAACAAAAAAACAAAAAAAACGTGATTTTCATCGGAGTGGGTCTTTAATGTGTCAGGTTTTAGAGCTAAGTTAAATGCTGAGAGTGTATCTTTGAAAAAGTCAATTTATTTAATCATTTCATTCACATTTACTCAGTTTTTATATAAAAGATCCAATCCAGATTTAATACAATCGATGTATTGATGATTTCAGGATTTTCTTTTCATTTTCAACGTCTAAATATTGCATAGAAATGGATGATGACATTGGGAGACATTGACATTTGCTTCATAGCAACGCTTACAAAGTAATGTGTTGCTCCACAGTTGTTTTGCCTTTCTTCAATGTGAATGATGTTTTCCATTCATATCACAGTTATATTGAAATTGTGATATTTATGGCCATAAAGATAAGAATGATTCCAGTGTAGTGTGTCATCCATCTAATATTTCTGTGAGGTTTAAACTGATGCAGCTGAAAGGGCATACCAACCGCAGATCACAAGTTTGTACCAAACACCAACAGTGTTAGGTCAAATTAAAACGACAAGTCTTTAATTTCTCATCCCTTTGATTTCTCTTTAACATTCAAAGAGAGTTTGCTGTTCTCAGATCCAGTGGGAGGTTGTTTCACAGTTTAGGGCCATAAACCAAAAAGCAGACATCCAGATTTCTTGTGGGACATTTTCAGAACTTTTAAAACAAAGATGGTGGGAGATCAGAGAGTTCATGTTAGGACATTCAGGAAAAGTCAGTCAGATAGATGAAGAAGGTGCTAAGTTATGTAAGGCTTTGTGGAAGGGTAAAAGGAGTGTATAATCGATGCGGAAAGGTACAGGGAGCCAGCGCATTGATGCAAGATGAGGGGTAATATGATCTTGTTTTGTTTGAGTTCACATTCTGGCTGCACGGTTTCTAAGATATTGGTGGAGACATTTTATATAATACAGAACAATACAATACAATAACTTTATGTGTTCCCAAAGGGAAATTCATTTGTCTGGAATCTCATTAAAAATTTTCTTTGGAAGGACAGTTAACAAACTGTGTAAATCTAGTCAGAGTGACATGGTTGAAGTCTCACAAATGCCTCGGGATGATTAGTCTGTATTCTAGCAACTGTATCATAGAGAATACATGTATCAAAGTATTGTTTTGATATAACTGAACTCCCTTGGAACAGAATATGGCTGAAGAGCAACTGCCAACAGTTCGATATCTGGACTACACATTCTCTCAGTTATGTGTGAAGAGTTACACCATCTCTGGTAAACAAATAACCAGAGATGGTGTAACTCTTGTCATCCATATAGAGATCAGTAGAACAGAATAGCAACCATGTCAGCGGTTTATATGTGTAAAGATATACAAGCATTCAATGACAGTGCTATTGAGTTAATTACAGTTTAATAATGACAAGATGGGCAACAATATCATTTATATGACTAGCTGTGTTGAGTTGTCTATCTTCACTATAACAGTTAAATCACACATTGTGATAATTTATTCTGTTGCACTTTGTTCTTATAACAATATATCAATTCTCTTAACATGGCTTATTTATTCTGATAATATAATGTTTCCAATATGACTTTATTCTCTGAACACTTTGACTTTATAACTACTTTATTTGCACAAGTTTATGACTATACCAGAACTTTATGATGTTAAACTAGTGACATGACGACTTTATTCTTGTAACATTACAAATTTATTTATGTGATATTATGACTTTACTGGGACCGTATTCTCATAAGTGTATGACTTTACCATTACTTTGTCCCAAAAATGATAAGACTTCAATCTAGTGACTTACAGGGATATTCCCGCGTAAAATTAAGTTAGGGTCAAAAGCACCATAACACCGATTTTGACACCCCGTCGAGAGATGAAAGTTGCCAACCGGTTTCTTCTCTAGTTATACCAACTTTAGCAACAACTGCAGATAGCAATACAGAGAGCCATGCACTCAACCAAAACACCACTCTACAGCCACAAATAATGCTCAGAACAGCACCTAACTTCATCAACAGGACATATAGGGTCCCAGCCATAGTACTAGCCTTCAAACATCTTTTTAGCTTTGCCTGGTTTCTTCGGCAAAGAGACTAAACACAACTCACCTTCTCTCTTCCAGCAGCCGTGTATTTGTACAGAGACCTCCGGGCGAGTCCATCGACGGGGAATGCAGCTCAAGGAAGAACATTTGTGATCATTTCCTTGTGGAAATGGAATCAGACCAAGACACTAAGGCAGAAGAACTACTGTGTCTGCAGTGCAAAATGACTATTTTGATGATTATTACTTCAAGGAAATGATAAAATAATGATCATTAATGTTCTTCCTCGAGCTCCATCTTAAAACAACTGACTTAACTTTTTTGGGGGAATTTAATGACTTTGTCGTCAAAATCTTAATAAATAGAACTTTTTGTGGCCCTAATACTCAATCGTAGCAGCTCATCAGTGCACTTAAACAGCTATTAAGTTGCTTGCATACATGGACTCCAAAGACAAACATCAACTTCACAGACAACCTCTCAGATTTTAAGAATCATAAAGTGTGAGCAATTCATTATTCAACATTCAACCTTTTTTGGATGTGAAGAAGTTAGGTAGTGTGAGACATCGTGTGTTGAACCTATAAAAATCTGACAAAATTTCCCAAACTGGCCTGTATGAGAATTTTAAAATCTCATGGGGGTCTTTATTAAACAGATTTTAATTAGCTACGGTCACGTGACATGTTATACATTAAATGTTGTGTGATTGTTGCTATTTGACGTATGTAGAAGGAAATTTGACAATGAGACAAATCTTTGTAATGTTTTATTGTGTGAATTGAGATGAATATTTTCGACTTTTGCTGCTTATTAAATCTAAAGCCATTAAAGGAGAGAAAATCGACAGTAGTCGCTCCCATGTCTGTACATCAAGCTTCAATTATAACGTCATTTAGCCGTGTTAATGCACGCTGTTTCCACCCACAGCCCTGCAGGTATGAACCACAGCTCTTGAATGTCTCATTAGTGTTTGTTTAAAAGCCGGTGTCCAAACCCTCGCGCACACACGCGCTGGAGAGGCTTCCTCTCCTCGCTGTGTGTGTCTGCAGCACAGACACACCGTGATAAGGCGAGGAGGAGCTCACCAACCACACGGTCGTGCGCGTGAACGGGAGGCTGTTAGACGCTCTTGGATTACCGGGCAGTCAACTGTCACCGCTCACTACGGCTGCAGACCGGCGCCCTGCCCGGCGCTCCTCTCCTGCGCGCACCGCCGGTCATTAAATCATCATAAAGAGGTGTTTACCTGGACACAGCTGCGGCACTAGAAGCGTTTGATTGATTGTCATTGTGGGTTTATGTCCGTGGATGCAAGAAAAAAAGTTTTCTATTGACGCGGCAATAAATAGGAGCGCAGAAGCTGGGAGTCAGCCTCCGAGGAAGGACACCGGGCTCCTCTAAACCTCCTCTACAACTGTTTGTGTCACTAAAAACCTACAGAGGAAAGGTAAGCCCCCGGCTGGAGATTTCTCTTCTTTAACTTCTTTAAGTCACTGCTGTGAAAGGTATTAATACTATTCAGCTGCCGTGGTAATATCCTCACTCTGTCAGTCTGCTTGAATCCCAATTTGTCCCCCATTTGTCACGTTTTTTGGGGCTGATGAAGAAGAATCCAATTTTCTTTGCAATGCATGCTCGTGACGCAACATGAATTAGGTTTTCAGTTCCCCATTTTTTAATGCTGTTAAAGGGATTAGGAAAGCATGTAGATGGGCTGTTTGAATCTCAACACCAGTTAAGCTCAAGATGTAAGCAAGAGGAAACACACAAAAATGAGGATGACTCATACTCATGTTGTGGAGTCTGTGATGCTTTATTTATAAGACTGAAAACTCAAGCCAAGGCTGGAATTTGCTCTCATTTGATTGAAACTATGATGAGTGCATGCACATATGCATGCATAAATCTATGATTTTATGGGTTTGCAAGCTCAACCTAAAGTTAATCTAGGAAATGCAATGATTTATGGTGAATTTAATAACGCTTATTGCTCAGGAGTAATGGAAATGATTCCTGCAAATTAGATATTCATGGTGAGTTATTGCAAATTGGTAGAGGTTTTCATGTGTAGAGTACAAACTGCGCACCTAAGGCAGCTTTAAAGCTCTTTTTTTTGCAGCCACAGAGATGTGAAGGAGTGTTACAGATGAATCCAGTCATGTCACACACACAAACTCGAGGCGTATTCATACAAGTCACACAAACACAACTGTTAAATCCACACTGGCTTGTTCCTCTCTTTGAAGAAAATAAGATACATGCTTAAAAGGAGTTATCATGCAGCATACAGTGCAGAAAAGTGGGCACGTACACACACATTAAAGGTCAATGCATGCAACCTTTCCGCACTTGCAGTATTAATCACAGTGACAAACAAAAAGAGCATGGCGACAGAGCCAGGGGTTAGACTAAAGCTGCTTTCGGCTTTGTTCACAGAAAAATCTGCAGACTTCTGCAGCCAAATCCAAACCCTAGATCGACTTCTTTTCTTCTGATATGTGTGAGAATTTTTAACATAACTTTAAAACCACCCTCATGCTTTCACATCGGTTGCATTAACCAGTTTATGGAAATAAAGCATTCCTTCATGCACCCACTTTTCCAGAACCACAGGCCGGAAACAAATGAATCCAAAATCATCGGTGAATGCTGCGTGCCTGCATCAGTTCGCTCTCCAGTCGTGGCAGAAATGGTGCAGAAAGTGACGTGCAATGCCTTGAAGATGTTTGCGGCTATATTGGGATCCTTCTTTTGGGGATTCCTTTGAGTTTACGTAAGCGTGTTTAAAGTAATGGCTTGTGTCATTCGGAGGTTTTATAAGAGGCAAGGGGAGTGAAGTGGCTTCAGTGAGCTGATGTGACTGAAAGGAATGAGGCTCCTCTTCAACTCCAGATATACAAATATAATGTGCAATACAGATGGAGACAAGAATAGCAGCAGACAAACAGGCCGGCTGTCAAAGAAAGAGAGTGAGACAGAAAGGGGACAAAATGAGGAAGACAGGCCGAGATGTGTACAGCGCCCTGCAGTGAGCGGGGCCCGTCTGGCTGTCTTTTGAGTCTGGGAGATACGTTTGTCATTCATCATCCCACACTCTGTCTGTGTGTCTGTCTGGCTGCCCCTTGGTCTGGACGGAAACAGGTGAGCAAGCAAGCAGCAAATCTGCTCCCTTGTGAAAGGACCAAAGTGAGCAATGGAAGAGCCAGAGGAGGAGGGGGGAGTGAGTGAGCGAGAGAGGTGTGCTGGAAAAGATGAAAAAAGAAAAATGGGCGAATAAAAAAAAGTGACCACAGTGGGCGAGACATCAGTGACCGCAAAGTGTTTTAGGACGAAAAAAGTGGATGGCACATCTTTGCGCTTTTGTGCAGACATTTGGACTACCTTCTCTTGGCATTTACACGACACACAGCCTAGATATCTGTCATGCACGCACATCATGTAACTGAGTCCCATCTCTCAATGAAGGTCAGCAGAATATCCACTACCTGTTGTTATTCCTCCATAATAATCAAGCTGATGCCCCATGTTTTATTCAACGGCACATGGAATGAGCCACAATGTCAGAACGTATCCACCCGCCTGGGCACTGTAATCACGGGCGAGACAATGCTCGATTTACTGCTGAGGACCTACAGTGATACTTACCCTGCTGCTCCCTGTGCAAAGAAAATCTGAGGAATCATGTGAAGTAGCGTATTTAGGCTGCAGAGTCTCAGATACAGAAAGCCCTTTTTTTTCTGACCCAGAGCTGCTGCATGCCACTTGGAAGATATGGACGATTTTACTGGCATGCAATCAACTTGAAAAAGCTGAAAAACTGAGCCAGGTTAAATATTCAGATGGTAACATTACAATTTCCATGCTAACAAGCAGTACATAAGGGTGTGGTTTAATATCCTGTTATGCATTAAATAGCTCTGCCATGCAAGACCAGCTTTTTCTTTTGTCCTACCAAAGACACAGAGGTACACAGCTGGGTCTGAGTAAAATGACAGTGATGCTTAATAGGCATTAAAAGGAAAAGATCAATCATGCAAGCTGGATGTAGTTTAAGATGTGATCATATTTAAGTAATGCAATATGTGCAGCAGAGCTACGTCTCTTATTTCTGTGCACAAGTCAGAAATAAACCTTAGTGGCAAACTTTGGGAGATGACAGGAGGGTCTGCTGTTGTAAAATTCAATTTCACAGTCATCTGTTCCAGTTATCTCTGCACCGTTAAGCTGTTTACGGAGCGCACTTGGTTAGAGGAGCAGCTTTAGAGAAATGAGAGCTCGCAGTATTTGAATGAGATTTATGACTGAAGTTACTCAAGACTCCAGGTAAGAGGTGCACATGAATCAAAAATATTCTGTTATTCGATACAAAGTGCTATAACTCCTGTCTGAAAAAGGTGCATTCACGGGGCTGTATGTAGTACAGTGAGCTGTGGTATCAATAGGTGGTGCTAGAATAGAGTGAATGGCTCTGGAGAGAGAGGTCTTTACAACACATGTGATGTATGTGTGTTATGAAGCGAGGCATGTGGACCTATCGCTTTCTGACAGGTTAACATTATCATGAAAATGTCATTCTGTCTCCCCCTGACTTCAATACATGAATCCTATTTGCAGAAATGCTACTTAAAATGCTACAGCTGTGCAGCTAATGACAGACGTGATTCCGTACTTCCCCTATTGATTGAATGTTCGCTGTTAGAAATCATGATGGTTTGTTAGCAGATTTGTGGTACATGCTGTTTCAGATCAGCTTCTTATTATCTGAACAGTGTAAAAGTATCCTTGGGTCAAAAAGTATCCTTTATCTGTGAACTTCAAAAACTACTTTAAGGAAAGGTGGGGTTGTTGCGCTTTGACTGACAGCTGTCGTAAATGACGAATTAGCTCACCAGTAAGTAGCATTAAATTCAACTTTCTTCTAAATTCAATTTGAAAGGTTTTCCTTTACATAAAGAAGACTGTTTTTTAGCCTCCAAAATCCTCTTTTCAGGCCACCTGTAATGAGCGAACAGCTACTCTGCTTCATGTTTTTATGCTTGCAGCAAACTGGTTAGCTGAAGACACGAGCAGAAATAACCCAACAGAAAGCAAACACAGAGAGTGTATCTGCTGCTACAAGTTTCTGTGTGAAATATTACAGCTTCTTATAGAGGAGGAAAATTCTTTGATAGTCTTCTGGATGTCTCTGATTCAAACATAATAACTTCTGTGTAATTAGCATGCTAACGCTCGTCTTGTTTTTCTCCTTGACTCACAGGTGTTTACTTTTCATTAGCAGCAGTCTTTGCTTTTCTCTCTTTTTCCTTGACAGTTTTCACTCTGCTCTTTTGTTTGGCTTTTTTTTTTATCCTCCTTCCCTTCTTTATCTATCTCCATTGTGTCCTCACTTTACTCTCCTCCTGTCTGTTTCTTCTTGTTGGGTTTATCAGTGACCAGACCGGCACAACAACCTACTTCGTCTTATTCTATTTCATTTTCTCTGTCTGCGTCGCCTCCTGTCTTTCTCTCTGTCCTCTTGCTCTTTGTCCTTCACAGTTAATTGCATTCTCAGCCTCCCTATTACTCCCATCCTCCCACCTTTATTTAGGTCTAAACCTTTTCCCTTTCTGCCTCCTATGTTTGGTAAGAAAATACTTATTGGGGGGTTTTCCGTGTTAAAGTGACAACCTCTGATAGCTTTCTGTCGCTTCGGGAGACACAGCCACAAAGAGAGCTTTATTGAGGCTCCTGGACACAGATAGGTCAGACTAATAGCTTGTCCTCAAAAGGTCATTTGAAATACTGGTTTTAAGTTGGTCTGGTTTATATGTGAGGTTTCCTTCTGTACTTCTCCAGATCTTCTTTGCTGCTTACCGGCCAGGTGTGCTGATTATCACTCCAGATATGCTTTTTCTGTATTTTCCACGAACACTGACATTTAGAGTGACGCACTGGGATAAATTTGCCTCCCATACCCGGGATTTTGCACTCTCCCATAGCAGCGATGCATCTGTTTGCACATGCACGTCCAATCTGTCAGCAGTGGCACAGATAGTGATCTTTTATTAGAGTGAGCTTGTCTAAGACTTAATATGTCAAAGGAAACGTAAAAAGGTTACAGAATAAGCAGGGAAATGGTTCTTGGGAGAACCCTCATATCATTTCCTGGTGGAAAGATTTCAGCCTACTTTACTTTGAAGTTGAACACAGGATAAAACAGTTTACATTGATCCTGCCTCATATGGTCAGCATGCTCAGAGTTTTCAGTGTCTCTCCTGATCTAAAGAGGAAAAACTGCGAATAATGACCTCTTTGCTGAGAGATCGTTTCAGAAATCAAAATTCTCCAACATGTAAAACAGTTCCTGCAGTATTTCATGTTGCAGAATGATGTTATTTGAAGTGATGTTTTGTGTTTGGTATGGTAACAGGGCAGGATTTATTTTCGAGTGAACACAGGAAGGAACAGGATGAACGATCTGATGAAAAGTGTTGTTGAATGACCTGACGTTAGGTCATTTTGAACAGTAGATGATCCAGAAATCATTTGGAGGCCCAGAGAGAAATGAACCACCCCGTGAAAGGATCCCTGCTGTTCACCATTGTAGTCTCTCTCTCTTTCTCTCTCTCTCTCTCTCTCTGTCTCTCTGTCAGGGGGTCTGAGAGTGAAGCACAGTGTGGCTAAAAGTAATTAACGTAGCTTACGTTTCCCTCTGAGGGCAGCTCTGTGTGTGCTGCGAGACACTGTGAATTCTGACTTATTATAATGTCCCTCGACTACTAGACCATTCATTGATTTCCTTTGCCTGGTTGGCTCTTTTTCATCCTGGTTTTGGCTCTTATTTCAAGTCCCTGAATGAATCACAGGGTCGGCTCTAACACCGGGTGAAATCGGCTCCAATTAAGGTCTGCGTGATTGATTGGTGGTCAAGGAGGGATGTTACACCAATTTTGGAGGTTGTGGACAAAAAGGGTTTTTGCTGTTTCTAACAAAGTTGGTTCTTTCGTTTGTTTTTTTTCCTCTCTGTGTTTGGAAATTTGGAAGTGCATTTTGAGATTAATGCAACCTGGTGAACATTACTTTTTATTCCCATTAAATGAGTGGTTTCTGTGCAACCCTACTTGTTGCATAACCTTGGTTATACTTCAATGTTGTCTTATGCACAGCCTGACCAACAATGACTGTGTGCTTTATCTGAGTTCTTTTAAAATCTTACCGATCTAATGTCAGACATAGAGCAGGGTTTTGGAGGAGAATGTGCTTGCAGGCACATTTCCTGTTTGTTGTTACAATAACAGTGAGTCACAGAGCTGCAGAACGATGGGGGCTTGTTCTTATTCTGAGGGTCTAAGAGGGCTTCAGGGGCTTCAGGATGAGGCTTCAGGGGCTTGTTGAGCAGAAAGAGTGATTTGCAGTATACCTGATCTCTTCTTGAGGAGCTTACCGCTCTCTCTCTCTCTCTCTCTTTCACTGTTTTACTCCCTTTTTCTTTGTCTACGCACATAATTTGTCTTTTATCGCCTCTACTGTTAATTGAATGCGTATAATGTTTTCTCATTTTCCTCTCCTGCTTTCTCTTTGTTTATCCCCTCCTCTTTTAATTTCTATATATTTTCCCCTCTGGCGACAGTATTAAAGGACTTTGAGAGTGCTCCAGCTCCTATTTTAATTATCCCACTGGCTGCCGTGCGTACTCGTGATAACAGCACCCATCCCTCTCACTCGGCCTGTTTTTCTCTGTCTGTCTGTTTACAGCTTGTAGCACCCAGACACATCCCACTCTCTGACCCAGTGGAGCGTGCTAGGAACACTGTGCCCAGAAGGGAATCGTGGTTAATGCCTTTCGGCCAAGTCCAGCTACAAAATAGTTCTTTAATTGGTTTCCCATCACCCTCAGCTGCAGTGTGCTTCCTCTGTGGCTGCACATTGAAGCACATGGGAGTTAGTGAAATGGGACAAAAGACGTATGCTAATGGGGTCTTTGTGCATCTTTGCTTAAAGTTTTTTTTGTTTTTTTTTTCATTCAAGTATTTTGCATTGTTTGGTCTGGGTCTGTTTTTCTTGTTTGATCGCCCAGTATCACTTCCTGTGTAGAGTTGATCCTAACTTAAGGAATACAGAGGAACTTTAAGCAGACTCAGAATCTAAAATGCAAAAATCTGCAGCCTTAAACTCATGGAAGCATGTCGTGGTCTGAGATTACATATTCCAGATAATGATGGATACATCATTTTTGTATTTCTATTTTCTACTTCCATCAGACTTTGACTGTGGAAACATGTCTCTTATAAAACACTGTAAGTGGCAGAGGCAGAGAGGAGGGGCCTTTCTGGAGGAGGGTCCTCCCTCATGGCGATAATTGAGAGCATGCTGTGAAAGAATGCATGATTTTTTTAAATCCATTTTTTTGTTTTATCTCTGGAATTGAAAAGGCAAGGTTATCTTTTAGATGTGAATTATGATCTGCAGATGGATAGGGGGAATAGAGGGAGCGGTACAGTCAGTCACTCACATGACAGCACAGGCTAAAACTCAGACCATCTGTCTCCATCTCTCTTCACTCTGAACTCAGACTGCAGATCTCAAGGGGGATGTTTTCAAGCTCAGGTAAATTTAAACTGGAACACATGAGAGTACTTAATAAAAAATAGGTTTTTCAGTCTGGCTCTGTTATTTTTTTAACAATTAAAATTGAAGTTGAGTAAATATACGCTGAATGATGAACCTTTTGTTAAACACGTCTCTGGCAAGAAAGAAGTTATTACTTGTCCTGAAATGCTTTAAAGCTTATGTGAGGAGTTTTTGGTGCTAGTGGAAAAAAGCTGAAGTTAATACTGATACCCTTGAATGACCTACAGAGGCAAACAAGGCCACTAGTGTTTCTTTACTGTTATTTTTACCGCCTCAATCTGATGCTCGTGGAGGTAGGTGACAAAAGAGATTTACCACTAGTGTGCCGAGGAGTTCAGTGGTTAATTGTTAAAAGTAACCAAAAAGGGATTTCTGTCATTACAAATGACTATCATCAAACTGATAAGAGGTGTGGACTCCAAAATTAGCACAGACCAAAAGTTCCTCACAGGAGCTTTAAAGTTATTTGTGTATAACTTATGTGACTCTTTGGTTATAGGGTCTAAGTCGGTTTAATTTTGTTGACTTGAAATGAATCCTTAAACTTAATTATAGGTTTATAAAACAGTGCTAGAAAAGAACATTATAACACAATGTTTAAATACAACATTAATGCCCCTGTTAGGAACTTTTGCTTTGTATCAATTTTGGCTTGTGGCACCTTCTGACAAAAATATTAATTCCACTGACTCCTGACAATCAACTCTTTCATTTTTTGTGGATATTTAATATAAAAAGAGGGTGGTTTCTTCTTTTCAACTGACACCTACCCCCTCGCAATAATTTCAGGCTTTAAAAAAATACAGATTAAAATTAACAGTGTTGGCACTGATGGTCTTGTTTGCTTTTTGATATCGTAAAATAGCATAAATATCAATTTCATAAATGTCAAAAAAACATATAGCATAGGGGGACAGTACAAATATGTCAGTGGGTAGAACAGTTTAGTATAAGAGACAGAACAGGATAACTGAGTGACATTGTTCCCCTGCAATAATCAGCCTCATTTTAATAACAGTCACATTGTTTTACATGAAGTGGTGTGGTGTTCGAGGCACTCTGTTCAAGCAGGTCTTCATGCTGGACTTAATTTTGATAATGCTAATGGATTATTATGAGGCGGACTGTGATAGCAATGGCCATCAGTGTACAGCCATCTACTGATTAGTTAATAGTGGGCCAATTTGCAGTGTACTCTGCTGCCCAGACTCTTCCTGGGCTGTAAATGGCTGCCATGAGCATGGCACAGATAATGGTAATGGTATCAGACGGAGAGGAAATGGGGGACTCTAGTCACCTCTGTGAATATATGTGTCTGCATGTGTGTGTGTGTGTGTGTGTGTTAAAACAGGAGCATGTGGACTGGCATAAGGCCAGCAGCAGCACACATTTCAACTCCAGCCAAACCTCATGAGCTACAGACTACCTTCAGTTCACTGCTGATAAGGACTAATAAACCACAATGAACTCATTGGCCAAATGCACACAAGTAGAGAAAGCGATAAAACAGATCCCCCAGTTCATGTTTTATTTTAATGGGCTTTTAAAGAAAATTCAGACACATTATTGAAACTGAGCCTGAAACTAAGAGATATGAGTTCATTTGGAGATTTTAAAGAGCAGTTACATTATCTCCAACAGATGTTTAGTGAATTACTTTAGCAAGATCCTGTACATTTGAAGAAATAACACTTTAAGTCCTCACTCTATACATTGAAAAAAAGATCTGAACCTTCAAGGCACATGATCAATGGATTGAAGAAGACACGCCTGCATGTCCAAATTCTCCGTCATCACATCATCAAAATGTGTGATTGGTCTCAGGAGTCTGTTTTTATGAAAGAGATGTGCTCAGCAATAGTATGGTTTTGCACTGAAGTAAGGTTTAGTTTTATTTATGCTGTTTTGCAAAGAATAAAACAAGGTTCCAATCATATGATTTTTTAATCATGCCACTGTCAGAAGGTGCTGAGCTCAGCCCAGCATTAGAGCGGCAGCAGCAAGTTAGCCTGTTTTCGAAAGCACAAACATAGAGATGCACAAATAAGAACATATAGGTTTAAAGTGTTCATTTTGCGATTTTGCAGCCTAAAAAAACAGCCAGAAACTAGCTGCGTACGCTAGTGTCCCACTTTCATGCTTAATTGAGCTAGCTGCCTTTGCATTCAAAAAACACAGCCCTTACCACCTTAGAAAGTCAAAAATTCTGATTTCCACATGAGCATTTGGGGTCACTCCTTAAAGTATATTGCAGGTGATCTTACCCTCCCTATTACAATGTCACAATCACACCAAGCGCAAGTAAAATCATTTGCAAGAGTGAATAACATGTAAAGTCAATTAAAATACACATGGCTGTGTATGTGACTTCCAATGATTTTGTAGTCAGCCTCAAGTGGACATGGGAGGAACTGCACTTGCACATTGGCTTCATTTCTGAAGACCAGAGGTTGCTGCTTGTTCTAGTTGTGTTCTTTGATTTGTAGGAATAATACATCAACATTTCTGTTTAAGTCTTTACACTGTTTCCTGTTGTAGCAAAGTTAAGAAATAAAGTTAAGCTAGGTGGCAATACAAATAAAACAAATACAGTATACTATCTATACCAATCAATTAGTGACTTAATCCTTATTTATATTGCCTCATAGACTTTACACAGAGACAAGATCAGTCTTAGCCTTTCTAAAGATTCAATCTCATATTTACCCACCAGACTCATATAAATGGAGATATTATTAAAAATCTGAAAATTGTCCCCATATACAGAACATTTCTGGTGTTCAGACTTTTTATAGACTGTGTATCCTTCATAATAACCCGTTAAATGATCTTATTAGCCTCTGAAAATAATCATTAAAGATGGAGAGGATGACTGTGAGAGAGTAAAGTAGCTCCTTACACATGAGGAATTTTGTTATTAGCCCTACTCTGGACTGCAGTCAATAATCCATGCTTTGCTAAGGCAGTTTAATGCGCTCTAAACTACAGGCTAGGTGCTAGGGCATGACCAATCACAGGGTGTGAAGGAATTATTCCCCTAATTTACATAACATTGAGCTGCAGATACTTTTAAATTAGAAATGCGAACGGCAAAATATTAGACAGAAAATAAAGCATAAATGAGGCATAATTAAAGGACAAACATTCAAGGCGAAAGACCTATGATGAAAGTAATGCAGAAAGTGAGCTCTAAAACTTCAGAGGTGTGTTCCTATGTCAAGATTCGTCGAGGCAGAGGATTAGGATGGTGGCAGGTTGATTGAAATACTCTATTCTGCAACATCTAGATGGAAGTAAGAATAGCAGGCACAAGGTCAAAGGGATATCAGGGAGGAGAAGAGTTCTTGTGTAATAGAGTTGCATCCTCACTGATGTAATTAGAGCTGTAACTGAAAGACTATAGAAATCAGCCAACTGTGTCTGTTAATGATGTGGGAACCTTATCATCACAGGCTTGGTTTCAATCCAGGCGGTTGAGCATAGGCAGAAGCAGCAAGCTCATCTATTTCTACTGGTCCCAGTCGAGCTTGATTTTATTTCATGTTTGGAAAAAAACCCTGCTTTTCTGGACTGCCTGGATCTTTTTTCCCCCTCATCTACATGAGAATGACTTTCTGACAAATAGAAAAGAAACATTTCTAGTAAAATGGTTGTGATCATTAAATGTGTTTACATGGAGGGTTATTACTTGGAAACAGGCAGTGAAGTCAATCCAAGTGGTGTGTGGTAGGATGAGTGTGTGTTAGTCTATGCCTCTGCTCTGAACAAGATGGAGAAGAAGACTGGCCAACAAATCCTTTCTGACCTTAAACAGAGTGGTATTCAAGGGTTAATAACTTGTGGTACACTGTGAGAGAAAAAAGTTGATTAATTCGTCTGTGTGTGTACAAGTGGGTTTAACACAAGCCTGTCTAAACTTTACTTTGCTGCTTCAGTTTTATCCTCTCCACTGCTCTTCTGGGTTCTGATTTAGCATTTCAAGGTCGACTGATTATATGTACAGAAATCCCACTATATGGCTAATATTAGTACATTTGAGGGATTGTATCCAGACATTCTCTGAAAACACAATGATCTTCTCAGTGGACTGTAAAAGCCCTTGGATGGGACAGACACATACAGAGTCAATGCCAGAAAACTGCCGGTCTCACATAGTTAGTGGATTTTACGATAAGTCAGTCTGTTGCACTGTGGTTTCTTAAGAGCTGATATTAAAACACAATAATATTCAGTTGTAAACAACAATGATTTGAACATGTCTGTCTTCTGTCTGCCATTAGTACTTCCTGTGTTGTTGATTGCACCAACTGCCTCTTGTGATGTATCACGTCAATGTTGTGTAAGGTGGCAAAAGTAAGTGAAAGGTGGTGATGACTGATCGTGGTGAAGCAGAAAGGCAAATGAGGTTGATAGCTTCAACTAGTTGGGTCCAGTTGGATCTCGAACTGGCTTTTAATTCTGATCCCTATCCCTAAATAAATAAACGAGAGAGTGACAAAAACAAGAACTTGAACTTGACTTGGTGCACTGACATTACAGCCCATTTTACAGCTACAGGCTTCAACAATCCCCAAAAGTGACTTTTTTTTAGCCGCTGGTCATTTTAACGTCTAATATATAAATCAAAGCAGACTCAAAAGTACCAAAAGTGTACCTAAAAGCTGCTGGCCCAAACTCTCCTTTCTCTTATGTCTTAGGAAGAGGAAGGTCACAGTTTAATTAAAGATCACCGTAATCTATCACCATCAATTTTCAACAGTAAAACAGTGAACCTGGAAACAAAAAGGAGAAAAATGTAATAAGAGCATTTAAAACCTAGTAACCGTGTACTTAAAATTTTTTTATTTTGTAACTTTTATTATAAAGTACTGGAGCGAGGGGGTAGGTGTCAGCCCAGCACTTGTTTTTACTATGTTCACATGAGACATTCACATTAAATGATGCATTTGACTATCAACAGTCAGCAGAATTAGATCATTTTGTCACAAGTCACTGCCTACACAAAGACAGCTTTGTCCACAGGGGGCACCATAATTGATACAAACCAAAAAGTTCCTCACAGGAGCTTTAAAAATATCATTCTTTAAATGAAATACCACTCTGAAACAAATGTAAAATGTTTGTAGAAAATGAGTTTCTGTGTATGCTGAGTATGTATTATGTATATGACAATTTAACTGAATGAAGTAACCTTGAATCTGTGAGAATTATTGTTAGTCTCTCTCTCTCTCTCTCTCTCTGTCTGTCTGTCTTCTTCTACTTTTATATTCTCTCATTCACACATAAACACAGACTGGCTCCACCAATGCATTTATATGAGTGTCAAGTAGGTTGTAAAACTCCAGCGTGTAATCACAGATAAATGCAGCCAGTAATAAATTTAGCAGTGTGTAATTATAGATAGGCCTCTGTTTTGTACTTTCAGACACAAAATCTCTCTGTCTGTCTCTCTTTCTTAACACACACACACACACACACACACACACACACACACACACACACACACACACACACACACACACACACACACACACACACACACACACACACACACACACACACAGAAAGAGAGGCTGTTATTCCGCTCATTCACACTCAGACGCAGCCTTAAGAAGAACTGCTTGATAACGCTCCATCCTCCTCCTCTGCTCTCCTCCTTTCCTGCTGCTTCACTCACATCTGAAGACATTTGCATATTTGACTCTTTGCTAAGGCTGAGAAAACAGAAAACAGGCTGCTGTACATCCGTCGCCTGCAAACATGAGAACAGCAATTCCCTTTTCTTTGAATAATTTTGTTTTGCTGACTTCTATTGCACATCCATTTCAGAGCAGTTTTTCCTCCATCAGCATATTTACAATGTATGTCCTTGGGAAGTGTAACTGCAGCCGTAGAGTATTGATAATAGTGATATTTACTGTAGTGTATGGTCAATTTTATGCGGTGCTGAAGCGTACATTGGTGTTGAAAACCACTTAAATGATTTCTCAGAAATGTGAGAACTTCTGTATTTTGATTTCATAAATGAGATTCTCTCCAAGTGTTCGTGTGCATGTGCGGATGTGTTTTGCTGTCTTGATTTTGCAGTCTTATTGGATCATGCAGGGCTGCCGTGCCCTCTGAGCCTTGACTGAAATGACTGTGCTCGGTCTCTCTGATGTGCTTTTGCTGTGCTGGCTTTAACAGAGCTATTTTTGTCAACCTCTCCTTTATTTCCTCCCACCTAGCCTGATTTATCGTTGAGGATGTTTGTTCCATTCACCGGCTGTAGATCTGAGAGCCCTTATATGTTCCACAGGGCGCAGATCACTTTCCATTGGAAACAAGTGCTTTTTTCACTCATGGTGTCTGAGCTGTCTTGTTTGAGTTAAAGATTGAGTTGGAGGATCATATTGGAACTCTACCCTTGCCCTTTTGGATCAATTTTCTGTCTGATTGGGAGCCTACATCCGGAGGGGCTTATCTTATATTTTAGATTTGTGAGTCCCCTTCCCAGCTAATGCTTCTGCAAGCTGCTTCGAGCAGCCAGATTCTCTGTCAGTCAGTCTTTTATGCTCAAATTTTTATTGTTTATTAATGCTTTCAATATGGTGATACAGAGTAAAGCTATTACTTTGTATCCCTTATAAGTGAGCGGTTAGGCACATTGAGCTTTGCTGACTAATGCAGGCTCATTGAACTTCCATTAACTATCAGTGTCTGTTGCCTGTGTTGGGAACGGGACAGCGTAAAGTGCAAATCCATGAGCATATCCATGGCCACAAAGGTTTGATTTTCTCGCTTTGACTCTAGTCAACTTATTGAACTGATAAAACCTATCAAAAGACAGGTGAGGGGTCTTCAAGAACTTCAACCAGGTCTTGTCGCCCCTTTGGATCAAGCCTTGGGTTAGTGTGTGTTTCACACCAAGACAAGAATCTGCTCTACTGTGGACTAGACCAACCTGGATCTTCACTGTTTATCTGTCTGTGCAGGGCTTAGATGAAAGAAATGAGAGCACATAGTCTTTTCATTATTTTAAGTCCATGTTTGAGAAGGAAGCTATGAATTTGACCTTATTTTAACAAAAATCTTAGAAGTTGTGTTCTTGCCATCTTGAGCACAGACCTGACAATGCTTGAATTTTCACTTTTTACTAATCTGCATCATTCTGATACTATGGCAAACTTTCAACCCAATTTATGCAACCAAATCACAGCAGTCGGGTTTCTTTTGAGGTGTCAAAATGCTGTAATGGGCTAGAGTACCACGTGGGTAAGATGTTCTCTTAACAGTGAAACCAAGACTCATTGGAAATAGATGATTGGGTGCTCTTCAAAAAAAAAAAAGAAATGCTAGTGGTTTGTTTCCATCAGGAATGAGAGAAATGTTGGGAGAAAATGGTAGAGACCATGCAGCTAATCATGTCAGGACTGGAAATTGATCACACAGCCTCTGTGAAAGGTGTTGCAATTTTGGAAAATATGTCTGCTAACTTTGTTTTCTTGTCAAAGTTGGATGAAAAAATCAGTTTCTCTCGTTTCATGTAGGTTTTGTAACTGAAAAGTTTTGGCTGCTGGTTGTTAAGGTTGTTGTGTTTGGTTTGTCTGTTGACAGACACAAGTGTGGTATTCCTCAGATTCAATTCATCCAAGAGAACACACATCTAAAATACAACAGCCATCCTTTCAACATTTAATAGTTCTTTATTTGTTATATAACCGAGTTGAAATGAGTTTTCTGGCCTCTCTGTGGCACTAAACCAAGACCTGATGGAGGTCACACCATTTTTTACCATCTGTCCTCTGCTCTCCTCTTTTAGGGAAATGAAACAAACAGCATCATTGGTCATTTGACAGATGTACTTTGAGTACAAAGTTTAGAGGAAATAAAGAGTCAGGGGACAGGGAAGGCTGCCAGATCAAAAGACTTTTAATCCCCTGAAAATACTCAGTATTCGGATGTCGATGTCTGTTAACACCTGAGACTGTCCACATCACCTCTGAGAGGCTGAAAGTTTAAAATAACACGTAATCAGTCACAGCAGTAAACAAAAAGTTTGTGGAGAGATGTCTTTGTCAGGCAGGGAGCAGCTCATATGACAGAACAAAGGCTGTACTCATAAACAGACTCCTTTGTTTACTGATATCAGGAGGAGAAATGTTATTCAGGGATTATATAACAGGGCGGGTGTATTCAGTAAAGCTGACAACACAGCTGAGTGCTCTCTGTGCTTATTGGAAATCCTGTCATGTTTGGTGACGCGCTGAACTGGAGGTACAACATATTGTAAAAGAGCATCATAAATCATGTACCGTGAAGTGTTTATTAACACACTTTGAATGTACGCTTTCATTGTCAGGGTCTTGTTGGTAGTCTGACCGCCCCAGATTGAGAAAAAAAGTAAGACTCAGTGAATGCTGAATCTTTCTGTAATGAAAGGAACAGCTGTTCACAAGATTTCTCTTTTCCTAATACAAAAGCAGAACTAATCAATCATTGATTATAACCTGTGCAGTGTCTCTGAAAATTAATGAGTTCTCCAATACACATCAGCCCAATACTCCAGATAGGAAGTGATAACACTGGCATGAAACTAAGTCTTTATCCAAACACCATCCTAGCAGAGACTCTGGGGATGAGGCGACATTAGCATGAATTAATCACCTGTATGCAAATCATCTGGAGCTTCGAAAACAGCACTCAAACCAGTGCTGTTCTTTTGTTATCCAAGGTGCTTTCACAGCAGACACTGTTAAACATCTGATCAAAACATTTTAATGATGTAGCTCTGCTGATTGGCAGATTTTCTGCTCCCACAAACAATCAAAGTGGTTGTTGTGTAACGTGTTTTGCTGTGATTGGAAACAGAGAAAGAACATGCAATTTCAACACTTCGAAATATGATGTATTTTTAACTGTGAAATAATTGGAAACCCCCTGAATAGTTATGGAAATGAAAGCCCCAGTGTGTTCGGAGTATAAGAGCATCTTACTGTATCTGACAGTCCTGGAACATCACACTTATGTTAATGGTGTCACCATAAACCTATGATTACATAACCCTTTTGCCACCTATTTGGTTATGCCCTGTGTGTGGTCCTGCACTGTGAAGAGGTCTTAAAGACCCACTTTGATTAATATCATGTTTTTCTTGTTGTCGTCATGTTTATATGGAGTTTTTCTGATGCTAGAGGACATTTCATGAGAAAAGTAATGGCAAAATTGCATTTCTGAGTATTTCTGCTTTCAAATCGTTGTGAACCTCTGGCACTTATTCTTTACCTGCCACTTCTGCTGCACCGGCAATGTGCAGAGTGTGCAGAGCAGTCTCCGCCCTCGACTCAGAGGTAGATTGCTAATGAGCTACTGGAGCTCTGACAATTCCCTTGACAATGACACAGGCAGCGTGATTTTGGCTAAAAACTTCATGATGACAAAAACAAACAAAAAACAATTTGGAGTAGGACTTTACATTTCACCAAATTTAGCTTGTTTTACAGCAAGCTACTGCTATGAAGTACATAATAAAATCAAATAAAAGTTTAAAGAAGAAAGTTTAACTTTAAACATCTTTTGTGACTTTTCAGTGAGATAGTTTGAGATTCTGTCTTTATATGAAGCAAAATTCAAATAACAAATCTTCATGGTACCCTTTATCTCCCTGCCACATTAATACAAATACCCCTTCATACTCTCTCAGCCAGTCCTGGTTGTCCCTCAGCAGATTAATGGACAGACCACCACGCCTGTAACCTTGAGAACTTCTAGAGGCAGACAGCGAGCCAGTGAAAGAGGCACAGTGGGAAAATAAGAGTGGGAAAAGTTTGCTCAGGGATGAGCATGACGGCTGCAGGTCCTGCCAAAATGCATATGGAGCATGTAATTGATTTCAGGGAAGAGATGACATTTGGCAATCGGGCAGGGCTCATCCTGCCAACCTCAAACATTATCCTTACACTCATCAATTTAAAATGGTGCTGATCGATATTTTTCCTCAACTTAAACAACGGAGAACATGACCACTTGTAAATCTACCAAGAAACAATGATCCAGCTCTGTCTCTTCTAAAGTTTTGACTGTCTTCCAGCACTCTGTTTTTGTTATCTGTCTCAAAAGGTAACCCTCCCCCCAATTTATTCTGCATTAAGTTGACAACAGCGTTGATAGCTTCCCTGCCATTGCTTTTTATCCTGTGTTTTTGTATGACTAAGAAGCGGACAGTTCATGAAGAAAATTCTGCATTCCTCTCAAAGAGAAAGAAACATCATGATTAATTGGAGGCAAAATACTGAAGACAGCACAACTCTCCCAGACAGATTGCCAAAATTGCTCTAATACCCTAATTAAAGGCTCTTTTTTAAGGGTACATGAAATGGAAAAAGTGTTCACTTTGTGATGTTACCGCACTCTGAAAGAAAGTTTTGAGTTATTAACTGCTGGAGATGAAAAGTGGCTCCAACCTGTTCCATGTAGTCACAAGTGAAGAACAGGAAACCCTAACCCAGCTCCCATCTGTCTGCCTGACAAACACGCTCTGCTTTACATGTTATATATGTTTGTTTGTAGTGCTTAAAGGAGTCTATGCCAGGAGGAAGAGAGTGGAAGGAAAACAGCACTCATGGCACTGGATAAAGTTCATGCATCTGGACAGTCTAGACTATGACTACATGATATCCTCCAGGAGTGTGTTGCATTGCTATCGCTGTTTCCCATATCATCCTCCCCTCTCCTCCATGTCTGCCCCTCCGTTTTTCCCTGGAAGAGGGAAGGAAATGTGTGGGATGTCATGGCGGTAGACATCAGGGATAAATCCTCAGAGGCAGAGTGAGTCCTTTTATTGGAGGAGGCTTGTCCGGAGAACACAATGCTCCTTTGCGTCAGTGCCTCCGAACATATTCCAGCCACTTCATCGGTGAATAATATTTGAGAGAGGTGCTCTACATCAAAGGCTGCAAGGCACCAAATGTCTCAACAACAGAGCTTTTAATAAAGGGAGCAGGAGCTGGTGACCCTCCAGTGCAACCTCGAATAAAAAACAATTTTCTGCACTCACTGGAGGGGAATCATTACTCCAGTTTTTGAATATGAAACCGCTTAAGGATGCACAACATGTAATGAGGAAGACTGCGTATCCAATTAAATCAAATGACCTCCTGAAGATGAATCACATTATGCTGGAGGAGATGTCCAATCAATCCAGACCATGAAGGCTTTGTGTATTCAGATTCCTCTTAATTTGTTTACTCATCGCGGAGATGAGTTCCCCCGTCATAATGAGTTTGGTGTTTCACTGGTCAAACATTTGGTCTGAGGCTGTTTGGGACGCCAGACAATATAAATAGGGTCTTCAGTGTGATGCTTGCTTAAGACTAATTCTCACTGAAAACAAAGAGTGGGGTGGGTGTTCAGGCTGTATGAAGAAGTGATCAATTGAGCTGTTTTTCTGCTCAAGTTCCTACAAAGGCTGCATGAATATTCAACAGATTCTGACATTTTCAAAGTGTTCGCTAAAGCAACACTGAGATGGACGACGGGTGTCGTTTTTTTTCCACTAACTATTGACTGAATAATACTGCAGCACCTTATCATCACATAACACCAAGTGTTATGAATGTATGAATGACCTTCAGCTGACACAAAATGACAATGACATGTTTGCTTATTCCAGGAGAATTAGATTACAACAACAGCCTCCCATCCTCAGAGATCATCACTCAGATTTTCTTCAATATTATAACGTTGACTGCTGATCAGAAAAGTCATGACTTTTACATTTGCCTCACTTACTGTGAGATTTTGGCTCTGGGTAACCAAGCTAATAAACTGCTATAAAGACCCTAGAGTTTGAGTTATTGCCAATCAATTCAGATTAACTGCTTTCACTCAAAAAGGGGTCTGGAGCCAGAACATATCTGCAACTTCTCAGATGGACTGCTCTCATCTGTCAGGGTGAAACACAGCCGCTCTTTAAATCATAACACTGTTGGTATTATTCTCACCATTACTAGCCTCAATCCAAAAGTTGAGAGAATCATTTTAAGATATTGTGGGAAAAATTCAACAGTTTTTTGAAGTGAGGAGCATCAAAACATTAATATTGGCGTATCATTATTATTATGATTTTTTAATGAAACGAAAAGTTTTCTCTGTCTCTATCAATCTGATCAATTCCTCTCATTCCCCATTTACATGCACTGAGTTGAGCTACAGTGATAGCTTCAATTAGGGGATTTAATCCATTTCTCCTGGTTGACCTGTTATATCATTAACCAAAACATGTCAGGGAGAGGCTAACAGGTTAGCTGTTAAACGATGGAAACACTGACATTTACACTATTATTTTATCCTAGGTCAAAGCCTGACACGCAAACTGTGGAGCATGCTCAGAAAGCTTTAGCTAGGGTGGCCATATTCTGAATCCCCAAAAAAGGATATGACTATGTGGGGGCAGAGTCACGGATTCCTGCGTAGCTAATTTTGAGAGTTTTTCCGGTTGGTTTGAGTGTCTTTAACAGACTCAGTTAGTCTACACGACACAAATTCGAAACTTCCATACAAAACCCCGGACATTTGAAGGATTTTATAAACTTCCCCGGAAAAAGCCGGACAAGGCCGAACAGCAACAACAGGACGTATGGTCACCCTAGCTTTGGCCAGTCTCAGTCTGATTTGGGTGCAAGAGAAAATAACCCTCACTGCACGATCTAGCTTTGTCAGTCCAACTACAAGAAGTTTGTTGTAGTGCAATTTCATTCAAGCTCACATATCCACATGTATTTTTATAGCCCAGTTTCAGTCGACTCGCCCAATACTTTGGGTTGTATGTAAATGAACTGAACTACTGGCCTCACGTTGGGTCCACTTCTTCATAAATATACCGACAAGTTTACATTTTTCTGAAATTAAATCCAGATTTGAGTTGTAATTTTATCAGCTCAGTGTCTCGGCAATCTTGCATTGTACTCCTTGTGAACCTCTCTGACAAAGCAGCCCCTGACTTGGAGAACTTTTTGCATTAATCGCCTCCATAATAAGAGATTTGTTTTTGTCTAAATGTGGCTGGAAAGACATCAGGGTCACAGCTGGGGTGATCATAAATCAAACATTTCAACAGCTGCATGTTTACAACCCAAAGTGAAGGCCTATAAACCACCAAATGTGATGTTATGCAAACGTATCCACTGGAAGACCATCTCTTTGGTTTAATCCAGAAATAATATCTAACTTTGAAACTGTACTGTATGACCCTAGATCTGGGTATGGTCTTGAATGCTCACATGGAGTAAGAGCAGAAATAGAACTGGGGCTGTGCTGCGAGAGTGTATTCTGGTGAACACAGATGGATTAGTTGAAAATATGATGTGTCACCATAACAGGAACCTGTTTAATGTTTAAAGGCTACTTGATGAATCTGTGTGATCTTCCCGGAGTCGGAGGAGCGAACCTTTCAAAATGTAGCTGGGAAGGGGGAGAACGAGGTGAATGGAAAAGGAGGGAGGGCAGCATTTTGAAAAGGAAGACTGAAAGAGAAAAGAGAAAGAGGCAGAGGAGGAAGAACGAGGAGAAGAGGAGGGGCTTGAATGAAAGAGAGTAGGAGAAACGAGAGGAAAGGGAAATAGATGAAAGAAAAAGACGATATATGGAAGTGAAAGGAGGCCAAAGAGGAAACAAGAATGAAGGGAAAGGTGGCATTTGGGTGAGGATGGGAAGGTAATGCATGTATGAACGATGCAACCTCGTTCTTTTTACCCCAATTGGAGAGACTTGTATAAGTGTATTTTTAGATAGATGATAAAGCTAGAAGACATGAAAGAAGTCAGGCTGCAGAGCTTTCAGCGCTTTTACTGCTTACCTGCTTCACCTCGACAGTAGTGTGAGTCAGAAACAGGAAAATATTCACTGAAGATGTGCTGAAAAGAGGCTCAGAGCCGACTGTCAGCACAGACAGATCAGTCCATGAGTTTGGGACTGAAGGTCTCTATAGAGTCTCACTTCTTTGAAAGGTGGTTGATAACAGTTCATCCTTTCATTGAAAGTAAAAGTGTCATTTAATTACCTCAAACAGCTTACAACATACTAGCTTACAATACTGACGCGTGTCGTGATCCATACATTTCCGTTCCTCCCAATATCGTTAAAAAATCTAATATATCAACTCCAATGATTAAAATGTTCATTTGAATTGTTAACAATAAAGCAGGCTCATATGAACGCTATAACGTGAATGAAAATGTCAGGTATAATAATAACTGCATGATAAAGTAATGTTGCTATGGAAACACTACCAGCACTTGAATCTAAAAGACAGTTTTTTTCAGGCAGTACGAGTACATCACCTTTAAATCAATACAAAGGGTCAACTTTTTTGTATGTTTTAGCAGTAGGTAACAAGTGGGATAATGTACTATAAAAAGGTGGATTGGAAACTCTCACTTAAACCATGTTATGGTCATATCAAAATGAGGTTTCTTGAAGAAACACTTTTTAGTGCTTTAAAATCGAAGATATAGACACTTGAAGAGCTTTGAGGTCTTTGAGGTACTGTATGTTCACATGCTTTTTTCCTTTAAGAAGTTCCAGCCTTGAGAAACCAGGTCAACAAAAATCCAAAGATGGATGTTATCAACAGAACAGGCTTCACTTTACATTCAATGGTGTGTTAGTGCTCCATCAAGGATAAGTTTTAAAAGCAGCCCTCAATAACCCTTTGATCGAATACCTCCATTATAACAAGAAAAGCATCAAAGTTGACCTACTGTTTCATTTTTAAGTTCTTCTAAGTAACGCAGCATGATTTTACCGCGAGGTAATCATCAATGCTGCACATGAACACTAGCTTCAGGTAATTTTCAGCATTTATTACCTTAATTGGAAAGAATGCAGAAGATATGCAAGAAAAAATGGGAAGTAGAGAGTTTGGGATGTTGTGCAGCAAAGAGTCATGGTTGGGATTACACCCAGCGACTGATGTAGTGAGGACTATGGCAAGTATAGAGGGTTTGCTTTAACTGCGGAGCCAAACTGGCACAAAAAAATTGGATTAATTTTACATGATGTTCATCAGTATGATCAAGTGGGGCTAAGTAAGTCTTGCTGCAACATTACTCTCACAATAAGGAGCATTGTGGTTCTTTTTATAAAGTCTGTTATTGTGATCGAAGAAGGTCGTACAGACACAGCGTGACTCTCCATGACAAGTGGTGCATCAAGTATCTGTAAATGGGAGGGGTGATCCTGGTTTGTTTTCCATAGAGTCGTTATACTGAGGAGCTATATAAAGAGAGAGTGCTTGAGTATGGCTTATAGATCATGAAGCTTGTGCATGACCGCAGAATTTCAGTCCCTCGACAAGACAAATATGACAGCCTTGTGGGTAATGTCCACAATATGTCCATTCATCAAACTAATCCACCTGGGCCTGCATTGTAATCCAGCTCGTTTGTCGCGGCCTGGATATGGGATGCCAAATCACGTCCGTGTGGCTGCAGCCTTCAGACTGACTGATGGGCTCTGAAGTGGTGAAAAGTCAGAGGGAGGGAGGCGGATCGAGCCGCTGCATCCTCCATCACTGATGTGATGTCAGCACAAATCTGTGTTGTCACTGAGCCCATGTCCGCTCACTGCAAGAGGACAGAAGAGAGATGTGTGACTCTTTCTGCCACTGTCAGGGTGATGTACGGAGGACACAGAAAGAGGGGAGAATGAGTTATAATGGAAGAAGGAGAAAAGGGGACTAAAATAGAGCACAACACATGGATAATGATGCTAATAAAAACAAAATCTGGGCACTTATGCACAATTGTTATGGAAATTTGGATTTAACCCTGAGGCAGTGTTCATTTTAGCAGCTGTTTTGGATTTAGTCTTGGTTTTTGGACTAAATGCTTTCAAGGTTTAGTCACCTGTTATAGTTTTAGTTAGCTACATTTAAGTCTTTCCTTTTAGTCAAAATATTTTCTGTCTCCGTACTTATACAGATTAACAGCCAAGGTATCAAGGTAGCACTAGTGTTTGAATCTGCAAAGTTTCACTTCTTTTGTTGGGTGGGGGGTCCAGGCTCAGCCCCTGATGTCCTTCAGCCCAAAAAACACCCTTAAGAGGAATGCTGGGAGGGCATGACGTTCACTTAGAGCTTTTAGCTGCATCCTCATCCTCAGTCATTTCTACTTTATCATTATCACTAAATGTCTCACTTTATGGTCTCTTACATGTCCCAAAATTAGGAAAAAACAAGCTTTGGACACAGAGCTGTTCACAGTGAATAGCGACAAAAAAAAAAAGAAAAAGGCAAACGTTAAATATCAAACCTAAGCTGTCTCTTAGCTGGTTGTGTCTTTGTCACCAACATGCAATGGAGAAAGTTTATGAATGAAAATGACAGGAAACACAGGAATGCCTTGCTTGTATTTCAGGCGACAGATAAGATTCATGGTAGAGAAAATAAGATGAATTTTTAATGTCTAACAGTCCACCTACAACCATTTTATCTCATTATTACACTGTAAACAAAAATATTCATCAGAGTTTTTGCTGTTATCATCAGGTCCGTATTTTGGCCGTTATCATTATGGAGAAAAGGCTTGTCGTTGGGATAAAAGAAGTTTGGTACAAGAAGACTGTACTTGTGAATGAAAGACTTTACTTTGAACTGAAATCAGTGTGATCCAAGAAAATACATTGGAAGGGAATGACAGGAGATATATAAAGAGAGGCCGAATGCCAGGCACTCATTCATTGTGCACTTAAATGAAGCACCAAACTCAAAGTAAAGTTGACACTTTTCAAACTAAGCCATTTTCTTTTCAAGGGCACAATTTCAAAAGAAACCCTTTACCTCCAAAGTCTTCTACTTCAACTTTTCTTTATTTTAAAGTGGTTAGGAATCGAGGTCGATATTTTGCAAAGTACATTTCTAAAAAAAAAAAAAAGACAACTCAATTTTAAGTGTCTGACCTTTAACTTAATGCACAAAGCATTTAGTGCTACACGTTATTCCTACCAAGGATGGAGGGCTGCATATGTATGCAGTGCCACTCTCATCCGTCCTGTCTGAGTGCTCTTCTTTGTCTTCTATATAACAGGTCTGGTTTCCCTAATGAGCTACGCATGCTTCAAGCTTTACTGTTCATGTCACATAGGACCTAATGGCCCATGAAAATTGCTCAGGGAGTCTATGTTTAGAGACGTGTATGAGCTAATGTGTAAAGCATAAAGCCGGTTATTGAAAGACCCCACACCTCCTCTCACTGTAGGATGAATATAACCGTAGCAGTGTGAAGATGAGGAAAGTTGAACGTGCAGCAGAGATGCAAAAATATGAAATGTGCTGCTGGCAAATTTATTATTACTGGAGTTGGTGTAAAAGTGTTGAAATATTCAGGATATTATTGGTGTCACAAACGAACCCAAACTTCACACATCTTCAGCACTAGATTTCACATAGAACGTGTTCTGCTGAATTTCCAGCGACACTGTAAGCGTCAGCTTCTTTCAAACTATTTAAAGCCTTTAAGTTTTTGCACGAGTGTTTCCTAATCTGCCTGACTTTTTTCTTTGTTTCTAGTATGGCTGTTTAAGCCATTTTTTCTCCTAGTATGATTATTATGCTAAGTGAAGCTTAGCTTTGTTTTCAATAGCCACAAACATCAGGGGATGGTCATTACTTAATATTGAGGGTATCAGTCTAGCTCAGTAAGAAAGTGAATACACTCACTTTCCTGTATTTTGAACTATTTCTATTTATGTTTTCAGAACAATCCTCCATGTCAGCTCGAGTCGTAATTTCCCATGTCCACACACACACCAAGTTAGTGATATTTATTTCTAAGTCACGTGCAGTATATTGTGACAGTGTTTTCCACTGTTCCTTAAACAACAGAAACTTGTCCCTCTCTGTGAAAACCTTATATTTTCCCTGTTCACACGGTCACGCAAAGCCAGTGGTGATTAGCTGATTATTGAGTGGTGTGAGCTCTGCAGAGGCTGATGATGTTTTTATAGATCCCCTCCTCCAAGGGGTCATTTTTGGATCCATACTTCCCCCCTCTTTCTTTTGTTCTCTCTTCCACTTAGATTTTTGTTTTCTTGTGCCTTTTTTTCTCCTTCCATGAGCTTACTGCCATGTCCTCCACCGAATAAATGAGGGTTTATTGCAAAGCCATTCAGTTTTCAGGAGGTATTGAACGGTGGCTGAATGAGGAAATATTTGCCAACGTGTTTCAGATTCTGAATCAGCATTGTTAGCCAAATTAAAAAACTTGGAAAATGTTTGAGAATATATTGACTGAGGCTGCAAAAACAAAGAAGTGTATTCAAGAGACTCCTCTATGGATCTGAAGATACTTTAAAAGGAAATCTTCTGAATAAGTTTAATCCAAAAGAAATTTCTTTTTGGTTTGGCTTTAGATTTACTATTCAAATAAATGCTGCACTGTTTTTTCTGAATCCATGACCTGGTATGAGGTATGAGACAGTTTCAGAGTGATTCATCTCTGTGTCTGCTCAGGACTGTGTTGATTCACACACTCACAGACAGTGCTCTGTCAGCTTTTGTGATGTGGCTGTCCACTCACATTAGTCTGATCAGCTGCACCTGCATCTTTATCTCATAGAGGGTAGCTCAAAGTACTATGGTGATATTTGACCTACAAAATGCAGGTCAGCTTAGCCATGAGGTGTTTTTGTTCAATGTCATGGCAGCAGCAGAAAGACCAGCTGCGGAAGGTTAACTATGGTGTGCTGAAACAGACACAATAGCTTACACTTGAAAATGAGATGCTGCATCTCAAGGGGCCATCTTTGGAAATTTTGATAATAAAGAAAAACATTATCACTGTAGCTGGCCTTGATCTCATTGTGATCATGATGTCGACTTACATCTCTAATTTTCACATATTTTATTGTCATTTATCAATATTTTGTAATATATATAAAAAATCAAATTACCATTTTGGTACCCATATTCCTTTCTTCAACTGGTGCTACTGTAATCTATCCATGACATGCATTATCTAAAATTGTAAATCTTACTTTGGTGCTTCAAAGGATTTCAGTCCTGAGTCACAAAAGAAAAAAAAAAGATTGATTGAAACAGATAAAGGCTCAGTATGATGGCTAGTTTTCCAAATTCATGCCAGATTATTTTTAAAGTTTGAGGTTTTCTTTTCATGTCCCTCTTCTTTCAGATCGATAGACAAACCTTTACACTGAAAACCTTGACCTTAAAAAACACTGATAAACACATCAATCGTACTGGACTTTCAAAAATGATCAATGTGAAATTCAGAGAAAATGCAGTCATCCCTGGTCAAAGCTCATCACTCCCAGTCATTTATTCATTGTAGATGAAGTTCTGAGTTAATTTTTCATAGTAAGTAGACTACCGTCAGCATGCGTCTGAGAGCCAACCCAAATACCATCAATCCTGCTAACCTTTTACAGTGACTTATAGGACTTGCTCATGTGTGTCTATCTGCTGGAAAGCCTGCCCCCCTGGGCTGCTGACGGGTGTGGAACAAGCAGCAGGTCGTCTGAACTACTCAAACTGTGGAGTGATGGGCTTCCAGCAGGGACTCAGCGAGCCAAAGCAAAGAGAGCTGGAGTGAATTCTAATCTCACATGCACTCACTTACTGAACTGTCAGATCTGCAGCTGCAGCTACAGATGATTAATGACCAGCAGCTATTCCTGTCTGACTGTCTGTCTGATTCTGTCTTTTGTTATTCGTCTTTTATTTTTATTGTTATAATTTTTTTTTCCACTGTTACTATTTCTTTTTTATCTCTCAAGAACACGCGCACACGTTGAAAAAGTCCAAAATGTCACGGGCTGCAACGCTTCTGCTGCAGTGTTTTGCATTTCTGATTAATGGTCGCTGTTGTTGTTTCCTCCTGAGACACTTTGAAAGAACCATATGTTTGCTCAGTCAGTCACTTTCATGCTTCAGCTTGTTTTCTGATAGTTATAACTTCTCTTTTCTCCCTCTAGAGATCTGCCTGTAAGAGGAAGATATGAAGGTAGCCGATTCGCTTTGGATCATCTGGTTTCTCCTGGTGGTAAGCTTCAACTCTTTTTAATTTAAGTGTATACAGTCAGGTAAACAGGCTTTGATTCTCTTTTCTGTCCATTATGTATGCAGTACACATGCGTTTAAATAGGATATAGTCTTTAATTTTCATTAATTTGGCACTTAATATGCTACAGTCCACTGGTTTTCTTTTTCCTCAGCAAAAAAGAGCTCATTATTAATTTTCCCTCAGCCTTTAAAAGGAATAATTATAGTTTATAATTAGCTCAGCATGTTCATTACAAAACCGGATGACCTGAAAGAGAAGAACCATGATCCATAACTGTGAAAGTATCAGTATGTAACTGATCCTCACTCCGCAATGCAGATGATGCATTATTTGGACTTTAACATGTTAGTCTCAATGCTAAACATGCAGGTGGCACACTCTGGGACTGTCTTCCCTTCTTGCACAGCACCAGACACAACATCAACATGTGATAACAGAAACGGAGTACGCACAGTCTGTTTCTTGCTGAAGTGCTCACTGCATTGCAAATAGTGGAAATTAAAACAAAAAACAACATAATGCATACAAACTGATCTTTTTGATCAAGAAGACACTAAATATATGTTTTTATGCACAACATCACTTCAAAATCATGCAAACACCCTCATGCTTGTGTTTGTGTTACTTAAATGGAGCAACACCTGAAAGTTACCCCAGATAGGCTTCTCAAGCTGCATTTGATTTGACATTCGACATGCAACCACCTTAGAAACGGTATTCTGCCAAGCAGCAGGATTTCCCTCTGCTCTGTCGTTGCCATGGTTACCCTGCATCTGTGCAAGGCGTTACGGACAAATCATGATGACTATTGTGTTTATCACAGGCTGCAGATCTGACAAACTACTCATCCCTTTAAAGCTAGCATCTTTTTACACACATTTACACTGTCCCTTGGCTTTTCAGGCACACTCGAGCTCTTGCTCCTCTCCTTGCTCACCTCTCTCTGAAGCTGTGGCTGCATGAAAGTTTGCACTGCTTTAGCACAACATGCAGTCACAGCTGCCCATGACTAAATCTGCAACTTCCTTATGTTTACAAACTTTGTCACACAAACATCTGAGATGATATTGATTACGTAAAAGAGAGAGAGACCTCTAAGCACATGCTCTGCTTTTGAGGAAGAAGGACAGGGTGCACTCTTTTACCATTTAGGACAAAAAAGTGGAGCACAGAATAACCAGCTGGTTTTGACTGTCATATTTATGACCATAGAGAGCCCCAGCTTTAACCTGTGGTGCTCTCATACATTCAGGTCCACCACATACCCAATACCTCCCGGTAAAGGGTTTTAAATGTCTTCATAAAATAAAACAGAGGAGCGATTAGGGTCTGGCTTATCTTAACTGGGTAGTAATTGCATCACCACCAGCTCATTATACATAAATCCTCACTTTTACACTTTTTGGGTCTTCCTAGGTTGGCATCGATGGTTCTATTTTTTACTCTGAGGCATCTGTCAGACAATTACGATACATCTTGGAAGGTTAGGTCTTACCTTGCCATGTATGAATCATGATACAGTGTACTCCATTAGTTTAATGGAGGTGCTGTAATCATCAGTCAAAGACGTGAACATGAAGACAAATCATACAGCGGATGACACATTCTGGCACTTTGTTCTAGCACATGAAACACTCTGATTCCCCTGATGTGGGTGATGTAATTAAATAAATGAAACTTTAAACATCTATTTGATGGCCCTGCAGCCTTCTTTCAGAAATTCCACTCGGCCTAATGGGAGTTTTTCAGTTAATCATAACAGGGGACAACATGACTTTGTATACAGGCTGAAAGGATGTTGGTCGCAATCACTGTGGACGTGCACTTAAGGATGTTTTTGAGGTTCTTTGACAGCAGAAAAATAGAGGTATTTTATGAGTCATTGTCCAAAATATGAAGAAAAAAAAAACACATTCAGTCCTCTGTTGTACAGTGTGATTGTAAAATGGAAGTTTTCTGTTTCAATTTCCTTTGCTTTTCAGCATCAAGCCAAACATCGAGGTCCTGAAATGAATAAGTGCCAAATGTTTCTTTGTCTGGTGTTTTTGTGTTGCTCTGCTTTATTTTTCTGTACTCTCCTCTTTGAGTGTTCTTGTCTTGTTGATTCACAAAGAGTTAGGAAAGCCTTAGGTAAAGTTTATTTTCTTTTCTCATTCATTTGCTCATCTTTTGATACTGGTGGTGGCCTGGTGGTCGTATGTATGACGTCATTTACTTCAATGTTTGGAGTGACATCATATGTACGGCTGCTAAACTGCTACATGGGACTTCAGCATTCTCACCAAAATCACTCTTTTCTTTGCTTCAAACACCTTTCACAAGCTTTTATCAGGGAAGTCAGAATGATATTTCTGTCTAATGAGAATTTCTTTCCCCTCCACAAAGTCACAGAGGTAGGAGGCTTGCATATGATTTGTAGAAAAGGCAAGTGCAGGCAGACAAAAGTATTAAAATTCCTCAAATGTTCCAGAAAATGAGAGTGCATGAGTCTGGCTGGCACCTATGGAGGCCTAATTTTCAGCCCCCTCCCTCAAAGAAAATGTGTGTGATAAGGCAAAGCAAAATGGGTTCTTTATCCTTCGGCGAGTGGCATTATCAAAATCAGCATTTCACATGGCAGGCTCCCTCATTTTTTAATGCCACCTCCAAATACAAACAATAGAGCAGAGATAAGATTCATCATCAGCTGCATAAACTTCAGAGAGCTCAGACGCTCTTTAATGAGCTGCATGAGTCATGAGCGAGGAGGATTTCAAAGTGGAATGAAATCCTCATCAGATCAGTTTTGAAAGTACTTCACATTGATCCAGACTTAATCTGCCATTTAAATGATCATCTGTGAATGTCTGGACTTCACAACTAGTGTTTCATATATCTAAATTAAAAAAAACTCAGCTCAAGGAGTCATCTAAGATAAGATTTGAATGCTTGTAATTTTTTACTGACAAAAACATGTTTGTTTTGAATAAAGTAAGATGACATGTTCAGTATATCAGAGGCAAAGCTGTTTGGACTGACAGGCAGGCACAACTGTAGACGATAACGAGGACGCGAAAAGCCCGCCTCAACTCTGCCTCTCTGTCTCGTGGCAAGTTGACCTAAAGTTAGGTTGAGTTAACGTCCAACATGGTGTCTGCTGCCAGTAGGCTTCAGAGCTCCGCATTACAGTGCAGACCTACCATTTATGACTCTGGGCAGTCTATGTTGGGAAGTAGGCGTGAGCGATATGGGCCAAAAAATGTATCCCGATAAGACTGCTGTTCTGGTGATAACAATAAAAGTCCCAATAAAAAATATAATTACAATCTATGTTTGTGACTCATTTTGTCTTGAGAACAGCAGTTTGAGTAGTCAAATAAGATACTTAACCACAAGTTTGAGCGGTAGGTTATGGAGAAAACTAACAACATCAAACAGGTCTCTAATGTGAAAACATTTTCAACATTTGTTCAAAACTCTTATTGCACAGAGTGAACAGCAGCAGCTGATCCTCTGTCCGATGTCAGGCAGACCTGATTACACTCATCTAAACCCCAATCTTGAAGGAAATCCCTCATGTGGAGCCGTATTCAGTAACCAGCTGCTCAGAAACGTCCTCTTCATTACCTTCAGCCATGTTTGTTTGTTATTCTGCTCTGTGTGGGCTATGGCTGTGAGTCTGTCGCTCACACTTGCGTTGTTACCTTGCATGTATCGTATTTATCATTAGACAGCAAATATTTATCATGGAGGATTTTTCTGACGATTTATCATGAACAATAATTTACCGCCCATCCGTGGTGAGAAGTCACGTAAACAAATCGTGGACAGAAGAAGAAAGAACGTGAAAGATATAAAAGAAAAAGCTGTTGTGTCATACACTTAAGGTACAGAGCTGTTAGCCTGGCTGGGCCATCCTGTTGCGTAAATCACTTGCCGTTCCTTCCCACAACAGTCTGGACTTCGGCCTATTGGGAGCGTGTATTAGCGATCAGAAAATAACCAGGCCAATCAGTGACTGTGTTTCCACTGTTCCCCGGACAACAGGGAAAAGCAGCCCCTGATTGGTCCATGTGTAGATGGTGACATCTAACACATGCTGCGGGACTTTTCAAAGTGCCGTTCATTCAGAACGCCGTTAATTCTGCAGTTGACTTTGCAAAGTCGGCAGAAATCGTTTATATCCGCAGGAGATGTCAGATCTAGCCAGGCCCAGCCAGGCTACAGAGCTGTAAAGTTGTCTATGTCTTCATCTGTCCACTAACAAGCCATCAGCCTTTTGCTAATGCGCTTGTTGATTGTTTTGGTAGGCGATAAAATAGATCAACCAAGAGACAACCCTGTAGTATTGGGTTAAAAGAGGGCATATGTCCACCATTCCTAAGAGAGTTGGACACACTTCTGTCAACAAATTGGTTCTCACCTGTTGTGTAAACACCGAGACAGGACAGTAGTCCAGTTGACTTGCCTAATAGAGCTTCACTTAACTGTGCCTGTAAATGTACTGAGTATGTCTTCTTCCCTGTCCTCTCACCTCTGGTATCACTTTTTCTCCGCAGCGAAAGATGGCAGCAGGAACTGAGTCAGTCACAGACTCATCGCTCAGGACCAGACAGAGCGTGACCGAAGGACAGGGGCAGGCAGTGAGCCAGGGTCATAACAAATGTCTTGGGCTGTCCAACAAAGACCACCAAGAAAACAGAACCGGTGAGAGGCCACAATCATCGTAAGGTTCTGTGAGGCCAAATGGATTAGCTGTAGGAGAGCATCATGGGTGTAATGACTTTGTAAAGCAGCGGATTGGGGTCAGATCAGGGCTGTTGTTGTAGTCTGAAGTAATGGTAGTAATGTCAGTGGAGGTTTAACTAATGTGAAAGGGCTTTTGGGGTGAAAGCTGTTTAGCTATAATGGCTTTCGAGGCTTGAGAGGAGTTATGTAACTCAACTGAAAAAGTATGACGGTGGATTCATGCTCTGCCCCATTATCCAACCGTTATCTATCCGTCTTTCTAAAGGTACTTTCTGCGGACGTCTGTGGGACGGCTTATTGTGCTGGGATGAAACACAGGCTGGGACATCTGTAACACAGAGCTGCCCTCATCGTCCTGATTTGGACCCAAACGGTAAGAAAGACCGGCACTTGACAAAAAACTCACTGAACAAAGAGCGGTGGGAAATTAGAGGGTTTCCTGCATAACTTTTTAATTCCAGGTCAGCAGACAGCACAGAAAACAATCCAATTCTCAGAATGCTGGGGAGGTTTAAAGGTTACATAGCTGATTGTCTGGTATCAAGTCCATGAACCAGAATGGCCAGTGGACCGGCTGGGAAGATTTTTTTTTTAATTTATGATGTATTCGTTTTTGATTTGACATTCGGGGGCAAGTAAGGTCATTTTCAACCTCAAAACCCATTGGTTTTTCTCACAGGGTAATACAGCCTCTGGGAGTAGATGGCCAACTTTTTCAGGGCTTCCAGTAGAGCTCTCTATGTATAGGACTTTGTGCCAAGACTATTTTCTCCTTTTGCTTCTACAGTCCCACTAGGAAGCAAGAATTAAGTTGGTTTAAAAGACAGTGTTTGTCAGGGGAGTGCCTGCACATGTTCGCAGAGATCAATAAAAGCATTGTCAGATAAGAACCCACACTCTACTATGAACAATTTGTTGTGCCTTTTTTTCTTTCCACACAATTAACTGCTCTGTCTCAATGCCCACTTTACAAAATACACCATCTTAGTGTCATTCGAGGGCAAACATGACAGGAAACTTCGACAGTTGTGTGCAGTTTGCTCACGGTGCGCCCAAGTTTGGGGGCGAGCTGTCAGCATCTCCACCTTATGCTGCACTGAGCTTTGTTGTACCGTGCTTTCATTTTGACCACGTATAAGAGGAGGAGAAAACACTTTTTAATGGTTCGCTGTGAAATAATTTCCTAGGATATATGATCTAGTTTATAGCAATTTGCAACCAAGCGTCTTCCCTAGAGTGGGCCAGAAAGAGCAGCTGGTTCAAGTGAAAAAACAAGTTGTGCTCAACAGCTCCAAACCATTTCTACGAAATGTGGAAAAAGTGTGCCAGTGTTGGGCCTTAGGCAGATCCAAGCCCTGATTACAGAGCTAGGGAACGAGTAATTTATTAACACATTTAGTATTGTGATTTATTATTTTGAGGTCAGGTAAATTTTCATCATGATTGCTGGAAACATTGAGCATGACAATCCTGTTAAATACTGCGCCACAGCAGCTCTTAGCAGATGGTAAAAAATTTCACCCTTACTGCGTGTGACTGTCAGCGCCAGCACTTGAAAATTTGGGGCCAGTTTTGCTTCAAGTGAGTACATAATGGTTCCATTGTACCAGAGACACTATCAGATCTACAGTGCAGTTTTTAGTCCATTTGTGCTGTTTTTGTCAAAGCTGCACAGGTTTAGCAGCAGCAGTCTTTTTGTGAATCCTCCCAACAACACTGTTCAGCATATAACCAAGATGATACTAACCAAACTGATTCCAAACAGCCTCACCTTCCTATAGATTCCTCATTCTTGTGAAGATCTGGTAAATTGAGATGACTGTTAGGCTAAGCTTTCACGACCTTGTTCTGCATGTGATTCGACAGTGTAGGTCTGAATTCAAGTATAAAGCACAGCAATAGAAGGTACCCGAGGTGCATGAGCTGAGTGGTATCAGGTGTTTCATACAAGCTTCATTATCCCCACCTCGGTCTTCACCTGAGGCCACCAGCTGACTTGTCCCATACAGTGTCATCCAGTTATTTGTTCATTTTCCGTTCAGCCTCGATTTAATGTCCATTTTGTTTTTCAGGAGCATAAATCAGCCACTGCTGAGATTCTTTAGATTCTTTCGTCTCAATCTGCCAGTGTTTACCTTTTCGGCCAAATCTAAACTCAGAAACTGAGGCCCGAACTACACGTATATAGATATTTATTTATCAGGATATTTTTGTACTCCCGTCTAAATAAATGTATCTGTCCACACGTGTTAGTTCTCAAAAATACCTGCGTCCACACGTAGCCTTCAAACTCAATCCTATCTGGTGCCGCTTAAAAAAAATTCAGGAACAAAGCTACCTGATTGGTCGATGAATTGTAACAGCGTGATGCGTCATGCATTGTTTGCAGAAGCTACGCTCGTGCGTCGGGTCCATGTGACGGACCATGTGACCAATAAAAGTATTGGCCGCAGCAGACGCCTCTGTGAGCTGGCTGACTGGTGGATGTAATTGTGTAAAACAAGGTTCACTTGCAAGGCTGAAATTAGTCCCAAAAGGGCAAAACGAACGTAAAGAATACCCTGTATGTCCACCATCGTTGTTGTTGTTGTTTTTCTTTTTAATTCGCATGCGCGAGCTGCGGTTTGACGTCATCGATCCGTAAAAGTCCAACCACACGAATCCACTACGGTTACGGGATATGGATATTTTTTTATTTCTCCACTTGTTTTTTCAGATTCAGATTTATCCGGTTTGAGTGCTCCAAACTCCCGTGTTGGTGTGGTAGGGAGGCCTAATCGGACATAAATATGTGCGGTTTGAAATATATCCGCATTCGTGTAGTTCGGGCCTGAATGTTAACCAGAATGGTAGACAAAAATACAGTCTGTGATTGAAGTACACAGGAAAGATTTGATGACTCATAAACACAAAGACAGTTATCGTGCCTAATCATCTTTGTAGAGTAGATGCCAATCAAATTACAAATCCCAAACTGGGAAATCTTGTGTGTAAACTTTCCTCTTGATTGTTTGTGCTGTTCTTTGTTCTCTTTGTTGGTGTTCGGCTTGTATAGATGTTCACAAAGTTATTTTGTTTAATCAGCCCACAGTGAGACCCTTAATTGCAATCACAGTTTGTTAGTCAGTCAGTCCATCACACGGGTCTCTGTTGAAACATCTCATCAGCTATTAGCAAACTGTGAAGACACTGAAGACTTTTGGTACAGGCATTCATGAAGGGCCAGAGGATAAACCCTGAGAGCATTATCTTGGGGAACAGGAGGTCAGAACATTTTCTCATCAAATGGGCTTATCTCACTATCTACTGGATGGATTTGAACAGGAAATTTGTGGCTTTTCTTTGACTTTTCTTTCAATGTTAGTTACACTTTTTTAGTTATGAGGAAAATGCTTTGAGGAATGGTTGACTGAAGGATACAGTTTGGTTAAGATATTTATGTTAAAAAAAGGACCTGTCTTGCAAACTCTGGATTTTAGATTGTACTATGGAGAAAGACTGGAACAACTGTTACTGTAAAAGAGAGTAACTATGTTAGCCAGAACAACAATGACTTACTTGTCTGTGTGGTTGAAATAAGAGTAAATGAAAACAGACGTTTATTGATATTGTTATTGACTAAAACGGATGAAGTGCCTTCATGTTTTGATAAAATGATTCCCATAGTTTTTACTGAGAGAAATGCAAGGCTCAATTTCAGCTTGATGGGATCCAGAGTGAAGTCAAGTCTAATTTAGGAGATGCAATACGGTAGAGAGTTTAGAGGTGAATGAGAGGACAGAGAAAAGACTGAAGGGTTTATATACAGACAGAATATAAGAGCAAAATAAGGAGGGATTACTAAACTGACAGAGGAGTCAGATATGGATGGGAAGAGAGAGCGTGCTTTTGTTCAAGAAAGCGCATAAAGATTCCCCCAAAATGCCTGTGACGTTAAGTGTCCCCTGATGGCTCCTTGTTTGAAAGATGATGCTGCTGATTCAAGACTCAGCAGAAGTCGTACAGTTGAAAGTGGATGTTGACGAGTTGATGAGCTGTCTGAGAAGACTCAGCTCGTGGGGCTGATGGTGTTGTTGTCAGAAACAATGGGATCTTATTCTTAGCTCTGCAGTACATATGATTTTAGGCCAACATTTGAGAGTTTGCCAGAGAAATACTCCTGAGAGGGAATTTTCTCCTTGACATAACATTTGATGATGCATGCCAAGTGAAATTAATCACAGCTGTGCAGTAATGCCAAGATTCAGGGTCAGATTTATGTGTTTGGATGATGCCAACATACTACTGGAGAAAAACAAAGACTAAGCCAAAGAATATAGGGATCCTCTTCTGGACATGAACGCCAAACAGAAGCAATTATGTAGCCGCAAGTAATCTGTCACAGTATAATGACTGGATTATTCTTTTGTCGAGTTGCCTTCACAGTAATTATTTTTTCCTTGCAGAAAAAGTCACTAAATATTGTGACGAATGGGGGAATTGGGTCGGGACTGAGGCTGGGTCCACTTGTCAACCAGCTTCAAGGAGCAAGAAAGAGGTATTTAGTAATTGGTTGTTTCATTTCTGGTGGTAGTCGTATGGAGAGTGCTTTATATTGAACCTCTTTTTCTAGAAGGAGGTCCCTCTTTATCTGAGGGACTCTGAGGGGGAGCCCACCACAGAGGCTACCACAAAAAAAGGAGGCGTTATGGAGGAGATTGTCTTTGAGAACGAAAAGAAGTGCATAGAGAAAATGAAGCATGATCCACCTTATAACAAATTAGGTACTGTTGAAGTCTACTATCCAAGAATGTCATACTCCAAATCTATTGAATGTCTAACAAAAAGACTGATAAGTGTGTGATCTTGACTTTGTTTATGTTGGTGTTGCAGGTCTGTACTGCAGTCGTAACTGGGATGGCTGGCTCTGCTGGGATGACACTCCAGCAGGGATCATTGCCGCCCAAAACTGCCCTGACTATTTCGGCAACTTTGACCCAACAGGTAAGGAGCAACACTCCGCTAGGTTTCTTATAATTCTCTTATAGCTACCTTCTACTTTGCTGTGTCAATGGCTCAGTATCAACAGCTAATCTGTGTCATGGGATCCCCCAGGGTTTAGTTCTGGGTTCACGTCTATTTTTCATTTTCATGTTCCCTCTTAGTATTTTCCTTATAGACAGTATAATTTAATAGTTTTTATTGTTATGTCGATGACAGTCAACCTTAAATCTGAATCCTGACCTGTCAGACATGGAAACTCGCAAAAATGAAATCATGGATATGACAAGTTCTACAATTAAATGACAGAAGTTTATGTGATCAGCCCCCCGCAATCAAATCAGTCCAAACAAAAACAAAATTATGTGAAGCCCTCAGCCAGAAACCTTTATGTCATTTTCGATCAAGTCTTTTCTCGTGCCCTGGTTGTCCAGACCTATTTTTGTCAGCTCGTAAATGTAGCAAAGGGTCAAGTCTCTTTTGTCAGTCTTTGATAACCTTGACCATTACTACTGCGACTCTACACACACCTGTCTCAGTGAAACGTCATCTCACCATATTCAGACAGTTTTGACAGAAACCAGCAAACACATGTTCAATATGTACAGATAGAGTTGTATTAAAAATGTGTTTGATCTGAGTTGTTGTCAGTGTATCTACTTTTGTTGTTGTGAAGCACTTTCTTACCTGTATTGAAAAGTGCTGTTTAAAGAAATTAGTAATCCACTCGTATATTAACTCTATGGCACTCTGGAGTTCAGTAGAAGCAACTGGACTTAATCAAATTATTACTATTTGCAGAAAAGGCGACTAAGTACTGTGAAGAAAATGGTCAGTGGTTTCACCATCCAGAGGCAAACAGAGCTTGGACCAACTACACACTCTGTGCAACCACCCATGAGAAGAGGCAGAGGGTAACTTAGAGTCATGCTGACATTATAAACAACGCTTTGGTGATTTATCAGAAACTAGGCTGACCAGTTCTGCAAGCTCTCCTTGTAACATAAATACACAAAGCTACAAAAATAGAAGATCGAAACCTTTGTTTTTTTATCAAATTAAATCAAATTAAAAATAGCCACTGCTCCTCTCAGAGGTACTTAAAAAAAAGAAAACATTTATACTGAAACATATAGACTTCAGCATCATTACAGGTTTTGACCAGGAGCTCTAGTTACAAGAGAAAATTATTAACCAGCTTTGATAGTGGTGGAATAGTAGTTGTCAATATTCACTCTGACCATGTAACCATTTCTTCCACAGACTCTAAAAATGGTCGAGAACGAATACAGATGCCTCCTGAAAATTAACCACGATCCACCTCTGAACAAATCAGGTATTGATACTGCGGACTTAAACTCGTTGTTTCACTCCTAATTTGAGAAAAAACATACAAATAAAAGATATTTAAACACATGGTTTTGTTGGTGTTGCAGGTCTATACTGTGGTCGCAACTGGGATGGCTGGTTGTGTTGGGATGACACTCCAGCCGGGACTTACGCCTCTCAAAACTGCCCTGATTATTTTTCTGACTTTGACCCAGCAGGTGAGCCGTAAGACTTACTCTTTCACAGGCTGAGTGCTATATTTAATGTAACCAAGTTTATTTAGTGGTTGTATGATTATTTCTTTTCAGAGAAGGTAACAAAGTTCTGTGAAGAAGACGGGCAGTGGTTTCGACATCCGGAGAGTGGCAAGACCTTGACCAACTACACACTATGTGCAGCGAAAACGAAGGAGAAGTGGAGGGTAATGCTCAAGTGTAATTATTCGAAAGATTGATAACCATGTTAATTTTAGCAGCTGTCTTAGATTAAGTCTAAGTTTAAGTGTTTTCGACTAAAATGCTTTTTAGTTTTAGTCACCTTTCAGTCATATACTTGTTTTTAAATCTATTATATTTTGCTCTGATCTGCCACGTCCTTTTTTGTGGCCAATACAGCTTTTTGAAAATTTCAGGCATTGAAATGTAGACTCCTTTAAACTTGTCACTGATGCTTTTATTTGCTTTGAGCATCATCAAAATGTCTGAATATGAATATTTGTCTGCTTCGTAAATGTCAAAAAAAGCTGCTCACAGGAGCTTTGAAAAGACATAAACCAAACACTTTTTGAACCTAAATGTGAAAGTCTCCATGTGTCGTAACTCTTTGCTGTACTTTTTAATGTGCAATGTTGACCTCACTTGCAGAAGGCAGCTGCTCAGCTCTCAGGAGACGCTGAGGTGGAGCTCTCAGACGAAGCCACAGTCAGTCCCATGGTGAACCCGGAGGAGCAGGAAATAGCGAGGAAGAAAATCCTGGACAATCAGTACAAATGCTTCGAGAAAATGAACCGAGACCTGCCCTATAATAAATCAGGTAGAGAGAACAGGATTGTTTGCCTGTCTGTGGGCAGATCTGTCATCTGCAGAGGTTAACCTCTCTCATGTTGGTGTGTCAGGTCTGTACTGCAGTCGAAACTGGGACGGCTGGCTGTGCTGGGACGACACCCAAGCAGGGACCTACACCTCCCAGAACTGCCCCAATTATTTTGTGGACTTTGACACCACAGGTGAGCAGTGAAACCCCTGTAGACATGATGAATTCATCAGACTGTTTTTGAATAGCTTTGAAGTGTTAATCCCCTGGACAAGGCTGTAAAACAAAGACAAGCACACTTGAGAAATCAATGTCTGAGGAATCTGTATTTACGACTTGATTATTACTTTCAGAAAAAGCCACTAAGTACTGTGGGGAGGATGGACAATGGTTTCGCCACCCAGACACCAACAGGACGTGGTCTAACTACACACTCTGCAATGAAAACACTAAAGCAAAACTGAAGGTAATTTTTAAACTAAACTGCTATCATAGAGAAATTGCACGGCCGCCATAGTTTGACTGGTCAGCATAATCATTGAGTTTTTGCACAGAGGTGTATTTTGAGAAAATGTGGAAAATGGAAAAGAGTAGCTCTAATGTAGCTGCCCATGAATATTGCACAAGAAACCATAATAAACACGCATTTTGTTCCCAGAAGACTTAACTGAGCTCCACAGAAATACTCAGAGGTGGAAAGTTAAATGCAAACCAACAGTGTGAGAGAACACCTGGACTGTGTCAAGAGAAAGTCTAAATGCAAAGCTGACAGTAGTTTGGTGTTTGTGAGGTTGTTCAAATGTTGCATGGAGGAAAAAAAGTTTTCAAAAAGTTTAGAAAATCTATTTATTTCACTGAAGTCTTCTTCATGCTGTTTATATAGGTGTAATGATGAAAGGTGGTCCAGTAACTAGCTAATGATGTGAGACTACACGGTGTGCTTGACGCTGAGTCCTGCACAAAACCAACATTTGCCCTTCAAACCATTTTCCAGGACAGTTTTGCATTTTTCAAGCGTAAATCATCTGCTCTCCTCATGTACACTCTTCCAACTTTTCCCTCTCTATCTCACTGAGAAAAAGTTTTCCAAAGAATTTCTCATGCAGTGTACATCCAAGGTCGTAAAAACACAACTCCTCTCTGTTCTCCAAGTTGGGCCAATTACAAATAACAGCACCTTGTGAACAAAACTTCTGCAAAAAAATAACTGCAAGACACTCTATGTTACTTTTACTCATTGTGCTTCACAGCTGGAGCAGCTGTTCTGGCGTAGCTTAAAGAAAAACATAAAGATTGCTGATCGATCTGCCGCTCCATCTGTTACCGCAGGAAAACGATCTCTGCTTACTCTGCCTCCCGGCGTCAGGAAACTTTCAGAGCAAAACGTCTCTGGAGTAAAAGAAAAATAAAGCTCAAGAAACGTACTGTTGACTTGTGATTGGAATCAGATGATGCCAGCTTTAGCTTTTAATTCCTTACTTTACGAGCATGGACCACACAACAACAATATCTCAACACTGAGATGCAAAAACAGAATCTTTCACATTTGTTCACAAATTACATTTAAGAGTCCTAAAAAGCCATTTTCAGTGTCACTCTTTTATTCATGTTATTATTCCTAATAGTATTTCAAAAGGTTCTTTTTTCTTTGTTTGTTAAATGAACTTTCCCTTCGTTAGTACATCTAAGTTAATATATTTTCAATAGCCTCAATACTACTGCTGACAACTAATCTTTAAAATTAGTTGTAGTTTTTTTTTTTCATCCGAAGATTAGTTATAGATTTGAAAAAAATGGATTTTTTTTAAATTGAAAAATTGTAATATATATTTATATATTATATAAATATAATATATTGACTTTACTTTACAATTCTTCTATAAATAGTAGATGACTTTTTGAGACTAACCCTAGTTGAATTTCTATTTGGGGATAAATAAAGTTCTAAAGTCAAAGTAATTTTGTGTTTACATTTGGACTCCTGAAAGTCAGCCATTGAAATAAAATTACAAATAAAGTGATTTGAATTCGACAATGACAGAATTACATTTCTATACTGACTGTTATGCATTTTAGTGAACTATTTACCACACTAGTTCAACCTTAAAATCAACAGTTTCACAACTTAATTTGCAATATTGGCCCAAAATGAGTGAATGAAACAGAGTTCTGTGAGAATGAGCTGAACTGAAGTGTGAAATGAATGTTTGAATGTAGTCTCTGCATCTCTGAAGATAGCAAACATCTGCCCACATTACCAGACAATCTGAGAATTATTGAAAGTTTGAGAGCATCATGTTTTACAGCAGAGGAAGTCCGATTTATGACACTCAGTGCTTATAGCAACCCAGATCTGGTTCATAGTGCTGAAGATGGAAAATTCTTTCCTTGTGTGTTTGGGTTTTTAAATCAAAACCTTTTACTGTTTTATGTGTGTTTTTACATTTTTTAAGCTGTTGATTTTCCCCAAGTTTAATTAGTATTTTCATTTTATTCAAATTTTCTACGCTTTTAAATTAAATATTTGGCCATGGCTTTGGTTGAGTAAATGACAGTGATTGAGGGCTAAGAATTAAAGCTTAGGAGGCTCTAGTGAAAAATAATTTAGTTGCAGCTGGAAGAGGATGAACATGGGCTTGTTAATTTTTTTGGACCGTGAACTATAAAACCAAAATTCAAAATTATGAGTCATGAATGTCAGCTCGTTTAATTTAATCTGTGTGAAGTGAAAGCTGAACTTTGAGCTCGCTCACTTTCAGAGTGACTGAAATAATATTGCTTTAACTGTAACTGGAGGATCTTTTCAAACCTGTCTGTTTATTTTTACAGGATCGTGTCCTCAAGAAGCATCCATATTAAAGAGAAAGTCTGAAAAGTAAATAAGAGGACTGGTGCTCAAACCTGCATGTTTTAGACCCTGGTTGGAGAGCTAAAGATAAGGTTAACAAGATACAACACCGATATGCTCTTTATTTAATGAATTTAATGATTTAATCATTTATCTAATCATTAATTCATTTATTTATTCAATTATTAAAGTATGTTTAGCACATTAAGTTATCTCTGATATTGGTGGTTTTGTTCTGGTGGGTCGAATTAAGTGCGATTTAAATTTTTTTTTTTAATGTGTTTAAAAGTTTTTTTATCCCCTCTATAAATCACAGAATCATTTTTTTATTTTCCTGCCTCTGAGGTCCTCGAATGCCTTCCTTTAAAATTTTCCTCATGTGCCCGACTAAAGTACACGAGAAGAGAGGGGTTTCTGTTTTTATTAACCTTGCCTTCAAACAAGAGCAACATTCACTGGTTTTAATTGATTTTTTGATACCTGTTTCTGTTAATGATTTCACTTTATTATTTCATTTAACCTCCTCTTACTGTGAAGCACTTTTGGCCCACATGCTTCTATGCGCTATATAAATTAGGTTGAGTTGAGCTGCGATGACTCCGACAGTTTTCACTCATCTGATGATCTCTGAATCAGAACTGCTTATTAATTCCCAGGGGGGTTATAAGAGCGAGGATGATCTAGTCCCCTACAGAGAACTCACTCAGTAACAATCAGGGAGGCAGCCTCTTTCAATTACACTGATACATTTTCCTCACAGCAGCAGTGCTCTAATTCTTGAGATAATTTAAGTCTTGCCTGTCTATCCTCTTTTTTTGCAGTCGGCATACATCCTTTTCTACATGGCGATTGTCGGTCATGCTTTATCCATCGCCTCCCTGCTCATCTCTCTGGCCATCTTCTTCTACTTCAGGTATGAATAGGATTAAAATGGATCTCTTTAGGAAGTTTTTGTTGAAATAATTCGAACTATACTGTCTGTGAATGTTTAACGTGGTGCATTGATACAGGGTGTCGTAACTCTGGGATGATTAATTGGTGCTGGATTTGGCCTCGAAGGCTCAATCATCTCTTCAATGACAGGACAGCAGATGGTGGTGATCTTTCACTCAAGTGTCCTCCAGCCATTTCATTACTCAGCACTGACAGCTCTTGGGTCCTAGACTCATTCACAGTCAGCACAAACTTTATAGTGTCCACACCAACAGATTGAACATGACAGCTTTTAACGCTTGCCCTGCAGCCTGGCAGATTTGTCATTATGAATGAGGGTTAAACTCGTTGTTACGTTTTATAATGTTGTTAAAAAAGTAAAATAAATCTGTGCTTTAACACTCTCACCATCTTCACTTTATTTATTACTGCAGTCGCACATTAAACCCTGTTGGACAGCCTCAGTTAGCGTAATTTATACACAACTCTCCTCCACTCATTTCATGCCACCTTGGCTTCTTTGTACCGCACATTTATTTCATGGATATTTAGGATTCAAAAGCAGAGAGCTGTGACGTCCGCTGGAAGCGTCTGTGCTTCGCTCTTATTAGAAACGTGTGCACCTAAGCGCGCTGCTCATTAAGACCGCTCATCCCAATATACTGCTTAATCCCACAGGAGGAAAGCGCATGAGTAATTAAGATACTGCGAAGGAAATTCAATGAGGAGAAAGTTCAGTATGAGGTGGACAAGGGTTAGGGAGGTATAATATGCAGTTAATGTATGTAAAATGTTCAAATGTTGAACCCTGAGAAGGAAAAGTTAGCGAGTGCCACACACACTGTTGAAACTTTATTGTGCAGGAGGACAAGGAACTCGATCGCCATTAATTTTAATGACACCATAACGTAAGAAAATCTAAAAAAGAAACCTCTGAGGAAAGTTGAACTTTATTTTCTGTAACAATATCTGGACACGTTGCCCTGTTGGCTCTGCTACTCTTGAATGCAGTTGTAAAATCTGACATCTTGACGGGTACTGACCTCTTAAAAGGCAATCGTTATGCAGCACGGACCCTCGCTACGCTCTAAAGTTTTATACACACTCGTAAATTTAGCGGCCATGTTAAGGGCAGGCACATTATCCTCCAAACCGCTGTGACCCACTGGCGTTCAGACTCAGCTACACAAAAACTCAGTGGGGTTTTCACAATTTACACGATCAAAGTAATAAGGAATTATGATCCTGATAATATCCTTTTTTCTTCTCTTCCATGACTAATAATATTTATTGCTAAAACACTTCAAATATTGGAGGCTGGATGCTGAATTATAAGCTCCAGATGTGAAGCTTTCTGTGGTATGTGATGGTGTCCAGCTGCACTCTTTGGTTATTTACAACTACATCAACACTGTCAGGATTCCCAGATAAAAATACTCGAGGTCATTGCGGAAAAATGTCAAAATCGGGGATGTTTGCATTGGAGACGGTCTGGCTAAAGATACAGTGAAGATTTAGTATCTTTAAAGTCTTTTTAGGTACTTGGCAGCTCTTGCATATTCTTAAAAGCTTAAATTAAGACTTAACTTTAGTCTGAGTTCATCACAGCTTCTGAACAACACTGTAGAGGTGTGCAGTCTGATAGAACTCCCTTGTACCATTTATGAGAAAAGCATTGCTCTGTATTTTTTTGTATGTCTCAGGGGTTTTTACTCCCTTTCAAAGACAAAATTACCCATGAGCCACTAGGGGATCTTGTTTCTAAAACAGCAGAGGACATATTTATTGGAGGGCATGCAAAAACACATCTGGTGCAAACTTTTATTCAGTATATAACACTCTGTGGGTCGCAGCACATTTAAATGCAGCCCTAAACTACCATCACTGATAATAAAAGGCTTTCATACGAATGACTTGAAATGATTTTGGTTCTAATAGTTATTTCCACTCTGCTTGTCAAGCATTTCATTACTCTATTAATTCTGAGTGGCTGGCTGTGGTAATAGGGGAGTACCTCAGGGATCCATTATGCATTATTTAACAGCCAGTCCAGCATGTACAGTAGAGAGCATTTAGAGGCGATATTAAAGGCACAGTGACTGCTGGGATTTTTACCAATCGCAAATGAATAGAGTCCTGAATATGTCTTGTAAGATATTAGACTGTAGCAACATCCAATAATCTCATCAAACTATTAGCCTGTTTGTCAGGAGCTACTTTACTCCGGGTCATTCCATCAGCAGGAACTTTTTTACTCGCTTTTGATTTGTTATTTGTGTTTCTCCCTGAAGATTTCATTCCGAGCTTGCAGCCCAAGATGGAATTTCTTCCTAGATATAATATCATATCCTAGTATGCCAGCATGTATCTGAAACCAATGACAGGATCTGTCTCCATGCAGGAGTCTGAGCTGCCAAAGGATCACCCTGCACAAGAACCTCTTCTGCTCCTACGTGCTGAACTCAGCCCTCACCATCATCTACCTCGTGGCAGTGGTCAATGATCCTGAGCTGGTGAGCAGAAACCCTGTAAGTATGACCTCTGTGGATTATTTAACCTCAGGACTACCACTTAGTTTTACACCAGAAGTGTGGAAAGATTTTAAAAAAAAAAAGAGGTATAGTGTTTCACTGTAGAAATGAGAGTAAAAGCCTGCTAGCATTATTGTTAGGCTGTAGCTTAAGAGTGACGTTGCATGTGCAGACAAGCACAAAACACCATTGTTGCAAATGAATTCAATTAATGGTTAATTTTATTATTTTTCACTTGGTTAAAAAGTTTATAGTAATGCAGAATTTCTATGGGGTAACTGTTAAAAAAAAAAAAAAAACTAAAAAAATTAAACAAATAAAGAAGATAAAGAGGGTAAAAAATACTAATAATATGTCTACACACACTCTGGCCACCCATACACCAGGGGCACCCCCGTGTAAAACTCTGGGTGCACCCCTGAAGAGGAGCACAGAAAAAAACTGGGACTTGACTGCTGACAGGCTGTCAAGTTTGTTCAACAAAAGCAGCTTGAAAACACTAATCTGTTTATTTTCTAAGAATGAGAGGAAACATAGCTGTCCTAGAAAAAGGGTAAAAAGGTGACTCCCATAGACTGACTGGCAGAAGCAGGATCAATGCTTCGTCAGAGCAAGGGAAGTCTATGTGCACACACAGCGTTTCAGACAGTGCCTCAGCTTCTCTTGTGTTGGTTCATGAAGGTTCTTTAGATTACACCAATACTGGACCCTTCCCCTGAAAGACACTATAATCAGCCTTAAACAGCACAGGTCACAGGGGACGGGAAAATCCCTCCTGAATGTTAAAGCTGCCAAAATCTGGACAGGTTATAGTTCTCACACCTGAAGGGTTTATTTTTGTTGAGATATTTGCATCTGGGTCAAAGTGCTGGATGGGCAGACCAATGAGCCAGAAGCTAGCAAATGTGCAGCATAGCAGAATCCATTGTGAAGAGGAAGATTAGTTCCACTCTATTGAAATGAGACACAAATGTATTCATGATTTATGCTAAGCCAAATAAAGTAGGATGAAAACATTTCTATGAACTTCTTAAAATTCATTCACTCTTCAAGCCAAGTGCAAGTGTAACATAAATCTGTATGTTTGAACATACACAAGTTTTCGCAGCAGACTTCTTCACATTTCCTAATTAGTATTTCATGTCAATGAACCATATCTTGGCAGAATCGCCCCTCATCGACGGACAGTTTTTTGCTCTGTTCCACGTACTTCTGACAGACCTTAGGAGCCACACTGAATGCATTATGGAAATTCTTTGAAATGTGGAGCTCTGCTCTGGTAGGGATGATAAATCTGTCTCGCCTGGATGCCTCACTATCAGGAGTGAGCATAAATTCATGTGCGGCTTTTCAAGAACCACTCCTTTTTGGAAAGAAAGAGTAATGAATACCTGCTAATCCAATGCTTTGCATTTGAAACTTTATTAATGATGTGTTTTTTTGACTCTTCAAAAATGTCACATCTCAAATCAGAGCAAGATTCATCCTGATTTTGATCTGTACCAGGATATAAGCCTGAATACACTCAGGCACTAAACTAAAAATGATGTCAGAATATGACCTATTTATACGAAAAACGTAGAAACCGTAATCTTTCTGGTATGTATTCTGAGTGTGAGCGAGTGATTTCCCAGCCGTTTAAACAGTATTTCAAACTCTGACTGATTAGTCTGAAAGTAAGAATAAAGAAAACAGCAATGCACTCACCAAGTCCGTAAGGCTGGCCCTGTCTGATGTCCTGATTTACATCCTGTCTCTGGATCTAAGACTCTGCCAATAATGACAGAGGATACACAAGTGTAAATCATTTCATTTAATGGCTCCTTTTTATACCGTTATTGTTTTTTCAACTGTTCAGGTCAGCTAGCCTGCCTTATCATGTCAAAACGAAATCAGTCATTGTGGCCCAGCTTTTCGAGAGGACGCAGGAAAAGAAATCACAAGCTTCATTGGTTGGGAGTTATAAGTGTCTGTCGTAAAACTTGATTAAAATTTATCGCTGCCCGAGTGAGACTTATGAGCCTCTTTTCTGCACCGGTGATTTAGGAACGAAGGACTGTGGTTCGAGATTTGCTCTTGCAGAGAAAACAAGCTCATTTTATTCTCTCTGGTGTGGTGATACACAGTCTGGTTCGGTCTGCCAGCGCTGTGGGGAGTGAAACCCCAAAGCATATGTCAAACCAGGGAGGAGGTTGAAAACATGACAAACATGCACATGATCTACAGCAGCTTGATTTGTTAACCAGAACTTTGTCCTTAACTTCAAGCAAACACAAACATTGGTTGAGTCAGATCAATGTCTCACATAGTGGAGGGTTTCTGTGGGAAGGACTGGAGGAAGGTAAGGGGGGAGCCACATGGAGAACAGTTCAGAAGCGAATGACTTTTCTGTGTCTCCAGCCAAGAAGACTCCTGAGGGAAGAAGAGGTTGATAGTAATGCCAGCATGTTTAAATAAAAGTAAGGCTGCTCTTTTAAACTGAACTGGGAACCAGAAACCCTGATGGGTATATTTATAGTCGATCATGTTCATGGCTCTCAGAGGGGCTAGGAGAGTATGATAGCAATTATAAAATAGAATTAAAGGAGATCTACACTAAACTCAGTTTTACCTTCCATTATGTCAGTCTGGAGAAAATACGATGCAGCTTTGCATGATTTGTCGCTCTGCCTGAACCCCTTAGTTTCGGTGATTTAAAGTGATATGCAGCTTGCAGGTATTTCTTTTTACACAGTTCGGTTGTTATAAAATTACCTAAAGGTTATGCCTCTGAAGAAAACATCAGAGGCAAGCTACAAGTGGCACTTAGCTCTCAATTTAGCCATGTTAGCGTACCTTAGCTAGTTCTACAATTCCTACTGTTATGTTACTTGAAGCTTGTAGTTTTAAGTCTTTTTTGATAGAATAACCCAGTTTCCAAGATCAGATGCAATACAAATCCAGCTTTTCCACATCTTTGTTTACAAAGGAGGTGAAGTGGGGCACATGAATATTTTCATATCAGATATTCTTTAAAATGTACAGTATGTGAGTCTCTTGTAAAATAACACTTGAAAGCAACTTTCAGAGATGCAGTGAACACTGAATCAACAAAGTGCAGAGCGGGTGGGTGTTTCTGTGCCAGAGGTGCCAGGGCAGAACGGCACAACCTAACATCAGGCTGTGGTCATGTCTCAAAACAAGCTGTTCATGGAACCTGGAAAAAACATAATCACAGTCATAATCTGTGTCTCATGTGATAAAACTTTGCTGTGAATACCCAACATTGTAACATTATTCAAATGTATTGAAGTGTAGATCATCATAGGTCTCTTTGAAGGCAATCATATTACATTTTGAAAGGCCACTACTGTCTTAAGCATCAAAACATTGAGGACAAGAATTGAATTTGTGTCGTAATGCATACCTTTTTGGAGTTTTGAAGTTCAAATTATGCTGAAATCAATAAGAGGTTATCAAATGAAGTCTGTTTTAGGCTATACAGTCACTGGAATACATTTTGGTATCATCAGCGTAAGATTTATACTGACCCAGATCAAAAGTTTTTGTCAAGTATTTGGGGATTGATTGGTTTGAACCCTCTGCAACAAAAGGGTTATTTAAAGCTCTGGTGGGGAACTTTATGTTTGTATTGGTTCTGGTGCCCCCTGGGGACAAGGTGCTACATCTTGTCTCTTTGCAGACTTTGCCCACTGTGTAGAATGTTTTCCTATTCTACACACAACCACATCACTCATCATACAGGAAATGGTCAGTCTCATGGAGCAACCAACAGCACAAGTGAAGTTTTAAAACATAAGAAGTACCACTTTATAGGAATTAGAAATGCACAATGTTAGAATGTAAAAATGTTAAATAATTAAATGAACTAATAAGGATGTATGATGCTGTGATTTTTTAGGAGATCTATAACAGTGAGTAAGAATCAGAAAAAAAAAACAGATTTCCAAGATAACTTAATAGCACAAGCAAACATCAGAGTAAGGATAGGGTTAGGGTTCAGTAAGCCTCAAATGTTCCTTTTATCCCCTTTAGCTCGGGACGTTCAAATATAATATTTTGAAATCAATACTTGACTTTGTTTTGCTTCTTTTGGAAAGATTTTGGCGTCTAATGGAGCTACATAATCCAAAATAGAAAAACAACAGAAGCCAACTAAGACGGGACTAGTGAGCTGCAGCAATCACAGCTGATGTCGTTAGCTGAAAAACTACCAAATGAGCAGAAAATCTAACAAAACAAACAAACAAAAAAAAAAGTATGAGTATGAAGTATGAAAGTATGAAAAGTATGATTCCATCTGAAGATTTTTCTGGAAGAGAAGTTTTTGTTCCTGAAAACACGCACTAGTAAAGGGATATACAGCAGAGTGGGTGTGTTGAAGTCATTAGAAGAATTACAGCGTATTTCACATCCTTAAGTGTGTGGGTAATTATAGCATTAGGGGACCAAGATGAGATAAGATTCACATGATTATTACGACTAAAGCTGCCTCTTTCTAAACATCATAGTAATGATTTAATCACAGGGACAGGATACGTAGTGTGAAATGCTGATGCACTGTGCCCAGCAGAAATACAGGAATCTGCACCGTACATGAGAGCGTGAGCTTTGATATGCACTTGTAGAGCTCATTTCCTGTAGAGAAACGACACAAGTACATTCAATGAACACTCCAATCTAAGGAAACCATCATTTCCATCTCAGCCTACCTCCCTCCAGGGGGGGTTAATGAATAAACATCCCTTCTGTAATATCATCAGCAGAACAGGGAGGAAAATAAGAATAAAACTAGCTGATGATTTTGTGCTATGACTGCAGAAACTCCTGCTGAGATGATGTCCAGGCTGTCTCAATTGAATCCTCTTAACAGATATTATTTCATGCATGACTAAATAAAAGCAGAAATACTGAACAATCAGCCTTTCTCTGCAGGCCAGCTGTAAGGTGTTGCACTTCTTCCACATGTACATGCTGGGCTGCAATTACTTCTGGATGCTCTGTGAAGGGATCTACTTGCACACCCTCATTGTTGTGGCTGTGTTTGCAGAGGAGCAGCATCTGCACTGGTACTACCTCTTAGGCTGGGGTAAGTAAGCCCATCTGAATTTGATTTATTTGCTGCATTTTTTTTCTATTAGGAACTCTTTTTATGCTCCCATTGGGCTAAATCATGGCTAAAAAACTCCCAAAAAGGCAACTCATGGAGAAAAAGAAAAAAAAAAAAAACAGTCTGGCAGGCGCAATTTATAAGTAGCCCCCCTAAGCCTTGTACAGTTTGTCACTATGGACAAGCTGACAGCTTTATTGGCCCTCTGGACGCTTAGTGCTCAAACTGTCCTGTTTTTCACCTTGTTGGGGACACATATAATGGCCGCAGTCTGTCAATCAAGTGAGCTGCAGAACTTGATAATTGATAGTCATCTTTAAAAACAGGAGAGTAACCTTGAGGCTTGTTTTAATCCTGTGTGTTTGTAGAGGGCGGCCACTCAGTCAGGTCTGCCTGAGTGATGTCTGGACATGACTGATCATGAATTCAAGTATTTACAAGCAGAAAAATAAAAAAATCTTAATAACCTATTAAGGTTTTTTTTTTTTTAAATAAAAACACGATAATAATTAGGCATAGAAAAAAATATATGTTTTTTTTGTATAATCTGATTACACTTTATATGAGGATCCTTGTTATAAACATTTATCAACTGTCAACAGGCTGATTAAGACCTTGAAAGATAATTATGGACAATGAATAGGTGTTAATTAGAATTAATAAAAGAAAAAATTACACATTTATGATTGTTTAATAGACACTTACAGGCTCCTATTAGTAATTTCTTAACAGTCATAATTACTAATTAAGTGTTTATGAACAGTAATTTGACTTTATTAACATTAATCACACTTAATAAAGGTTGATTGAGGATAAATATGCATGTTTATCATTTCCTGTTGCCACACTAATTGCATACAGACAACTTTTAATATTTAATGAGAATTCTATGCACATGAAATTAACCCTCAGAGCCTTAATCATAATTAAAATTGACATTTATAATTGTTTGTTAGTTTCTCTTTAAGCACTTACTGCCATCTTAATAAAATAGAGCACACCTAACTTTATAATTAGAGGATATAGAACAATAATAAGATTATTAATGCCTATCAAATACATTATTTTATTTGCCCTTGTTAACAGGTAATAATACTCACATGCAGCTCATGCTCCAAAGCAGGAACAGAGTCTGATAAAGTTTAATAAATCTTCATTAAACAGTTATGAGATTAGATTCGGATTACAATAGATATAACTTTATTTATCCTTTTGGGAATGTTCCCTCGATGAAATTAAAATGGACTTATAAGTGGTTTATTAACTATGAATTAATGCTCATAAGAACCTTAATATAAAGTGTTATCCAGAATCCCTCCAAAAAAGTCAGCAGATTTAAAGTCAATCCACCGTGTTTCAGTCTTTCCAATAAAATATTTGTGAAGTAGTCATTTATTTGAGTAGGAAACAACCGACCAAGCTAACCACACGTTCACTGTTGCATAAATGACAAATGAATTCCCCCAAATTCACTCAAGACCTCATATGGCCGTCATCTCTTTCCCTGTCCAAGGCTTTCCTCTTGTGCCTGCATCCATCCACGCCGTGGCAAGGAAAAAGTACTTTGATGACAAGTGAGTAATGTTCCAGAAACGACTGAAAATAAACAGAAGATGTGCACATATGTGCTCACCGTTGTGTGGCTGAGAGAGGGGATTTGCAGACTTATAGTGTGTGTGTTTTGGGATATGTGTGCATGTGTATTTTGGGCAGCAGTGCGCACTGACTGATCTATTTTTCCCTCTGTAGCTGTTGGATGAGCGTGGAAACCCATCTGCTCTACGCCGTCCATGGTCCCATAGTGGCGGCGCTTCTTGTAAGTCTGATGGTCCAATGTTTCGGTTCAACCTAAGAGTCATTAACGCAAAATTTATGATTATTAGTTTAATATTTCACTCGGACTATTACCTCTGAGAAAGCTGATGTTTGTTTTGGTTTTTCTCCTGCAGGTGAACCTCTTCTTCTTGCTCAACATAATAAGAGTGTTAGTGACCAAGTTAAGAGACACACACCGAGCAGAGTCCAACATGTACATGAAGGCAGTACGAGCCACCCTCATCCTGGTGCCCCTGCTGGGAATCCAGTTTGTCATTTTCCCCTGGAGGCCAGAGAACCGGCTGGCTGGGGAGGTCTATGAATACATCATGCACATACTCATGCACTACCAGGTAGGCACCGAGCTGACAGCATGGCACTGCTTTAATCAGAGTTTCCATATAAGTACCAAGCCAAGGCTCGGTTAGAAGGTAATTCAGCAGTGAATCAAAACGCAGGAAAGTGAGCTTTTTACAGCCTCCGGATGTTGAGGTAATTACAGGAAAAAAACAAACTTCAATCTATGGAGTAATAACTAAAAGTAATGTATGCTCATCTTGTTCACAGTATTGATCTTCAGTGCAGCTCCTATTTCCTATTTCCTTGTGCTCTCTGGTCCCACAAGGCTAGAGATGTAGATGTTTTGCATGCCTGAAAGTCCCCCTCGGTTAACAACCTTGTTTTCTGCCTCATTATTATTGTCATGGCTTTATCTGATTCACTGATGATTACCTCTTTAAATCTGTTAGCCACTCCATTACCTGTATTTAACTATCAATTAGGCATCCCATTAAACCACAGGCTGTTTTAATTCATTTATTTTAACAAACCTGTCCTTTTTAACTGCTTAAAACTTCATTGTTTTAAATTACTTTTGTCAGACAATGTGCTGATTTGTATTCCTGTTTTTAGGGGTTGCTGGTGGCAACAATATTCTGCTTCTTCAACGGAGAGGTAAGCCCTGCTTGTGTTTTTTTGCTGCTCATTATTTTGAGAATTTCTCATTTGCCTCTCATTACTTTCCTGAACCCTTCTAATGTGAGTACGCTAATTATGAAAGAGCTTGGAGATGCTAAAATTAGCTTAGCATACAGCCCAGGGCAGGTGAAGAGGTGGCTGATTTGACCCCTTCTCAAAACCAAATTTTTGCAATAAAAGTACATTATAGAGACATTTATGGAAAACTTGACAATAAATCTTGATTTGATATAAGGAAAAAAGTCAATAGTTTGTAAAATGGGAAATACTCCTTTAAAATCATTGTATCCTGAAAAATCATTGTGCTGTGAGTGACACCAGAGTTGTGCATCTTTGACAGGATAATTGTTCTTTAGTAAAGGTCAACCTGCACTTGTTTCTCAGGGATCTTCTCAGTTACAGAGCAATAAAGTGGCTCATTCCTCATATGAGGCTGTAACTCTATCAGGCAAAACACTGGCAGTTTTTGTTTTCCCAGGACAGATCGGAGTCTTTGTGTATCTGATCGAATATCAAGAGGTGACCCCGATGTGAGGCGCAGACTTTGTTTCTGGCTTCTGACACTTGTGTAAAATAGTTGAACTTCGCAAAGATACTGCATTTGTCATTAGTCCAAATGTAGCTGCCCAAGTGGCTGAAGCTGAAAGGTCACGTCAGGTGAGGTGAGGAGTAAGACGTTTAGAAATGGCTGAGGTTTCCAAGTCCAGCTGGAAATTGACTCTCCTTTCAAGTCTCTCCCGTTAGCCTTTTTAAGTCTGTCAGCAGCTGTCTGACTCAGAGCATCTTTAACGTGGTTCAAACACTCCTCCGAAAGTGTGAGATTCGTTTTCTCTAAAGCCAAGATGTGAGGTTAATGATGTTGTGGAGACCTCTCTGCTCTGCAGACTCATGTGACAGATGCTTTCAAGGCTCAAGGTCTGCACAAAGTAAAAAAAGCAAGAGAAAGTGCTCAAGTACTCAAGCAGGTTGTTTGACTCTGATGATGCTGGTTCGATTGGAAAATTATTAAAAGCTTTTTTCGTCTTTAAAAAGCTTTTATTATGGTTTAAACGAGAAAATGGTGCCGCCAAGTTCTGTGGTATGAAGGCACAATGGTGCATTTTGTAGCATGAGAAGAAAGCAGCAAAGAGATGCAAAACTGAGGGAGCAGCTAATTTAAATACTCAGCATGGAGTGTCTGGCACAGAGGAGCTTACTCTAGGGTTGCATTTCTACTGTATACATTTACTCGGGTAAATAGGTCAACTATAAGCTCATTGTCAAGCTGCCAGGGTCCAACAGCTTCTTCCACACCAACATTATTTGTTGTATAAACAATGTGTAGAGTGTATGTTAAAAGGTTGAGGCTTCTCTTTGGGAGATACAGGGTCAGCAGACAAGCAGACCATCATCAGGAATGTGAGGGTTCATTCGCTTCATCCACATAATGACCAATTCAGTCCCTCTAATCAGGACACAGCTTTCTGGGGCTGGTTTCAAGGCTGTTTTCTTTTTTATTATTGCAAGGCCAAACTGCACAGACCTGCCTTGTTTGTTCAATGGTCCCATTGTAAAGTAAGGTCAGCTCAACAAACAGCTTTCATGCTGTATATGTGACGTTCTACATGGACGCTCTTTTGTCTCATAATAACAAACAGTGGCATCATTTAGATAATTGGATCATTGTGAATAAATATATACTTGTAGTAATTACAGTGGTACAAAGGTATTACAAAATAAAATGATACCATTGCACTCCAGTTTCGGTTTTTAGGAATATTATAGTTTGGGAATGAATATTGCTCTCAATATGAGGTTTTTATGCATGTTTTTTCAGCAGTCATGACGACTTGATTTCCTTTGTGTTTATGTGAATGAAAAGTTTACATTTTTAACAGGGAGGTGAAAAGTTTGCTGTTGTTGTTTGTAAATCTAAAATTCAGTGGGCATAAACGTAAACAGAAATGCTCGATGTTTAAAAGTGGAAGTAGTTTGTCTCTGAACTTCAACTTTTCTCCTCATATTAAAAACTTTTCAGACTTGCAGTTGTTTTATCCAGTAACTAGATAACTGCTGAGAGTATTAGGAAGCGAATTGTGGATAATTAACGGTGTATCATCTGCATAAAAGCGAATAGTTTGATTAATGCTATTCTATCAGTTGGCTTTGTCAAATAGCTCCAGCAAGATATCAGGTTGATTGCATGAAATGTATCTATTGTTATAGTAAAACAAAACCCTGAATGTGCAGACAGGAGTAGGAAGGTCCTGGATCACACTTGGAACAGTTGTAAACAACAGATGCAGGGGATAGTTTAAACATATTTTTCAATTCGACTAAATCTTTCTTCCCTGTATGAAATGATGATCTGGACCCATGCACAGCTCGGCGGCATTTCAAGAAATGTGACTCTGATGTTTGCCTTTCCTAACTGGCATCTGTTAATGTGATAGAAAGATGAGTGAGGCCCATATGCTGCTGCAATTACACTCACATCAGTTCGGATCTCTGCTGCTCGGGTTAATGTTGTCACAAGATGGTGTTTACACGGGCTCTGCCTCACTTAGACTGCACCACCATGACCACAGATGATTTGCATGTAAATTCAGATGTCTGCTGGAGTGATTTCGTGGTCGAAGCGAGGGAGACAAAAGTTTGGAGGAGTGTTTGTGATGTGTCATTTTGACAACAGAAGAAATAACTCAAAGTGTTCGCCCTGGCATGGAGACGTGGTCTGAGATATCTGATGAACAAAAGAGTTTCAGGGAAGAAAATATTTTGACACTGACTTTTAAGCCATTACCAAGCTACCTGGGCAAGAGAAGCATATGTAATTTATATAGATATCATGATTATAATGGCCATAAATATCATGGCCAAATGTTCAAACCTGAAGAGGCTGCTACAGTTAGCTCACTTGCAGCTGCTTCTTCTTCAATATTTCAATATTTCATTTTTTAAGAAGATATTTATCTTCAATACTGGTGTACAGGGACAGACGTAGTCCTGAGGTTGTCATAAAACAGTTTGTGTATAGAAAGTGATGCAACTACAGAGTTCCCAATGTTGGTATGAGGACAGTCAAAAAGAACATGCATGGAAAAAGAGGGTCTTGGATACCTGAATCAAAGATCATGGCTAAACTGGAGGACTTGGGCCCAATCCCAAACCGACCCCTACACACTCGCCCTTCACTACTAAGTGTCACACCTAATGAAGTTACACTCGCAGCTGTGGAGTGCACCTCAATTGAAATGGGAGGGTATGAACAAGACGGGTGGGTATGGGACGCCCTCCTCACTCCACCGGAAAATAGAAAGATTCATCGCCATAGCAACACAAGACACGTGTCCTGTGCAAGGCAGTGTTTATTTTCTTAGTAAACAGACTTCATGAACAGTTCTGAACTGCACCGGCTGCCTCGTTTCTTCATCCTCCTAGTTAAATCATAAATCCAGCAACCATTACAGTGACAGGAGCTAAATTAACCTTCTGATTGTTAGTGATTCCACGTCTTTGAACCCCTTTACCATTTGACATGTGCCTGCACAATCAAACAAACCTCAGCACAGAGTAAGATTTCCGACTTCCGTTCGATCTTTACAAACCTCGTCTTTTGTGATTTTTTTTGTCAGTAAGACAGAGGTGGAACTTATATTTATATGTTGTTTCCTACTCCTCCATTTTTACCGACAATTCCTGTTGTGAGTGAGCATCGGTGCAGACTCGTTTGAAGGGCTGAACGGTCCACTCGCCCTCCTCACTTTGTGGTTTGGGACAGCCTTCAATATGGCCGAGCCTCTGCGGGGACGCACAAACGGAGGGAGAGTGTATAGGGCAAGTGTGTGTGGGGGACGGTTTGGGATTGGGCCTTGATGTTTCGGTTGTCGCACCTTTAAGCTACGCTGTCTTGATGTTACCCTACATTACCAAACTTGGTCCTCACATTGAAGAGTAAAAGTGTCCCCTAAAAAGAAAATTTGAAGTCACTCTGATAGTGGCCGTGTCTTAAAGCTGTGTGGTTTTGTGTTGTCCAGGTGCAGGGAGCTCTAAAGAGACAGTGGATGCAGTACAAAACTCAGTGGGGTCAGAGACGAAAGGACCACTGCTCAATGCGCTCCACGTCCTACACAGCCACCTCCATCACTGAGGTCCCCGCCTTCATGTACCACCATGACTGCAACAGTGAACATTTGAACGGGCGCCACTCGGACGACTCTGAACTGGTGGCGCTAAAATCAGGAGAGACTTACGCTTAAAGCACCCAAGTCCCACAGAGGATGAAGAGTGTAGGAACAGTCGAAGACGATGAACAGAGTGAGGACGATGAAGGTCGATGGTTGAATCTCAGAGACTGATGCAGGTGAGGTTGACCCATAGGGATGATACGGGTCTGGGAATTTAATGCTCATGGAGATGGACGAGCTACAAGGTCAACTCTTCATTCAACTTTACATCGCTGTTGCAGCTGCTTTTTCGAGAACTTTGATGTCAAGAACTCATGGCATGAGACCAGGGCTGCTTTTCAACATGTGTCACTTCCTCAAGCTGCTAAACTACGACGGAATAAGACTGTTGAAGAGTGAACGTGGCAAGGATTCCTGTTTGGAAATTATGCTACTGAGTATGACGTTGATGGTAACTAAAGATTCTTGATGATGATTTAAAAGGTGAAGTAAAGAACCAATCCTTCCTAACCTCACCTAAACCAAAGGGTGTATGTAGGGGGTAACGTGCTATGAAGTATAACACACACACAAACACACGTCAGCAGACCTACAAACCTGAACGTATGTGCCATGACAGTGGTGAAATTTTAAAAACACCCTCTGTGCTAAAAGCTCTGGAATTGTGTACATAATGTATGTTTGTTTGAGTTAAAGACAGTGTTAAAATGTTTCTAAAAGGATTTTATTTTTATTTGATATATTTTATTCTTGCCAATCCCTCAGTACATGCTCAGTTAGTGTGTGTCCTGTGATGCTGCACTCCTGACTGCTTTGTAGTTGCTGTTTTTGTGCCGATGCCGAACATCACAGGGCTGAGAAGCAAAAAAAGAGAGAAAAAAAAACAAACAAAAAAAAACACACAGAGCTCAATGCACAAAAAGATCAATGACTAAAAACTTTATTTTGAGGTTGAACAGCCACGGGAGTTATTTCACTGTGTATGAGTCAAATATGCCATGAGTCGTGCCAATGATCCTGACAAACAAGCTGCTTCCTCTGAAGAACAGAGGCCGCACTGTCTGATTTTACTCACAATCCTCCTTTGTTGTACCGCCTTCAAAGTATCTTCTGTTATTTTTTAGAGATTTATATACTGTCCTCTAGACATATTTATTCATGAACTGTAGCATTTTGTATGAACAAGCAGCCAGGACAAAAGAAAGGCTCACTGATGAAGAGATGACGAGAGCATCACATTCACGTCTAGGAAACACCCTTTCTATCATCCTCACATACTTTCACACAAAAACAAGAAAGAAAAAAAAAAACACTTTTGTTGGAAAAGTCGCTAGATTATTTTTTTGTTAAACTTGGATGCTGTCTTACATGCAAAGAAGCCCAACAGGTTTCTATTTGAATTCAGTTTCAGCAAAGAAAGATGGCACTCCACTTTTCGTAGCACAGCAGATAAAGCCTCCAACAAATGTAGACTGCTGTTATTAATAGAAAAAGTCAGCTGCTTGTTTGCAGAGGGAGAGCTCAGAGCTGAAATCTTTGCAAAAGAAAAAAAAAATCTCAGAGAAAGAGACGTTTTAAGGATAAAACTCAACAAGTCAACAACAAACTATCAACAAGTCTCACAGAAAACCAACTCAACTTGCATGACTCTTTCTCAATATTTGAAGTACGCCACCTTTTCCTTCACGCTCTCCCCAAAGCCTGTTTTTCCCTGAAGAGTTTATAATCCCCTAATCCAATCGTAAACCATTTACAAACACATATTTTCTATTGAAGGCAAAGTTAACAACCCCTGCTGTCTTCATAAGGACACTCAAACAAGACTTAAAAAGGGCAATTTACATAAGCAACAGTGTTCAAATGTATTTTTTTTCAGTGTAACTACTGAGAAACCATCAGAAAATGTCCAAATCTGAAGTTGACAGTTTTTTTTTTCTTATTACTTTCTTGCTGCTGCTTTTCTTCTTAAAGCTAAAAAATGCAACCATAAATCTTGCAGTTGCAGTGCTTTTTTGATACAATCCATAAAAATAATGGACAGTGTGTCATTTTAAAAGCACATGGTATTGAAAAATATCAAAGTACCCCAAAACTCCATTAATGTGGACATCGTATTTCAGGAATGTGAAACAGAGACACATTTTTACAAATTATAAAAGGTGCAAGAAGGGAACTTTATGGCACAGAAGACAAAGATTTATTATGTTTTAATTCACAGACAACTCTCCTTTGTAGGATATGTTTAGGGATGCAGGATATTGGATCTTTGTTGACATCCAATATGCTGATATATTGGCTGATACTGATATTGATACCCATACATACACACTTTTTTAATTGTGAGGACTGCTCCTGATCTGCTTTTATTGTGACACTCTGTTTGTTTCATAACCAGACAAACAAGACAAGCAGCATTTAATTCTCCCATAGATGATAAATATGTTTTTTTGTATCAATACATCGACTTTGAGTTATGCGTTTGCTGTTGTGTCCAACACTTCAAAACTCTCCAAGCTGTCATTGCGTGCACCTTCTTAATGCATCACTTTTTCGGTTGATAATAACGGCAGACATTTCTGTATTCTGCACCGATATCCTGCATCTCAAAATGTCCTTACTATTTTTGAAGAATTTTCTTATAAATAACTAAATATAAAACAGCAATTTTATTATCTTTAAGATTAACATTATCTAGCTTCCCCTCATGAAGCTTTTAGTTCTGATCACAAATGTACTTCACCTCTATCCAATGTGCAAATGTGTCCAGTCACTATAAATGTGATTTTCACAGTTTCTTGTCATTGTAAACATATTTTTTCATGAATTGTATGAGACATATGGAAGAGATATCAGAGAGTTATAAAATGAAGGATTATGTATTTTTCTATGAACTTATAGAGAGAAGCTAAGACTAAATTTGTACATTAAGGCACATAAAATAGGGCTTTAAAGTTTATCTTCACCGTATGCTGAAAAATATTTGTCCTAGTCAGTATTGTTAGTATCTAATGAAATCCATTTAAATGAATAACAAAGAGGACCATCCAGAATTATCTCAAAATTCATAATGAAGGATTATTTGTGAGGAGATCTGGACATGTTCAAATCATTTCAGTCTAGTTTTGTGACTCGCTCACAGTCAGTCGGTCCTCTCCGGTAGTCCTCTTCACTCCAAAATTAGGAAACTTTACAAAGTTGTTTGGAAATGACTGTAAGATATAAGAAAGTAAGAAAGAGAGAGACAATCAATAGAGAGCTCATCGTCGCTATCGTGATGGGAGAGACGGTTTTTATGCGACATGCTGTCACGTGTCATTTCAAAGTAGCATTTCTTATTTATTATGATGTGAACTTCACCGTCCTCTTCGTCTTTTAAACGATGGTTTGCTTGGATGTGGCGCACACTGTAAGACACATGACTCTGAATTCTTTGAGTGGGCTTAAAGCTTCTGTATATTTTGTATGTTTCTTCCCGTGTAAATAGGAGCTGTCACTGTGTATATAATAGAGTTTTGCACTGTGAATTACTCTGAAACTTATTTTTGTAACCTTCCTGTCATACCCGTGTTTGTCTCTTTCTCCCACTCAGCTCAGACTGGCGTCATCTCAAAGCTGATAAAAAATGCATTTTGTAAAAGCTTAACTGGCTGGTGTTTTTCTTCTTTTTTTTACAGACTGTTTAGCATAAGATTACAGATCTAAAAGCTTCTTTGTTGTTGCCTTTTATTTCCAGAGCAAACACGAATCAGAGCAAGATGAAAGAATTCAGAAGAAAATGGACAATTTGCAGCTTTTAAATGGAAATAAAAAGGATCTTTCTGTGCTTTCTAATGATTTAATGAGATGATGAACTCTAAAAAAGGGGAAAAAAGGAAAATCTTTTTCCGGCCACATCCGTACAAACTTTTCTCTCCAAATAAGTTTTTGTAACTATCTCAGATGATTCAGCAGCGTTTTCCTGGCCAACACTGCTCTTCTCGATGTTTCAGGGTTGAGAGGTTTTGGATAATGAGTGTGCCGGCAAAACAAAGACGTCTAGCTTCATTTTGTGTCTTTGGATCGCGTGGGTTTGGCAGTGCCATGGGGGCACTTTTTTTTTATGCTAAAAGTTTAGCTCGAAGCACAAACTAGCACCCGATGTGTGAAACAGGACAGAATCAAGTGACATAATCAGTCCTCAAGATGGATGGCTGCTCACATTCAGGACAAATTAAGATTATTATCGCACTGAGAAGGCCGAATCCTCCTCTTTATACAGTTTTTATAGCTCTCCTTCACACAGCTACTGTATAATGTGTAATTTCAGGCTCTGCTGAATCCAAATGATACCGCCAGGAGAAGAAGACGTTCTGTCCTCCTGCCTACAATGATGAAGTGAGACATGTATGAAGCCTCTCTGTCATCCTCACAGTGATTATTGTACCCTGCCAGCAGCATAGCAACATATCCATCAAGTGTTCAATGCGAAGTCTGAAATTGTATGCAAACAAAGACAGAGATGGAGGAGCTCTGCTGTAATGGAGATGAAGTGACACTGCTGAGATCTTCCTAATTGTCATAGATCTTCCAGTTCTGGGTGTTTATTCAAAAGAGAAAAATAGAGCAGAAAGTTATGAAAGGAGATGCCATAAATTTCTTTGAAAAGCCTCCATCTTGTGAGCACGTTGGCCTGGGAAACATCAGGAAAATGTCAGCGGCGAGACATTTCAGGCATTCAAAATGTTCCCTGGCGGCAACAATCTCACAGTACGCTGGGCAAATCCAGAAACCATGTCACGTGTGTTCAGGAATCAGCTGTGAGGGGGGATAGTATGTGTTGTTTTTGCTCCAGTGGAATAGAGACAACATGGTTTCTATGTTAGAATCTTAACCTGTACACGAAGGACGGTTCAGGGTCACTTGAAACTTCCATTTCTCCCCTGGCTGCTCGGATAACTCGTCCTGGATGGTTGAATTTTAGTTTGCTTAGGCCACATTCATTTCTATCAGTCCATTCAATCTACCTCAAATGTACGGACTGTGCACTGAGCCCCTCCTTTACCCAGAGCTAGAAGTATTTCAGCTCCTGTGGACAGAAATTACAACACAACTTTAACAAGCGCAGCAGCAATCGCATAATGATGTGTTTTCCTCAGCTTGGTTACTCACAAAGACTCTGCTTCCTCCTTAACTCATTCAGGTGTGAAAGGAGCTCCTCTGGTTTCCTTTTAGGAAACAGTGTTTTGTACCTCTCAGCCCTGCAGTACACATCAACATGACTCACAATCACGCTCCCTGAGCAAGCATGCCTGGAGCGCCCAGCGACCAAAGATAGTCGCTGTGTGGCAACACAATCTTCTGTTTAATAGGCAGGCCACACAGGAGCAAGGACAAGTAAGTGGCAATTTGTGCACTCATGCCTGATTAAAAATGACTGTGCTTGAATTAGCAAAGGATAAACAACATCGATGACAGTTTGATGTAGGTTACGGAGCCCAGGAGGTGACGTGAACAATAACACATACGATTTAGTACCTCGAAAGTGCGTTTTACACATATCTCGTTTGTGCATTTTATTTGTATCTTGCGCATGCGTTTTTGTAAATAATCCTGCACACACCTCATTTGCGAGAGAAGAAGGACAGTGTCAGGGACAGAGAGCATATTATCAACATTTTCTTTCACTTAGGTATTACTCACAGAGGGATACTTCATAGCTTAGTCACATTTGGTATTGTTTTGAGTCGGAGACACCTCATTAGGATCCTTGAAGCACAGCGACTTTGCCTTCTGCGATATTCGGACATGCAGAAAGTGATTTTGTTTTCTAAAGAACAGTTAAATTGCACCTGCAATATGATAAAACATGTGCGAGTAAATAAATCGCACGTACAAGAAAAAAAAAAGTTAATGTCACCTCCCAGGCTGCGTAGTCGGTTTAAGGTTTGCCATGAATAACACAAGAACACAAGAATACTAGTGCTCCAGATAGCCTGTTTGGCACTATTGTTTCTGATCTTATTCTGGTGCTCACAGTTGTTAGCATGTCAATCCATTACATTTAAAACTGCGCATGTGACCCCAGGCTTAGTTCTGCAAAGCATGCGTTGCACCCTCATGTCAGAGTTTTGCAGCCTCGATTAAACGGATGCAAAAAAAATGTCTGGCATGTTTTTATAAGAAGTAATCAAGAGTTTAATGCTGCATTCTAGTTGTACTCAGTAGTCAGGATTTCCGAGTTCCAAGTCGGAAATTCATCTGGAACGCCCCCCTGAAGTCGGATTTCCAACTTGGAAAGTCACACAATCATCACAAACCCTGACTTGACGACAACGTCATAATCCAAGATGGCAGCGCAGTGAATCAACAGTAAAGAGTAACAGTAAAAGCTCTCGTAATGTGTTATTTATCAGCACTTCTGTTTTGTTTTTGTGAAATTAAATAGGCGGTGTATGTTGTACTGCCCAACGTCTAACTGTGAACACAGTGCTATGGTGTTTGTAAGAGTAAAATACTGTGTTATGTGTTGTTTACAACTGGTATAGCTAACAACTGCTAACAACCGCTAACAACAGCTGACAATTAACGACAGCTGACAATGTAAACAACTAACAACCGCTGACAGTAGGCGTCCATATTGGTTTTCCAACTTGGTAACTTGAACACTGTCAACTCGGATGTAGCGTCATTCCGAGCTCCGACATCCGACTTCTGAGAAAACTGGAACGCAGCCTAAGCAACAATTCAGTCATGTGGTGTCTAGCACATCTATGGACGTAACAGGTACACATGACCTTTCCTGCATGTCATTTGCAACATGCACACAACAGCAAGGTTAACCCTCAGTGAATCCTTACAGGCTGTTTGTGGGTGGTTGTCAAAATGTATGTTATGGATCATAGACTTATGAAAATGGATGAAGAAGGAGCTAAAGAGCACTAGTGAGACTCCAAGAGATCATTTCAAGGAGAGTTGCTTTGTGAGCAACTTCCCTAAACCAAACCCCACACCAGCTGCTTCCTCTGTCTTGGACCAGACCCCAAGATCACTTCAATAAATACCCAACGGATTAGCAGCTCATGGTTTGTTGTTTCAGTGATTATTCTGAACAGGCAGGATGGAATATTTCTGTAAACCACTTTAAACACACTGAAGTTTTGTTCTAGATCCAGACCAGGACTGCTTAAGGGGAGAGTGGCAGTCTGATCTCAACACCTGCAGTCTACATAAATGAGTGCTCTAGCTGGACCAAAACGGTGGAACAAAGAAAGCCAGACTAATCTAGAAAACGAAAATACATTTGAGTTTCTTTCTTTCTCAGGAGTTCCTCTTGCTTGTTTGCTACTTGGTGCCTTAAAAATAAAAAGGATGTCACGTAAACTACATCCAAATTTGTGTGGGCATGTGTGATACGGTCTCACGCTGTGTATGAATGCATATGCCTCCATATGTGTGCCAGCTATAGGGTTTTCTTCATAATAAGAGAGAAAGGGACCCCTGCTGAGTTCAATGCCGCCACCTCAAAGAAAATAAATCAAACCATCAGAATCTCCTCTCACTCAGGGACTAATCTGCAGCACGGTCTCATGAGAGATGGGACTTCTAAATCGTGATTGGATTTAACAGTAGCGGCTGCGTTCAGGCGTTGAAATTGTAACCCGTTTTCATCAGGGCAGGGTGCTGCATGAAAGGGAGAGAGACTATGAAAAGAAAAGTTGAAAAAAAATCTGATTTTACACTCATTAACTCATGATTGGCGTGCCATCCCTAGAAGTATCAACCGATTAATTTCAGCAACACATCATGTCATCTGTGCTCCCCGTTTTCAGCCTGATGCTCGCAGTGCTGTTCTCCGTTTTGAAGGCGAGTCGATTTATCCACAAAGCCGCAGAACAATCAAAAATTTTATTGGATTTTTAAATTGGACTAGATGCTGTTTGCCTCTTCAGAAAAATTAGCATCACCAAGAAAGAAGCCTATGGAGAGAGGAAGAGAGATTACCTAATAAAGTAACTCCTTTAGGATTAGCATGCAACACTCATAAATTATAATCCCTCATGAGTTTTGTGTTGGATGTATTATTGGAAGACAATGCTCAGTGTGTAATGATGATCTCGACTCTCTTTGACATGAGAAAAATACAGCAGATCACTGATCCACTTGTGTGAAGATCTTTTGTAGCAGCGCAGAAAAGTGTGACACTTGAAGAAATGAAAGAAGAAAGAAGTAGGACTCTTTGCAGTAAGTTCTTTTTCTGACCTTGCAGGATTGAGAGCAGTACTTATCAGCACGTGCTGAAGGCTGCTCAATCTGCCACTCACAATTCATCTCCTGACCTCAGTGCAGAACTCTGGTCAGGCTGTTTGAAAAAGCCTTTAAAGTCAACAGCATGTGTGTGTGTGTCTGTTTGATTCCAGAAAAAAGTCCAACACATCTACATCATGATGCTGTGTTTTGTTCTGAAAGCAGAGGTGAGCCTGTCAGTCAAAGTCCAGGGCTCGTAATACGTCTCAGCTGATAATTCATGTAATAAAATGTGTTCCCTCATTATGCTCTAATGGGATTTGTGATCTAAGTCATCAATAATGAGGACACTTGGTGGAGAACATGCTGGATGACATTTGCAGCCTGTCTTTTTTCGCTTTGAGAGCTTCGTCTGCAGCT